ATATTTTGTTACAAATCATTCTGATGCTACACACAAGTACTTTGAAGTAGATATTAAAAATATGCTTGAGTTCCTCATTGAAGACCAAGTCTTCCAACAATCTGCTGGAATTGTAGTGATCACTAATTGTGCCCCTTTAATAGCCAACTTTTCATATTCCCATGAAGCAGAATATATCCAGAAACATCTACATGAGAAGAAGAAAACTCTTGCCGTTGCCTTCAACTTAATAAGTAATTAGTAATATTCCGTTATCACCAGCACATGGTGTTTATGTCTCCCAACTTATACCAAATTCAAGAGCATTTATCTCAGTTTTTAAACTAAGGCAGTCTACTGACAGATAAGTTGATGTTACAGGGTTTCATCAACCCCTTTAAAGACAGCATTTCATAAATTCTATGATCGTTATAATTACGTTGTTGACAAATATAACCTATCACTGCATCATATTTTGGCTGACTGATTCATACCAATTAATTGTTAGGCCTTTGTTTTATACTAAATTTGACTATAGAATATTCTGTCTAGCTGATCAATACAAAGGGTGCATGGTGGGTGTGACCGGTCAACAGGGGATGATTACTCCTCCTAGACACCTGATCCAATCCCCGGAATTTCCCGGGGTCTGTGTTGTATGCCCTATTCCCAAATCTGTATTATATGTAGATTTTTTTAGATTGATCAATGTTCGTTATTTTCATCTTTTTCATCAAAGTATACTTTGACAGTCCTACAATAAACTGTGCATTATGAACATGCATTGCAATTTGTTGTAAATTGTCTGTCAACCCAAAGAGTTATCTACCCGTACGAAAGTTCGAGGCGGAATAGGCACGGCTTGGGCACGGCTAAGGCACGGAACCCGCACGGGTTTTTAAAAAGCCGTACGGGTTCTGCATGTCCAAGACACGGACACGGATTCTGAGTCTGAAAGTGAGGAATCCTCGCTCACAGAAACCCGTGTGGAGGCACGGAATCCGTGTCCCAGAGAGACGGTTTTTAACTCAAGCGGGTTTTGCTTCAAACTATTTATTTATATCTCACGGCTTTTTACTGAGCATGCTCAATCATAACTTCCCTTATTTGAATATTAAATTGGTGGGATTCATGGTCATGAGCTAAGAATGTGTCTTTTTTACTCTAGTTAAAGGATATTTAACTAATAGATGTCAGTTGGAATTGTATTTATGTCCGTCTGGAATGATTTCATCACTTTTGAACTAAATGCAGTAAGTGTAATATAGAATAAATAAGTCATTTTCAATTTTCATGAAATTTCTGTATTGCAATGTTGACAATCAACCTGATGAGTCTTTGTTTATTTGAATGACTTTAGTTGGACTTTCACTAATTAATCCCTAGACATTTTATGTGTCATTTATGATTACTATGTTACAGAAAGTTTTATTTAAATTAAATTCTTTCTCAGATTGTGCAAACTTAGATTAGATAAATTTACAATTGAATTGTACACTATCATTAAATTCTTAATTAAAAGCTAGCATGGATTGTCACTGATAAAGTAAATTAAATGCAGTAAGTGTAATATAGAATAAATAAGTCATTTTCAATTTTCATGAAATTTCTGTATTGCAATGTTGACAATCAACCTGATGAGTCTTTGTTTATTTGAATGACTTTAGTTGGACTTTCACTAATTAATCCCTAGACATTTTATGTGTCATTTATGATTACTATGTTACAGAAAGTTTTATTTAAATTAAATTCTTTCTCAGATTGTGCAAACTTAGATTAGATAAATTTACAATTGAATTGTACACTATCATTAAATTCTTAATTAAAAGCTAGCATGGATTGTCACTGATAAAGTAAATTTTTAACACTTAACAGAAAGTAAATGGACATATTCATATAAGATTTTTAACTTTTAAAATTCTAAAACTAAGCATAAAAATAATGTAAAGCATTGTGAAGTTTGGTTTCAGTCACCATTTTGGCATCTACAGTTGCATCAGGAGATTCTCTATAGGCCCTGACCTAGATCTAAACAAATGCACAGATCCCGTGACTCCATATATGGTATGTCACACGGCTTTTTTGACACGGGTTTCTAAAAATCCGTGTCTCCTTATATGGAAAAGGACACGGGTTTCAGACACGGGTTTACAGAATCCGTGAGTCCATATATGGAAATAAGCACAGCTTTCTGACACGGGTTTTGTAAAACCGTGTGATCTAATTTAAATAATTCGGCCAATATCCCGTGCCGTGTCCGTGCCTCGACCACTTTTAGACACGGCTTTCCATACATATTTTACATAGGAACAGGAATGCTAAAAGCACGGGTTTCTGGAAACGGAATCCGTGCCTGAGCCGTGTCTAAGCCGCCCGGACTGTTTCGTACGGGTATTCTTATTTCAACCATCTTTGCTAGGCAAGCGTCTATTAGCTGCTTCCATGAGTTTGTGAGGAGAGAAGCATATATCTAAAACACTAGAGATAAATCCAGTAAGGAGAATATTGTACAATGTAGTATTAGCATTGAGTTATAAAATCGGCATCTCCTTTTTGATCTGTACATAAACTTTACAAAACTGAATAAATAATAAACAACTGAAATATAATGAAACTATACTGTATTTATACTAACTCGTGACTACAGGTCTAGGTAAAATATATAAACATCTATAAACTAATGTTACATGCACTTCTTGACTAGAAATCTATCACATGCAAGATATATTATGTGATTATTACAAAATGATAGCTTTTTACAAACACAATAAAGAATGATTACTTAAAACAAGGATTACATGGCAATAGGAACAAACAGGAAAGCATCTTCTTACGAGTCTGATTACTCTGAAATTGAAAAAAAGCTATTCTCTGTGACCACTTAAACTTTTCTAGCATGCATGATTTTGATAAAACTGTGCCCAATATTGTTACTTCTTGACACAAGAAACATATATCAAACAAAATTTGGTTGCTATGTGCCTTGGTTGCCATGGTCACAATGAGGAATATTTGAAAAATTGAGCTTTTATTGAGATGTCTACCAGGCCTTACTAAGGAAATCAAACAAACCACTCTCAAAGAAACATTATTTCTTGATGCCACTTTTGCTATAAAGAAACTTTTTAGTATATATTTCTAAGTAAGTAGTAACCATGGGTACATTTGGAATACATTTTAAATGCTGAAAAATACTAATATTCGCTATTTATGATTTGAACAAACTTGAATCTACACTGTACATGAGGATTTGCTTTCTTTCAAAAAAAGGTTTTTAAAAAATGTTCCTATATAGGTTTGTTGCCCTGCCTCTCGGGGTCATGATGAAGATTTGAACGAACTTAAAATCTACACAACCTGAATTAATACATGTATGATTGATCATGGATTTGCTTTTCTTGAGAAGATTTTTAAAGATATTTTTATATACAATAAAACATGTTTATAGCAAACAAGCTTATAATGAATTGACACTTACAGCGAAGTAATTTTTATTCCCTATAGCTTTAAAATATTCTTAACAAGTGACCTTAACAAGTTTAATGAACTATGTTTATAAGAAGCAAAATCATCTGTTCCTGGCATGACACACAACAACCAATTTTTGCCTGATAAAAGTTTATGGTATCAAAGACTTTATATAATCATAGAAAGTTAGAAGAAATTTTGCATGTCACGCCTCCTGTATAAGATCTTCAAGTAATTACAAAGAATGGCTCTTAAGATATCATTGAAATGATGCTAGAATTCACTTTGATGTGTTAAAGTAAATGCCCTGCTTTCACAAATCCTGTAAATCGATCAAGCTAAAAACCATGAGAATAGAAAAATAGATCCTTACTTCTATATAATTCTGTCCAACAAAACTAAAATAATTATTCAAAATTGCACCTTTGATAGCATTTAAAAATGTCTATTCAAAATTGCACCTTTGATCACAATTAATTCAGTATCTAAAAATTAACATGTATAAAAAAAAGTTCCTGTTAAGTTTTGGTAGATAAAGAAGAACTAAAAGTTGAATAATGGCACACATAATCTATAACAATAGACATGCGTGACTGAATACATGTACAAGTATACTGCAAACGTTTAACAATATAACATAAACATTGAAATCTATATTTGCTAAAACTAATACCAATTTGGATTATACCTCTTTGTCTATATTGACAATTAATATAATTGTTTAAAGAGACCTATGTGTCATGCAATATTCACATAATCATATAAATATTATCCTCTTCACCTTTAACAGGATCCTCATGTAAATCTATTCTATTTCCCTGCCCCATACAAATTTAAGTCCATTTTTTTCCCCAATAATTCACAAGAAAAAATCCATTTCTTTCTGAGACAGTCAGAAAAATGAAATCATTTACAGAAACAAAACAAAAAACAAATATTGCATCTTTCTTCCTTATGCAGGGTCACATCTTAAATATTTCATAGTGTTATACACTGCACAAGGAAGACTTCTAGTTTTATTGTATTTTGGGGCAGTTAGAGTGATCCACACTTCAAAACTGAAACAGATTAGTTTAAAAACAGTGGTATTAAACAGTGTGTAATCAATTCAGGTGTATTATTAACATTACATTAGAACTACAAGATAAATTACATTGTACATGTAATTGAATACTTTATCTGGAAGTTAATTGTGTCCCCATTTAAGTAACCAACAGTGCTTTCTGCACATCAATACTATGTTGTCTTTGAATTTTTTTTCTGGCTGGCCCAAGGTATCTTTTTGAAAATGAAATCTGATTCTCCTAAATATTTTCATCTTTATATGATTTAATTTTCTTGAAGTCCAAAACAAAACTATTTATGTATTAGAGGGTCTTAAAAATTACATGTCATACACACACTTTTTTCTATCTGTATTTGTAGGTAAGTAAGATAAAAATACCTCTTTCATGTTTTGTGGGGCCTGGATAACAATTATAAATTTCGATCTTCCTATTGTTTAATTAAAAGAAAGAATTTTTAAAATGATAAAAAAAATCAGATAACCATTAAAAAAAAAATTTTAATTTAAATTATAATAATGATGACTAGTCAAAGTGTACAAAGTAACATATTATCAAAGAATTAGTAATATAAAAGCTGTTGTGTTGATAATACTGATTTTTTCTCCTCATGATTCAAAGGTCACTTACTAGAATTAAATTCTTCAGATATTTTATGTGAATATACTATTTAAATTCAAGTATCATACAGTTTATAAGTTTTCAGGTAAGAGTAAACACAGTGGTACAAAAATAATGACAAGATGTAATACCCATATAAAACAATAACACAACAACAGAACAGTTTTCTGTAGTTCAAACACACTGCAAATAGATCACTTGCAGCAAATGAAATGCTTTAAATATAAAATCAATCACATGGTGCTGTGCCATGGTCTGGCAGTGTTAGGTAAAACACCTGCCAGGAAGGAGCCTGGGTTGGTGTCTTTGGGGACAAAGACCTTTAACGAGGAAGGAATGTGGCGGTCAGACAGGTTCGATTGCTGATGGACAAATAGATTAGTGGTAGAGCACCTGACTAGAGATTCAGGGTCCCGCCGGGTTCGAGTCCCAGTCTGGTCTGTCAATTTTTTCTCCTCTCTGCTTACATACAATTCATTGTTCATAATTTCTATAAATATCATAAATTGGATAGAGAAAAAAATTTGAATAAAACTTTGTCAATACTAGAAATGCCAGCAATACAAAAATCTATAAGGCCATTTTATATGAAATAATGAGTATATCAACAACTTTTTCAACTGCAAAACAATTTGTGTACATCTTTCTCACATATATGTATGAAGTCACCTAAAAAAGTTGAAGTTTTTAAATTTTATACATTTTTACATATGTAAAACATTCAATTCTTAAAGCACCTTATACTGATGATTATACCCGTATAATCATTATGTATGCATGAAAAATTTCAGTCAGAATTCTATTATTAGTGATATCAATACAGTAAAACTCCATTATAAAGAACTTGTTCATAAGGAAACTTTTATGAATCCCTTACAAGACTTTGCACTTTGTTCCTTATATGGATTTCAAGAACCTTGGTTATACATGTAAGTCCCTGTAACTTCCCCATGATTGAGTTTTACTGTATTTAGAAAATGTTACTGTTGACCACAGATATTTTCAAAAGCATATTTGATCTGATTGGCTAAGAACAATCACATGACACATGTACCCCTGCATTAACTGCTATAAGTTGGTGTGTAGACAGATGAATGCACAGATGAGGTACATCCACTGTTGAGATTTACAGTTTTGTACCCATCATCTCCAGGAGTAGAACTTGAGGTACAACCACTGTTGAGATTTACAGTTTTGTACGCATCTTCACCAGAGGTAGAACTTGACAGGGAGGCACCTGAATTAGAGGAGTTTTCCTCAATTGATTCCTCCTGAGGACTGTTTACAAGTTTCTTGTTTATTTGAGGAGTGGAGTCCTGTAAATTTTGAAATGATATTTCATCAGCACTGGAGGTCAATACATCATTAGCATTAACAGGTGCTTGCTGTGCCTCTACAGGTATGACTATTGCAGGGGTTTGCTGAGATGAAAGGTTTGAACTCTCGTTTGATTCTGTGCTGCCATTGTTCTGTTCAGTATTTGGTAAACTGGATTGTAAGTTTACAAGTAGTTCATCATCTGTCTCTGAAAAAAGTATGCAATCAATTTCATAAATGATACTTGAAACTAATTTGTGAAATTTTGCATGCTGTTACATTTATTTAAACAATGCATCACTAAATCATCATTCTTGCATAGATGTGTTTTAATTAAATTTAATTACTATTTAATCTTACAGATAAACTTAAACACCAACAAAAGTTCATAGATTATTGCAAACGATGTGAAACTAGAAATTTGTCCAGAAGACTTGAATGCCCCGCCCAAGGTATAGTACATGTAGTAATTTGTATTAATGTATAAAGTTTGATGAGGATATATCAAATAGTTTCTTTAAAATTGAAATCTAAAAAACATAGACATAATTGATAAATTCTCACCAAAAATTGGTTTAAGTACGACTTATAGTTACTTGGAAATAGACCTGTTCAAAAAACGTTTATTCTGTTTACTACTCAAGAAAATTTTGGACAGTTCCAACATCCAAAGTAAGTCTGGAAGTTTTCATCCTTAGATGCACCATCTATGCAAGTTTAATCATAATAGGCCATAATGTTATATAGCTACTTCAAAAAAATTATCCTGGTCACTCATCTGGAAAATGTAGGTCAGATTCAGAATCCAAAGCAAGTCCAGAAGTGAGCATCCCTAGATACATCATCCATGCTAATTTGGTTAAAATATGGCCAAAATTCACTCATGTGAAAAATCTAGGTCAGATCCAGCATCCAAAGCAGGTTTGTTAGCGTACATCCCAAGATGCATCATCCATGCAACTTTGGTCTAGGTAGGGCTTATAGTTACTTGGGAATGGACCTGCTCCAAATACTTTAACCTGGTCACTCATCTGGAAAATCTAGGTCAGACCCAGCATCCGAAGCAAGTGTGGTAGCGTCCATCCCTAGATGAATCATCCATGCAAGTTTGGTCCAGGTAGGGCTAATAGTTACTTGGGAATGGACCTGCTCCAAAAACTTTAACATGGTCACTCATCTGGAAAATCTAGGTCAGATCCAGCATCCAGAGCAAGTTTGGTAGTGTCCATCCATCCCTAGATGCATCATCCATGCAAGTTTGGTCCAGGTAGGGCTAATAGTTACTTGGGAATGACTTTAACCTGGTCACTCATCTGGAAAATCTAGGTCAGATCCAGCATCCGAAGCAAGTGTGGTAGTGTCCATCCCTAGATGCATCAATCATGCAAGTTTGGTCCAGGTAGGGCTTATAGTTACTTGGGAATGGACTTGCTCCTAAACCTTTAACCGGGACGCCAACGCTAACGCCGACACCGACGCCGGGGGTATAGCATAAGCTCATCTCGACTTCATCGAGGTGAGCTAAAAATGTGTAATATAAATGTATTCTTTAAAACTGAGCAAGATGCAAATTTAAGAAAAGTGAGGAAAGTTCAAGGTCAGAAGTTTTTGATGCAGTTGAATAGCTCCTACAAATATGTATCAGCATATTAAGTTTGATGAAAATATCTTGAATGGTTTCTTTAAAACTTAGCTAAACATAAATCTAAGAAAAGTTAGGTCAAGGTTAAAGAAAAGGTCAAGGTCTATAAATGTTGATGCTGTTGAATAGCTCTCATCAAAATGTGTAAGTATATAAGTTTTGATGAGAATATCTTGAATAGTTTGTTTGAAAGTGAGCAAAACACTAATTTAAGAAAAGTGAGGTTAAGTCAAAGGAAAGGTCAAGGTCAAAAAATATGAATGCAGTTGAATAGCTTACCTCAGTATGTATTAGAATATGAAGTTTGATAAAAATATTTTAAATGGTTTATTAAAAACTGAACTAAACACTGATTTAAGAAAAGTGAGGTCAAGGTCAAAGGAAAGTCATGGTAAAAAAATGTTAATGCAGTTGTATAGCTTCCATCAGTATGTATCAGCATATGACGTTTAACAAGAGGCCCAAGGGCTTTAATGGTCACCTGAGTACAATACAGCAATTTAGAGGATCCATAAACTGATGAATGAAGCTTTGTTGCCCAAAAGCAAGAAATATAGTCTGATAAGCATCAACAAAATAATTGGTACAGAATCTATCTGTTCCCCATTTATCACTATTACCATGCAGACTATTAACAAAATGTTTATTTTTAATCCCAAATTACTACTTCTCACATTGGCCTCCCTTGGCCTTTGAAGAACATTAAAAAAGATAAGTTATTTTTGCCTCACTTTTATTCATCTATTATTTCCAAGTCTACCTGATCATTAAAACTATGAAAGTACTTTTTGTATTATACAATAAATATTCTTGCATAATTCTCTTATTCTATTAACCTTTCAAATACATTATTTACTGTGATAAATTATCAAAGGTGAATGGCAAAGGGGAATAACTTTGCTCAGCGGAATACAAGTTCATAGAGCCCTGGCCAGGACCAGAACACTTGACTAAATAATCCAGGTGTTCATAATTCTGGTAAAAATACCCTTGCATATTACAACTTTTACTCTGTTTGCCTCGAATATGCCCAGAAGCATAGAAGATTTTCAAAGAAGTGCATGTTCACTATATTATTAAATAAATAAAGCCCCCCCCCCCCCCCTTACACCAGAACATCTTACCCAGGGGCCATCATAACTATACACTTGTTTCTTTGCTTTATTACCAGTAGTAGAAAAAATATTTTAAAAGAAATTATGCATTTTCACTATAAAATCAATAGAGCCCCCCCCCCCCACCCTTCACTAGAACCCCTGAACCAGGGGCCATGAATTTCACAATTTTGGAAAAGGCATTCTTCCTTATCATAACCATGCACTTTCTTTGTTTGAATATTACCCAGTAGCAGAGAAGAAGATTTTGAAAGAATTTATGCATTTTCCCTATATAATCAATAGAGCCCCGCCTTACACCAGAACCCTTCACCCAAGGGCCACAAAATTCACAATTTCTGAGGAGGCAGCCATGCTCATCATAACTATGTACTTAGTTTATTTAATATCCAGGAGAGAGAAGATTTTCAAAGAAATAATGCATTTTCACTATATGTATCAATTGAGCCCCACCCTGACACCAACACAGCGGCCATGAAATTCACAATTTTGGAAGAGGCAACCATGCTCATCATAACTATGCACTAAGTTAGTTTATTTAATACCCAGGAGCAGAGTAGAAGATTTTCAAAGAATTAATGCAAATAATCAATAGAGCCCCGCCCTAACACCTGAACCCCTGACCCAGGGGCCATGAAATTCACAATTTCTGAAGTTTCTGAAATGGCAGCCATGCTCATCATATCTATGTTCTTAGTTAGTTTATTTAATATCCACGAGCAGAGAAGATTTTCAAAGAATTAATGCATTTTCACTATATAGTCAATAGAGCCCTGCCCTAACACCAGAACCCCGACCCTGGGGCCATGAAATTCACAATTTTGGAAGAGGCACTCTTGCTCATCATAACTATGTACTTAGTTACTTTATTTAATATCCAGGAGCAGAGAAGAAGATTTTCAAAGAATTAATGCATTTTCACTATATAATCAATAGAGCCCCACCCTAACACCAGATCCCCCGACCCTGGGGCCATGAAATTCACAATTTTTGAAAAGACATCCTTATGCATCATAATCATGCACTTAGTTTGTTTAAATAATCTCCAGTAGCAGAGAAGAAGATTTTCAAAGAATCAATGCATTTTCACTATATAATCAATAGAGCCCCGCCCTAACACCAGAATCCCTGACCCTGGGGCCTTGAAATTCACAATTTTTGAAAAGGCATCCTTATGCATCATAACCATGCACTTAGTTTGTTTAAGTAATACCCAGGAGCAGAGAAAAAGATTTTCAAAGAATTAATGCATTTTCACTATATAATCAATAGAGCCCCACCCTAACACCAGAATCCCTGACCCTGGGGCCATGGCTTTCACAATTCTGGAAGACGCCCACCTCCTTCTCATAACTATGTACTTAGTTTATCACCTTAATGCCCAGGAGCAGAGGAGAAGATTTTCAAAGAATTAATGCATTTTCACTATATAATCAATAGAGCCCCGCCCTAACACCAAAACCCCTGACCCTGGGGCCATGAAATTCACAATTTTGGAAGAGGCTCTCTTGCTCATCATACATGTAACTATGTACTTACATATGTAGTTACTTTATTTAATACCAAGGAGGAGAGAAGATTTTCAAAGAATTAATGCATTTTCATTATAAAATCAATAGAGCCCCGCCCTAACACCAGAATCCCTGACCCTGGGGCCATGAAATTCATGATTTTGGTAGAAGCACTCTTGCTCATCATAACTATGTACTTAGTTACTTTATTTAATACCCAGGAGCAGAGAAGAAGATTTTCAAAGAATTAATGCATTTTCACTATATAATCAATAGAGCCCCACCCTTACATCAGAACCCCTGACCCTGGGGCCATGATTTTCACAATTTTGGAAGAGGCACTCTTGCTCATCATAACTATGTACTTAGTTACTTTATTTAATACCCAGGAGCAGAGAAGAAGATTTTCAAAGAATTAATGCATTTTCACTATATAATCAATAGAGCCCCACCCTAACACCTGAACCCCTGACCCTGGGGCCATGAAATTCACAATTTTGGAAGAGGCACTCTTGCTCATCATAACTATGTACTTAGTTACTTTATTTAATACCCAGGAGCAGAGAAGAAGATTTTCAAAGAATTAATGTATTTTCACTATATAATCAATAGAGCCCCACCCTAACACCAGAACCCCTGACCCTGGGGCCATGAAATTCACAATTTTGGAAGAGGCACTCTTGCTCTTCATAACTATGTACTTAGTTACTTTATTAAATACCCAGGAGCAGAGAAGAAGATTTTCAAAGAAATAATGCACTTTCACTATATGATCTATATAGCCCCACCCTGGGGCCAGAACCCCTGACCCTGGGGCCATGAATTTCACAATTTTGGAAGAGGCACCCTTGCTCATCATAACTATGTACTTAGTTACTTTATTTAATACCCAGGAGCAGAGAAGAAGATTTTCAAAGAATTAATGTATTTTCACTATATAATCAATAGAGCCCCACCCTAACACCAGAACCCCTGACCCTGGGGCCATGAAATTCACAATTTTGGAAGAGGCACTCTTGCTCTTCATAACTATGTACTTAGTTACTTTATTAAATACCCAGGAGCAGAGAAGAAGATTTTCAAAGAAATAATGCACTTTCACTATATGATCTATATAGCCCCACCCTGGGGCCAGAACCCCTGACCCTGGGGCCATGAATTTCACAATTTTGGTAGAGGGCTCAATGCTTATTATAACGATGCCAATAGTTTGACTGCTTGATGTCCAGGAGTAAAGAAGAAGATTTTTAAAGATTGCATTAATTTTGGTGGTTTTAGCCCCACCCCTCAGGCCCCAGGGGGGCAGGGACCATGAAATTCATAATTTCTGTTCCCCTTCACCCATAGAAGCTATATACCAAATTTGGTTGAAATTGGTTGAGCAGTTCTGGTGAAGAACTTAAAAATGTTCAAAAGTTAATGCACGACGACGGAAGAAAACGGATAGCAATAGGTCACCTGACCGACTCAGGTGACCTAATAAAAATCTTAAATGATTTATTTAAAACTTAAGAAAAGTGAGGTCAAGGTCAAATAAAAGGTAAAGGTCAAAAAATGTTGATACAGTTGTTTAGCTACATCAGTATGAATCAGCATATGAAGTTTGATTACACTATCTGGAATGGTTTATTTAAAACTGAGCTAAACACTAATTTAAGAGAAGTGAGGTCAAGGCCAAAGGAAACATCAAGGTCAAAAAATGTTGATGTAGTTGAATAAGGTACATCTATATTAATCAGCATATGAAGTTTGATAAAATTATCTTGAATAGTTTCTTTGAAATTGAGTTTTGAACTGAGCTAAACACACAACGTGACGGAAGGACAGAAGGATTGAAGGATGGACATGACAAACATTACATGCCCTAGCTATATTCATGGCGGGCATAAAAAAAATATTTATTGAATTTTTAATAAACTAGAACATTTTCGGACATTTTTCTTCTGCAATACCTGCATTAATGTCTTCATTAACATCCACTTTGCTATAAGAATCAACATTTGGGTTAGTATCATGGGAGCTAGATGACATAGATTTGGAGTAGAGATATGCAGACATGTCTGTGGCTGTTGAATCCTGTCTGATTTCCCGATAGTCATCCTCCAATTTAGAGGAAAATGCTGAACTCTCATCCAACCATTCCTCTTCAGTTATGTCACGTTCTGTCCCATTTGACTGCACTTTTGACTGATTATGATTGGATGATCCACTGTGATTTGATAATTCATATTGTGCTTTTGATTGGCTGAAATCAATGCTTGACAATTCAGACTGAGGCTTTGATTGGTTGAAATGACTATCTGATTGAGATCTGGACTGGTTGAAAGCCTCACTGTTGTTTGTTTGGCCAGAAGCAGTGATGAACTTTGAATAATCTGAACACTGAGAAGTGGACTTTTGTTTCTTGTGCATTTCAGACTTTTCCATGTCTTCTAAAATATCTGGGATCTCTAAGTCATCTGTCATGTTTTCTTGGTCTTTTGCTACATGGCCATCATTGTTAGAGAACATTCTCTCTTTTTCACTTTCCAAACCATTCATAAGAATTGGATCATTCAATATCTACATAAAATTTAGTAAAGCAAGTTACATAATCATGATGTACTGTGCAATTCTGGTTGAATTTAAAGTCATATTAACACGTATATATTAACATCATAGGTACAGCTTATTTTATTCCATATATGCACAAACAATTCTGTATGCATCTTTATAAGCTTCATGATGTCTTGACCTTAATCGATGCATTCTTGATACAAACATGTACATGTTCTAAAAACATGTAAAATCATTAGATGCAAAGATTGGATCTTCTTACCCTGTATTCATTGTCATCTCTCTTATCTGAGTATTGTGAGGTATAGTTTGTATAACCACTACCCTTTTCACCAGTCTGAAAATCAGAAAAATACCATAACTTGTTTCATAAAGAATAAGTAAATAACAAAATGTATCCTAAGATTAATATCAAACATTTTCAGGTTTTTTTAAATGGGAGACCCATGGACCTTAAAGAACACTTGAGTATAATTCTACCCTGTAAAAGATCCATGGAATGGCAATTTGATTATTATGCATTTTCACTATATGATTAATAGAGCTCCACCCTAACTCCTGAACCTCTAATCTAGGGGCCATGAATTTCACAATTATGGAAGAGGCACCCTTGCTCTTAATAACTATTACTTAGTTTGTCTGCTTAATACCCAGGAACAGAGAGGATTTTCAAAGAATTAATGCATTTTCACTATATGATCAATAGAGCCTTGCCTTAACTCAAGAGTCCCTGATCCAGGGGTCATGAATTCCACAATTTTGGAAGGGACAGCTTTGCTCATCATAACCATGCACTTAGTTGGGGGTCCAATACTTATTATGATAATGCAAACAGTTTTATTGCTTGATGTCCAGGAGTAAAGAAGATTTTTGAAGATTGCATTAATTTTGATGTTTTGGCCCCATATCCCTCAGGTTTCAGGGGAGCAAAGACTATGAAATTCACTATTTTTGTTCTCCATTACTTACAAAATGCTATTACCAGAATTGGTTAGAACTGGTTCAGATGGTCAAGAGAAGAAGATGAAAATTTTAAAAAGTTTATGACCACCAACATGCATGTCACATGAAGATGGACAAAAACAGATAGCAATAGGTCACCTGAATGACTCATGTAACCTAAAAAGTCCATCTTACCTTAGAAGGAACAACTGGCACTTCAATAGCTGGTTCAAGTTGTGACCGACATTTCCTGAAATGAAAAACATAACATCCAGTACTTTTAAAAAGAATAAACATTGAAGACCTACAATGCAAAAGAAAGGATTAAATTTCAAAACAGGTAAATTAAAATAAATGTTTCCTTGTAAAAATGTTATCAAATATGTCTTATAAAGATTTTCAGTTGATGAATATACATGTTCATTATAGCTTTAAAATTACCTTATAGCAAAAGGAACTGCAATTACAAGCATCAGAGCACACAGTAGACTGACAGTTATCCATATAATCATGGAATTATTCTCAAAGTCTGATGCTAAAATTTAAAAAAAAAACCCATTAGTTCACAAACTGATTTTTACTCAGTTAACATTTCACCAACATACCAATAAATATACCAGTATAACATTTATAGACAAGAGATTGGAAAAATTATTGTATGCAAGAATCAAACATTGATCAATTTGAAAAATTAAACATTTTACCATTCCTGTCCATTTTTGAGTCAGGTTTTACATCATAAAAAATTCTGCTCTCTTTTATATGGCCATCTTTCGACAAGGAACTGAATCTAACACGGTATGTTTTTCTGGAATCCAAGCCCTTCAGCCTGTAGTTCCTATCACCAGGCTCCAATAAAACATGATTCCATACTGAAATTAAATAGAAAACATTCTATTGAAAGGCTACAAGAACTAAGTAGACATCAGTAAGCTTTTCACAACACAGTAATGAAAAAGATAACCCTTCCTGATCTTATTTACCCCTACCCCCCCCCCCCCCCCAAAAAAAAAAAAAAAATAGGGATTGCCTTGTAAGTTGCTGTTTCATGTCCCTTTAACAATTTTTCAATCATGTATGGATGCTTCCAGTTATTGATAAAAGATTGCAAATTTAAACTGTACTTGGCACTTGTGGCCATTGATCTGTCATCTTTTTATGTGCCAGCACCTAAAGTGTAAAGGACCTCTGTCAGTTTATATAGTCTCATCCAAAGGACATCACAGTCCTCCAGATCCCACAGTGGGAATCCAATCCTGTGATGTAAAGATTACCTACTCATTTTGCAACTGTAGAACAAGGTGGGATTCAAAACCTGTGATGTAAGGATCAACACCCTACTTAGCAACTCTATAAAAAATGCTTTAACCACTGCAACAAGCACCATATGACATACCTAGAGGAAGAGTGTGCCAAAATTTAAAGCATCAGCAATGAGTAGTTGCTGAGAAAACTGTGACAAAAATTTGGTACAGACAGACGCACAGATGAACAGAAAGTAGATTTGTACAAAAATGAATCCCAACATATGCCATGCCTAGACAAACAGTGTGATAAATTTCAAGCATCTGCAATGAGTAGTTGCTGCAAAAACTGCGAGGAAAATTTGTTACAGACAGACACACAAGGGTAAAACAGTTTACCCCACCTCTTTGATTTTTCGATGAAATCCTGGCTTACGATTGGTTGAAGTCTGTCATGTGAAGGGGGTGTATTACTTATACCTAGTCAATTGAAAATCAATACATGGTTGATACGGAGTTATCGTTCTTTTGTAACATTCGAACAACTCGAGTTCACGAGGTTTGCCGAGTGTCTGTTGACAATTCAACAGTTAACTAATGTAGTAACAAGATGAACCTTTTTCTTCCCTTCACTGAAAGTCTTCAAAACTGCCAGTACGTTATGACAGCACAAAACACTCGCAAAACAATATTACGTAACACAACATGACTTCGTAATAGGCATTGTGTGAGTGATGATACATATAAGTAGTGAGAAAAACAATTTTACAAACCACAGACAATGCATAAATATTTCATCGGTGGGATAAATTCGTTACATAGTTTTGTGGTGACAGGGAACGGGATGATACCTGGTTAGTAAATTTCATACCCAGGCAAGGCGAAGCACTACAAAACTAGGTAACTAATAATACCCCCCTCTCCTTTGGAGCAGGATTAAAAAAAAGCATGATATTTTATTGCACTGTTTCCCAAAACAACAAAAGTGACAGAGAGCATTCTTTATTAAAGATAAATGCCTGATCTTCTTAAGAACAAAATGATACCACTTTACATCAGATGCAAAATTGCCATAAAAAAAGACATCTATAAGTGAAGTATTTTTCTAGAGAGATTTTTCACTTTGGTTGCATATGTCTTAAAATATTTGATTCAATGGACATTTTTTCATTTTCGAAAACAATACAGATTTGTAAACTTATGTCCCTACTGTTCTTGAAAGATTTTTTCCTTATATTCCTTTGTAGAACTTTGACCATCCATTGTGGTCCTACCCTACCCCCAGGGGTTCTGATTTGAACTAATTTGAATCTATACTACCCAAGGATGCTTCCATATGAATATGATTAATCATGCCTTCGGTGGTTTTTAAAGATTTTTTCCCTAAATATTGCGATGCTGTGTAAAACTCTGATCGATCATTATGCCCCAACCCTATCCCTTGGGGTCATAATTTGAACAATTTTGAACCTACACAACCTGAGGATGCTTCCATATCAATATATGACTGATCATCTTAACTGTTCTTGAGAAGAAGACTTTTAAAGATTTTTCTTATTTCATCATGCCTTTGCTTATCTTGAGAAGATTTTAAAAGATTTTTTACTATATATTCGTACATGTAAAACTTTGATTGTCTATTGTCTACATCTTATCCATATCGCTACACCCTAGATAATATCAACATCTTTCAATGTGTAACATTCTGCATGCATTAAGAAAAAGAGAGGTACTAAGGCCAACATTTTTTTTATTAAATGATTTACAGGAATTTTTTTTTAAAAATTGGGTCGGGGGGGGGGGGGGGGGGAGGGGGGGAGGGGGATAAATAAAAATAAAATTCCATATTTTACCCAGTCGACTAAAAAAATAAAAATAAAATTGGAAAAGGTGTCTGATTTTTTTATTTTCAATTATTTGATAAAACTTGCCTTATATACCGTGTGGAGCTTAAAATATGATAACTGCAATACAAAAATTAAAGTAGACTTTTAAACCCCTCTGAGAAAGGGGGAAATCTAAGGAATTTCTTATCAAAATATTCATCATGACCACAACAAGATGACCAAAGAAAAAAAGTTTATAAAGAGAACGTCACTGTGCTCGAAGTACTGAAAAAAAATCATAAACCAACAAATCAGAAATAGAAAATATAGTATTATAAAGAGAATCTCAATATAATATAAAACCCAGAATCATGTTTTAAACCTGTATTTCACAATACAGCATATGATTATGCATTTTAAAAACTTCTGAAAGCTTGAAAGTATTAACACATTAAATACCATTTCGTTTGCAGTGTCTGTTTATATATATTCAAAAACTATTCAACACACAAGAAAATACATCTGAATTTTCAGTCTACAGTGCTGCATTATGATCTTTTTAAAATGTTACAAGTTTGAAAACGTTTTTTGGATATACATGTAAGTTAGATACGCCACATTTTATTCTTCACAAAATTCAAACGTCTATTTTCGATTTCCATTCTTTTATCACGTTCATCAAAAGTATCAAAATTGTAAAAAGAGAATTACTGTATACGGTACCCACAACGAAAGTGACAGTCCTGTCAACATATCCTCTAGTAAAATTATGCTGATTATTTCTTTAATTTCTTTTTAACTCCAATGTAACTTCGTCATCAGACATGTTATTTATTTTCCTGTTAGCTATGGTTGACTTGCAAAAGCTATCGTGTATAAGGACAAAGTATATTCTCAACTTTTGTAAAACTTGACATTTCTGCACCCATGTTGGCATGTTTATACACTTCCGAAACAGTTAATAACAAACGTAAATTGATTGGATAATAATAACGGCTTTCAATAAAGCAGCCAATCAGAACTGCCGACTTATTTGCACAATATTTTATTTTCGAAGTGCACTTGCATTGACGATCGGCGGGAAATTTAAAAATAAAAGCAACAACAGGGACTTTTATTTTTATTTGGTTTTTGCTAAAATTGCAGTCGGCGCTCCCTTAAATCATTTTATTAAAAAATGTTGGCCTAACCTTGAGAGCATCCAAGCATTAGGTCAAGATCACACCAGGTGACATTGAACCACTCAGGATAAGAAGACTGGTCATCACATTGTATGAACCAGGACAAGTCTAGAGCCTCCTGAGAAGATGTAACAGTTACAGCCACAGGTAACGCAGGCTCTACAGGCATAAAAGTACAAAATTAACGGTTATAAGGGGAACTTACTGATGACAGTGTCAAACACTACAGATATGAGTATCATTTTTAAAGGTCATGCAATCAATGGATGCTTTGGTTTTTCAATGAACATTTATTCATCAACTTAAAGTATATGTGTGACAAACCTTTCTCATCAAAATATTTACACGTGAACCAGTGCAAACCTCCACCCACAATGCCTGGATTTTCTGTAGAATGGGATACAATGGCAGAACAGGATACACCCACTTTTTCCAAGTTGTGTAGTGGTGCAGCAAGAGTTGTGGAATTTTGAGGGCTAACTTTCCAGTCCAAGTTGTTACTCTGTCACAAGAATATGACAATGTGAAGATCAACTAAACTGATGAAGAATTTAATAAGTTAACTGTCCATTAGCAAAATCATTAAATGTGATGTTTTCTTTCCTTCTGTACTTAAATCAGTCATGCCTCTTTGACCTTGATGAAGGACATACGAGTGTCTCTACTTTCTGATTGAAAACATGACCAAAATATTAATTAAGTAATAAATAATTAAATTAATTAAGTTATAGAAAATCAGCAGAATGCTGCCATGACTTACTGACATCCAGAACACAATGTACTGCTGACAGAGTTCACTCCCCTTCCATCTTATACTTGCACTGGATCTATTTCTACTCAGTTCTATCACAAGAGTGGATGGGGTAGGTATAGCTGTCATAATATATTATCATATTTTCATGTTTAATACTAAAACCTGATTGATTTAGAAGTATTAACCAACTTTTACTGTTACCCTCAGCATTAGCAATGAACCTGGCAACAGGTAACAACCATAATGCCATATTCCTGTAATTTATGCATGTATGGTTCCCTGTACAATTCTCAACATGTCAGTTGTGCACTGTGCATGGTCCAAGTAAAATTGATTGCAAAAACAACAAATAGAAGAAATTAAAATGTTTGTGAGCACAAAAATAATGAAAATATAGAAGAATAAGGAATTTGTGAGTACCAAACAAACACAAGAGGTTGGTGAACATTTTGAAGCTTTCTCCAAAAAAAAAAAAAATGTAAGCGGAGTGTTTAAATGCCTTTTAAAATGAGATCCGATTCAGATCAACAATCTCCGTCTTTTTTATTTATCAATCAGACATTCACTATAATAAAATAAATAGTGCAAGTTTTGGAGGTTAACAGTTGAAATTGACAGCCCTCGGAAAACTACTGTCAACCTCCCCTGAAGTGTCGATTGACAGTAGTTTTCTCTCAGGGTGTCAGTTTCAACCATTACCCTCCAAAACATGTCCTTTTTATATAATGGCAAATAAATATGATTTCTGTGAATTGATCTGTAAGTGTTTAAATATAGGTCCTTATTTTTGATGAATGCTCTTTTTTTTGTTTTTTAATTATAGATTTCTGCAAAAGTAAAAATTCAAATTTTCATAAGATTTTTACATGCTTCTATGCGTTATGGCTATGAATTCATATGTTATATTATGGACATTAAACTGTTTACTTATACACTTTACTTACAGATTTTGGGTGGGATAAGTACAGATGCACTAGGACTCCTATACCCCTCCTTAGTGATGGCAGTTATACTGACATTGTACCACTTATCTCCATCTAGACTCAGTGTTATGTTCTCATACTGGCTAGATAGACTGTATTTATCCCTGCCATCTGATGAAGTGTAACTGATGATGTAGCTAATCACTATTCCATGTCTGTCCATGGGCTTTATTGGCTGTGATCAAAGAGTATTTCATTATAGACACAGTCTGTAAATACATTTCATTCCAATTCTGCTCTGAGTTTATGTCTTAATTAAATTATGTCTTCAGCTGTTAAACTTTATGTCAATATCAAATAAACATATATTCATGTATATGAAATATTGAAACAAAATGTGAAATATTTTATAATCATACTCAGTATTATACCTTCCAATATAAAATGGTTTCATCTCCATATACGTGGTAAAAGCTTCCTTCTGTAATATTGGGAGGTGAGGCAGGCACTGAAATACATAAAAAATGTTTTAGAAACATATATGCTCCTGTGTGGTTAAAAGGATCAACTTTAATTTTAGACAGTCTTTCATAATATTGAAAAAAAAACAAGATGTGTTTGTGAAACACTGATGCCCCCATATGGCGACTTATAGCGGTTAAACTTTCTCAAATGCAAATCAAATATGTTGATACCCAAAGAAAGGTCTTGTCCCAAGGAATATACATGTGAAATAAAAAATTCCTAGCAGCAACCATTTAAAAGATATGAAAAAGGTTAAAGTTTTTCAAAAAAAGTCAAACATCAAGGTCAAGGTCAAATGTTCAAAATTAATGGTGCCCAAGGAAAGGCCTTCTCACAAGAAATACACAATTTTCAAAAGTTAAGGCTAAAGTTAAAGTTTTTCAAAAGTTGATAAAACTCCAAGGTCAAGGTCAAAGGGTCAAATTTGTTGGTATCCGAAGAAAGGTCTTGTCACAAGGATTACACATGTGAAGTATGAAAGCCCTAGCCCCAACTGTTCAAAAGTTATGGCCAAGGTTAAAGTTGGATAAAATTTTGTAAAACTGGGTAAAACTCCAAGGTCAAGGTCAAAAGGTCAAATATGATGGTACCCTAAAAAGGTCTTGTCACAAGGAATACACATGTGAAATATGAAAGCTATAGCTCTAACCAATCAAAAGTTATGAGCAATGATAAAGTTTTTGCGGACAAACAGCTACCGGTAAACAGACAAACAGACGGATGGACAGGGCAAAAACTATATACCTCCCAATCTTCGATATGGGGGCATAATAAAAATGGGTTATCTATTAGTAAGGGACAAACATAATACCAAGTTTAATCTCTACTCATGATCAGACATCAATATAATCAAGGTTCATTTACTTCATAGAGGGTATCAGTGTACCAAGTTTGATGTCTGTCAAGCAAATACATGTAGTTCTCAAGATATTGAGTGGACAATATCTTTCTATGTCTAAGAGTAGTTTGACCTTTGACCTTGTGACCTTAAAATCAGTGGGGGTAATTAACTCCTCAGGGGGTACCATAGTACTAAGTTTTATATCTTATATTAAATGGTTCTCAAGATCTTGTTGAGCAGGTAGTATTTTCCTATGTCCAGCGTAGTCTGACCTTTGACCTTATGACCTCAAAATCTCTAAGGATCATCTGCTCATCTGGGGATACCAGTGTACCAAGTTTGATGCCTGTCAAGCAAAAGGTTCTCAAGATATTGATCAGATAACATTTTGTTTATTGACCAACATACTGATCAATACATCCCCTTTTTTCAAGGGAGGGGACATAACCAAGAAAAAAAAGCCCAAGACAAAACTTATATCACTAGAAAGGTTTCCTCATTTTGTTAAGCAGACTTTCCTTACAGAGAATAAACTAAATCTGGCAAGGTGACACAAATGCCCCTGCTGACATGCAAATTTTAAATATGTGAAAGTTCAAGAACATGAAAATAACAATGGGTGGAAAAGGACAAAAATAAAATATGATACAGTACTGCTGTTTTCCAGAATAACTTGTCTATACCACAACATACTTAAGCTGCATAAAATGGTGATCACTTACAAGCAAAGTAATAAACAAAGTCCAAAAACAGTGAATAATTAGAAATTATAAGGGTCATAACTTTCGTAAAAATAGGTCAATTATCACAAAACTCAAACTTGCTATATGTCATCAATATCAAGTCACATACCAAAACATCAGTTCATTTAATTTAACTACAAGCATAGCAAAAAAAAGTCTGGAAAAAAGTAAATTATTAGAAATTTTCAAAGTTTAAGGACAATAACTATCATAAAAATGAGTCAATCATTACGAAATTCAACTTGATCTGCAAGTCATCAACATAAAGTAACATACCATTACCAAAAATCAGCTCATTATCTACATGCATAACAACAAAAACAACCAGAAAATAGTGAATTATTAGAAATTTCAGGATCATATCTATTGCAGAAATGGGTCAATTAACGAGAAACTGAAACTTGATCTGTAAGTCATAAATATCAATTAGTATACCAAAAATCAGCTCATTATCTACAAGCATAGCAAAACAAAGTGCGGAAAACTAACAATGATGGAAAAACAGAATGACGGATGGAAAGGGATAGCACTATATGCCCCGGCCATTTTTTGGCTAGGGCATAATAAAAGCAGCTGCTATGAATTCAGTAAACCACTTGTCAATTTGTCCATCACCTTAAAGACTTCAAACAAATGTAAAAGTGGCTCCGGTAAAGCTTACCATCTGCCATTGTTTTAAAGGTGAAGAATGCTGGATCACTCCAATATCCATCCTCTCTGGATTTGTTATGACCTATCATGGTCAACTTTCGGCGAGTAATGTTGAAGGTGTAATCTGTAAAGGGAATCAAATTGCAAAACTGCAAATACTGCTCTATGTGGTCTCCTGGTCTGGCTTCTTTCTGAAAAGAAAAAAAATATCAAAATTTATTGAAAAGGTTACAAAATGCAGAGCTCACAAAATTTATTGAAATATTTAGGATAACTGTATTCTAATGCAAATGTTTGAAATAGAAATAGCAAGTTAGGAGGTCAAGAATTAGAAATACGTAGGACATGAACGCCCTGCCTGATGGACATTTGTATTGTAACATATAAGCAAAATACAGCTAAACTTTGAAATCTCGAACACGGATATCTCGAATACCCTGGATATGTCGAAGTAAGGCCGCGGTCCCGACGAAATTTGCTTTATAAATGATTAAAATAAACCCCTCTATGTCGAGCACGGTAATGTCGAATACCCCGGTTATCTCGAAGTAAAATTTTGTACCCATTCATTAAAATCACATGCGTTATCTCGAAGTCAGGATAATTTTCCGCTCTGATGATCAAGTCCGTTATGTAAACTGAATGCTCTATTGATAACAACCACCTGTCTGTCACGCTCGGGTTACCTGTGTTCCTGTGATCAACAGATAATAGTGCGATAATTATACGAAGTGTATATATGGCTTACCTTGATTTTAATTATGCAAGCCAAAGGTTGTGTGTATTAGTCTAATGCATACGAGTGGATGACACATTAATTGTTTTGTGGCTTGGGTACGTTTATCTTGATAATCACTATTTAATGCTGTGAAATATGCGCGCATACATAGTTTATGCATACGAAAGTGAAAATTATAAACATCGAAGTAAAACAAAATTCTGTAATTTAATGCAATTAGAATTTATTTTTCCTATATGAGTGTGGAGAATTTACCATCGTCCGTACACACCATCATGTGAGCGTGTCGCAGTGAAAACTTGTGCTATAGTGCCCTGTGATTCAGTGTTGTTCTGTTGTTAGACAAAAGTGCGTGATTTTTCTTTTGTATTTGATTTTATTATGGTAAAATAATTTTCTTTTAACTGATTATACATGTATGAACATGTTTTTCCAATAAAAGAAAATGTATATTTCGTTTTCGTTATTCTGACAGCAACTGGTTTTAAATTTAAAATGCAAAGACGATATCCGGTTATGTATACATGGGAAGCAATGCTAGTGGTTGACTTGCCGCGTTGGTAGTTCTAAGGATTATACTTCTGTGCATATTATATAAAGTTTTTATTTTGTGAATTATAAAGAGGATGTAAAAATCTTTTTATTGCTAAATACATGTACATGTTTATTAAAGAAATTGTATACAGAATTTAGAATTTGACATGTTTTAACTATTAAGTACATGTTCGCTGCACTAAGTTTATTTGAAGTTCAATTGAATTATAACCCTTGATATGTCGAACCCCCGGATATCTCGAAGTTCATCAACGGTCCTGTCAACTTCGAGATAACGAAGTTTAACTGTATATTGTTTTCTTCAGTTTGAAATAATAGAAAATGATGAATAAAGAATTAAAAACAATTTTTTCAAAAAAGATATACAGTTGAACTTTGGTATCTCGAACATGGATATTTCAAACACCATGGATATATCGAAGTGACTTTGAAGTCCAAAGCACTTATTTCTTAAGTATTTTACCCTGGATATCTCGAATAATCAGAAATCTCAAAGTATTTTCTTGGTCCCATGAAGTTTGAGATAACAAGGTTTGACTGTACTGTTAATATGATCAAAAAATTTTGGTATGGGTGAAACTCTTAAAGCAGTTTATCTGTGCAGGGAGTTGTATGAAGCAATATTTTACCAAACTCAAGGAGATGAACCAAGTGCAAAATGAGGGAATATTAAGGTCAAGGTCATTTGGAAGATCAAAGTCAAAAACTTGTGACACAGCTGATTCATATTCATCAATTTATTGTGCAAAAAGTTTGATAAAACTAGTTAAAATATTACTTGAAACTGAGCTGTATATGCATGTAGAATGACCAAAATGATCAAGATCATAAATCCGAAGTTAGAATGAAATAAGCACAGTTGAACAGCCCTCCCCAATATGTACCTGTATATATGAAATTCGTTTGAACATTTTTTTTTTTGAAACTGAACTAAACACAAGATCATGAAAAGTGAGGTCAAGATTATGTGGAAGGTCAAATCTAAAGATTTTGACATCTTTGAATTGCTTTCCTAAACACATAGCTGTGTGTGAAATTTGAGAAAGATATCTGGAGCAGTTTCTTTGAAACTGAGCTCAAATTAGAAAAGATGGAGAAATGAAAGGAAGAAAGGACATAAGGAAAGTGAGTATGTTTCCTTTTTATGCACCTTGAGGTGGGGATGGGAGGGTTCTCAAATGGTGGCAACAAGGGTAAAAAAGAGTTAAAAGTAACTGAAAAGGAAGCAAGTTTATAATTGAGTATCTCTGACAATTGTGACAATTCATAGCTTCAAATTGTGTTCATTGTAATAACTGATATTGCTAGAACATATATTATATAAATATACAATTTAATTCAAAATCTTACAAAAGGAACATGATTCAACATATCATTTAAAATGAAAATATACCTTCTTTGGTATCGAGCTGTTCCATTCATCAGATGCAATGAAGACCAATACTTGGAACTTAAACTGTCTGGTATTCCATCTGACTGTCAAACATGTACTTGAGATATTCTCAGCAAAAACATTTGATATTGGGGCTGGTTTCACTGTCAAAGACATGAAATGTTCTCTTTTGAAGTGACACGTTTATAATGTATTTGCTTTATTCTATTTTAATCCAAAACACTTATTTTCACTATGGGAAATAACCATGATTGCTTTTCCTAATCTATCCATATGATATTAGAATTGCTTCCTTTGCTCGAACTTTCTAGGATGAAAACAAATTTCAGTGTTCGTGCAAGGTCACATTATAGGACTAGGGACATAAGCAATCTCTACCCAGAGTTATCGTTCCCGCTTCACTCCACTAATACCTTTGTCAACATCTAAAAAGTAGTACGGAAAACGGAAACACGTGGCCTTTATCACAGGAAGATTAACGAGCATATTACCTTTACGTTTCTGTATATGTGTCAATGCTACAAGTTGATTTGTCTTTAAGAACTAAACCATGTTGATATTTGTTGGCAATGTGTCTTCAATTTTCCACGTTCTCCATATCTGTCTACGAGTGATGCAATATCCCCCCGAGAAATAATCCCTTGTAAGATACAGTGATACAGATATATCTCTTTCTAATTTGCATAAATAAACTTTACTTTAAATTTTAAAGCTAAAATATATAACTTTAAAATTTATAATTTGTTATGCAATAGGTCAAAGTAAGTTTTGCCAAGAATCTTGGCATTTAGATGTTAACAGAGGTGTTGTAGTGAAGCGTAATATGCCCTCTGGTGAGAGATTGGGACATAAGAGCAAAAATTATTGCTATGCATATTACAGGAAAATTCATTTAATATGATTTTTAGCTCACCTGAGCCAAAGGCTCAAGTGTGCTTTTCTGACAAAAAGTGTTCAGTGTCCATCTGTCTGTCCATCATTTGTTGCTTGTTGTCCATTAACTTTTCACATTTTTGACTTCTCCTCAAGAACCACTGGGCCAATTTTAACCAAACTTGTCCCAGAGTATCCTTGAGTGAAGAGGATTCAAGTTTGCTCTAATGAAAGGCCACATCCTCTTTCAAGGGGGCATTATAATTAACAAGAGGCCCAAGGGCCTTGAATCACTCTTCTGATAAACTGTACAACCTATCACTTCTATTTGAAGCCTCTTAGTATTCTGTATATTTAGATAAAGCCTTGAAATTCCAAAGGTAGGTCATCATGACCTACATTTTAGATAAAACACTCTTGAGAACCCAGGAGGATTCTAACCCAATTAAGAGTAGGTCATGGTGACCTACTTATCACTTGTCATTCTCTGAGGACCCAAGATGTATCAACTAAGTTTGATGATTCTAAGCTAATTAATACCTAAAATATTTTTAAAATTATAACTGTAAATTTCAAAAGTAGGTCACAGTGACCTACTTTTCAGATTACATACTTTGAGGACCCAAGATGCATTAACTGACAAAGTTTGATGATTCTCAGCTGATAAGTACCTGATATTAGTGATGGGATTCGGTAAGAATTTCATAATCGATGATCGGGCTACTGTAACTAACTAATTATCAATTATAATCGAACATTTACAAAGTCTGTCTATTTAGTTTATAAAATGGTAAGAATGGGTGAATAACTACTTTCTGTTGTGGTCCAGCTGGTTCTTCGTTCATTTTGAAGAATCCAAAGTACGTCCATACCCGGAAATGAGCGTTGTTATCCAGGTATAAAGACAATTGTCTGATCATCTGTGCCATTACGATACACAAATAAGTTAATAGATAAGTTGCGGCTGGAATATTCAGCTAAAAAACTATTACGCTTGTAAAATTAAAAAAATAACCGATTAATCAGAATAAAAATTTTGTAATCGAGTGCTTGGATTTTTCCAGCAATCGACTGATTTTCGATTATAATCGATGACTGGAACACCACTACCTGATATATTTAAATAAAGCCAAAATATTCCAAAAAGAGGTCACAGTGACCTCCATATCAGTCGACTATTTCTCTGCAGACCCAAGATGCATCAACTGACAAAGTTTGATGATTCTAAGCCAATTAGTACCTGAAATATTTAATTATAGTCATATAAATTGAAAAGTAGGTCACAGTGACCTAGTTTTCAGTCGATCTACTCCGAGAACCCAAGATGCATCAACTGACAAATTTTGATGATTCTAAGCCAAATAGTACATGAAAATATTAAATACAACCATAAAATTTCGAAAGTAGGTTAGGGTGACCTAAGTTGTTTTACACCGAGGACCCAAGATGCATCAACTGACAAAGTCTGAAGATTCTAAGCCAATTATTGCCTGAAATATTTAATAAAAGCCATGAATTTTCAAAAGTAGGTCACAGTGACCTACTTTTCACTTGATGTACTCCGAGGACCCAAGATGCATCAACTGACAAAGTTTGATGACTCTAAGCCAATTAGTACCAAAAATATTTAATTAAAGCCATAAATTGTCAAAAGTAGGTCAGGGTGACCTACTTTTCAGTCAACCTACTCAAAGACCCAAGATGCATCAACTGACAAAGTTTGATGATTCTAAGCCAATTAGTACCCGAAATATTCAATTATAGTCGTATAAATTGAAAAGTAGGTCACCGTGAGCTACTTTTCAGTTGACGTTTTTTTGAGGACCCAAGATGCATCAACTTACTAAGTTTTATGATCATAGGCCTTACAATGTCCAAATTATGCCTCTAAAAGGCTTTGAAATCGAATGCCTGCAAAGTTCAAAAAGTAGGTCATGGTGACCTACTTTTTAAAAAAAAGTTTTATGGACCGAGATGCATCATCTTAAAAGATTTAATGATTCTAAACCTCTCAGTATTCAAATTAATGACCTTAATTGTTTTGAAAAAGATTAGCAATAAAAATCAAAAAGTAGGTCAAGGTGACCTACTTTTTAGTCAACGTACTCCAAGGACCCAAGATACATCAACTGACAAAGTTTGATGATCTTAGGCCTTTAATTGTTCAAAATATGCCTTTAAATCATTTTGAAAAAGAATGTCCGCAAAATTTAAAAAGTAGGTCACAATGACCACGCCCTTTGCCCCAGGGTGATGCCTTGAACAATTGTAAATCTTCAACATATCCTCATCCTTTCGTGTAAGTTTGGTGATAATCTGCCCAATGGTTCTTGAGAAGATTTTTTAGCAACCAGTACTTTTGTTTCTATTTTCCTAATTATCTCCCCTTGTTTAAAGGTCACAACCCTTGTTTTAGTATAAACGTTTTAGTATAAACGGGAGCCCTTGGGCCAAGGATACCCCGTGACAAATTTGACAATAATTGGCAAAGGGGTTCTTGAGTTATGGCCCATATTCTAAAAAGTTTACGCACACTGCACAAATGGCCATAGCATTAGCTCTTTGAGCCTTTGGCTCAGAAGAGCTAAAAATTAGTGTAAATTTAAAGAAAACTTTTAAAAATCTTCTCAAGAACCACTTGGCCATAAAAGGTGAAAACTTCATTAAATGGTGTAGATTCAAGTTTGTTCAAATTATGACCCCCAGGGGTAGGGTGGGGCCATAACAGGGCATCAAAATTTTATATAGGAATACATGTGTAAAAGAAATTTTAAAAATCTTCTTCCAAAGAACAGCATAGCCATGATTAATCATATTAATACAGAACCATCCTCAAGTAGTATAAATTCAAGTTTGTTCACAAACCAAAGTTCATCTGAGACCTTACTTACCAATACTACTTGCTATTCTGGTAAAATTGCTCTGAATGGATTGATTCATTTTTATGTTGTGCACACTCAGGTAGAATTTATACCAAAAAGGATCATCAAATGTGCCCTTCCACTGGCAGAAAGTATTGTTCAGCTTGTCTGGATACAGCAATGGGTGACTACTACAAACAGAAGACACTTAATTATGGTGACTTATAAACACATACGTACATGTGGATTCATCCACTTGTATTGAATGATTAGAAACAGGTTATAAGTATGATCATTAATTAAGTTTTACTATCAACCCAGTTGAATATAAACATCTGTTATGTATCATTTTTTTGTAACATTAGCTGTTTGTACACAGTTAACAGATTCATTTTCTTTTTGTATGTGGTATTATTATTAGAAGCAGTACAATGAAAGTTTCTTGTACAAAGGTAGCGATTAAATTGTGCATACAAGACTTGATGAACAAACTGGAAATAGATTTTAATACAGTAAAACTTCTCTAATCCGGACATCATTGGTTCCATACAAATAAGCCAGATAAGACAACATTCCGGATTAGACAATATTCTAAGCAATTGGATTTACTTTAAAGGGACTTCATGTTTACATCATATTAGGCAAGATTTTCGATTACACAACATCTGGATTAGACAAGTTTCATTGTATCATGAACTGTGTTTTGACAGAATCAACAGGAATATTAGGAAGGCTCTAACAGCCCTGGGTAGTTCTGACAGCCCTAAGTAGTACTGACAGCCCTGGGTAGTTCTGACAGCCCTGGGTAGTACTGATAGCCCTTGTTAGTTCTGACAGCCCTAGGTAATACTGACAGCCCTGGGTAATACTAACAGCCTTGGGTAGTTCTGATAGCCCTGGGTAGTTCTGACAGCCCTGGGTAATACTGACAGCCCTGGGTAGTACTGACAGCCCTGGGAAGTTCTGACAGCCCTGGATAGTACTGACAGCCCTGGGTAGTACTGACAGCCTTGGGAAGTTCTGACAGCCCTTGTTAGTACTGACAGCCCTGGGTAGTTCTGATAGCCCTAGGTAATATTGACAGCCCTGGATAGTACTGACAGTCCTGGGTAATACTGACAGCCCTGGGTAGTTCTGATAGCCCTGGGTAGTTCTGACAGCCCTGGGTAGTACTGACAGCCCTGGGAAGTTCTGACAGCCCTTGTTAATACTGACAGCCCTGGGTAGTTCTGACAGCCCTAGGTAATACTGACAGCCCTGGGTAGTACTGACAGCCCTGGGTAGTACTGACAGCCCTGCCCTGGGTAGTACTGACAGCCCTGCCCTGGGTAGTACTGACAGCCCTGGGTAGTTCTGATAGCCCTGGATAGTACTGACAGCCTTGGGTAATACTGACAGCCCTGGGTATTTCTGACAGCCCTGGGTAGTACTGACAGTCCTGGGTATTTCTGACAGCCCTGGGTAGTTCTGACAGCCCTTGTTAGTACTGACAGCCCTGGGTAATACTGACAGCCCTGGGTAGTTCGGACAGCCCTGGTTAGTACTGACAGTCCTGGGTAATACTGGCAGCCCTGGGTAGTTCTGACAGTCCTGGGTAATACTGACAGCCCTGGGTAGTTCGGACAGCCCTGGGAAGTTCTGACAGCCCTGGGTAGTTTTGACAGCCCTGGTAGTTTGAGAATTCTTTGCTTGTTAATGGAATAAATGAATACTTTGAATTTAAATAAAGGCAATATATTTCAGGTTTGAAAGTTTCATGAGGATATAACTTGATACTTATCACCAGGCATATTTTTTATGTGCTTCATGGAATTTGCTTTGATCAAAAGTATCAGGGCACACCTTCACAGATGACCAAAACTAGAATGCATTTCTTAAATGACATTTAGGTGTCAGATATGTTATATGTCATTATCTGAGGATGGAAAATGAAATGACTACATAAAAACAATTATTATTCAAATCAAGAAGTTACATGCAATCTGAAAGTTCTTTTTTAATATTAAGAAACATAGAATCTCATTTGATGCATTCATTTAAACCTTACAATAAGTACATGTGTACTTGGCTGTCTAATTCTTCCTCCAAAGGACTCTTTCTATATTCATAAAAATATCAGTAAGTGTTAAATGATGTCTGAATGCCATAAAAATTAGGCTATTTAATCTTTCCAAAGAGAGAAAGTTTGGTTCTCCATTATCTTCATACTACAGAGGATTTTTTCAGACATGTACACCTGGTCATCAAACTATAAAGTATAAACAGGATTATCTGTGTGTAAGGAACATTCAATGGAACTTATGTAGAGAGTAAAAAAAAAACTCTTGAGTGTTAGTACATGCTAACTGAAAAAATCAGGCTGCTATTCATCTTAGCTCTAACTGCTAGTATTAAGTATCAAGAGGATTTGTTAGGGCCCTGCTCTGCAGGTGCCTTAATGCCCATATAGTGATCAGTGACCCAGGTTAAACTTCATCCATAGAGTACCCCTTGGTAGAAGTTGTGTAGTGACTTTAAACCAATTTCGTAGATAAAAGATCAAAGAAAAACCTTTCTGTAAAATCCTTGGCCCAGTTGTGCTCATAATTCAATGATAGAGTGCCCATAGTAGAGGGTGTGCAATGACCTTAAACCAATTTTTTAGATGAAAGGTCAAGGTCAGAAAATCTCTCAGCATAAAAGCCTTGTCTGGAGCATATTTTCTCTCTCTTTGGCCCTACTTGACCAAATTTCTAGGTTAGTGGCCAAGGTTATAGCAAAACTCTGTAATTTTTTTTTTTTTGAGCATAGTTAATATTAGTTATTTCCTATGTAGCTTGTAACACGAGTTTTGATTGGTTAAAAAGTCAGTGTAAATTTCCTTACATCTGACTTGAACCTGGGGTAAAAAATGTGATGTCACAATGCATAGTTTCTCTATGATAAAAAGCAAATAACTGACGTCATGATCCATTGTAGGACGTAGTAAATCTTATTGATAGCTTGAAACACAGTTGATTGGACTTGTTTACACAGAATTTATTTGGGTACATAGGAAATAAATTCGTTCCAGGTCCAATCAAGGGTGTAAGGGGATTTATCCTGGGTTGTATTTCAAACACCGTTCGGTCTCTGTGTGTATGGAATACAACCCAGGGTAAATCCCTGCACACCCTTGATTGGACCTGTATAATGAATTTATGCATTGTGACATCACGTTATTTACCCCCGGCTCAAGTTGGGTGTACGGAAATTTACATAACCAATCAAAGCTCATTTTACAAGCTACATAGGAAATAAAGGGTCTTTCATCCTAATGTCCTATGCTAAAAGTGGGACCCTTTGAGATGGTAGCCATCTCAACAATGTCTAGTTCAGGTTGTGGGTTGGGTCCATTCTACAAGCTCAAACTTCAATCAACTCTGTTTTATAATTATTTAAAAGGTACAAAACTTTCACTACATGTATTAAAGCAGGCCTGGTCAAAAGAAAATCATGTCCAGAACACCTCTGAATATAAATCAAAATTTGTCAAAAATTATTGTTATGCTACAATATACTTGTTGCTTATTACATTGTAATAAACTTCTACGGTAAGATTTATTGGGCATATCTCATGCCTCCAGACATTAAAACAACAAATAGTGTTGAATCATTTTCTTGGAATTTACACTTTTGTACTAACCATACCTAATGTTCCCACAGAGATAATCCTGTAAAACTTATAGACACTAGGGCTGTCACAATTCCAAAATGTTTTGGGACAGGTCGGTTCTGTAAATTTTCGATTCGGTTTTGGGTTTTTTTGGTCCGGTTCCTAAGATCTATTTTAAACTTTAATTTAATTTAATTTAATTTAATGTAATTTAATTTAATTTAACATGAATTAAACTTAAAAAAGTCTAAATTTTTACATAAAATTCACCTTTTAAAACAACTCTTAACTATGTCAATGTCTTGACATTGGTGTTTTGGACTACGAGGCCAACTATTAATTACAGCATGACCACTCTTGCTCAGACATTTCGATAATTATCCTATCCTATGACAAGCGTTTTGTCATGGATGAGGTAAATTTCAGTTGTAATGTTTACTTATTACTGTCACTAATGAAACAGCTTCTTATATACAAACCAAACCCCAACTGAAATCTGGAATTGAAACCGAGTCAAACATCTTGGACCACTGTTTTTGACAGCTCTAATGGACCTGAAGAATTTCTAGAATTATCATAAATGAAATAACCTTACAATAACCCCTGTGAAGTTGTATGATTAAGGTGATGACCTTGAAATTTCAAAACTCACAGTGGATGCTATGTACTTACCTGGTCTCAGCAATGACTGTTACATTAATGTTGCCATTGTGTTTATAAGTGCCAATCTCCCAAGAACAGGACAGAGAATCATCCCAGTCATACAGTATGCACTGAAAGTCACTGTCATTCACAGGCTGAAGGGGGTCTGAAAATTACAGATTAAATGAAAAGTATATTCATAGCACAGTTTTCAGAATGATCTTCTTATTTTTAGATGTTACATTTATCTTTAACTTTCTTCAATAATCTGAAACTGAATTCATTAAAAACTAAGAAGTCATGCTTTCTTGATCATGATGTTGAAGAACACAATCATTCAGTTTCATAAAATTTATTCATGAAATATTAGAGTGCTCACACCAAAGACCTTCAATAAACATAAATCATTCTTACAATCTACTTCTATGTAGGAGGATCCAACTTTTTTGTCATCTTTGTAACAATTATAAACACCCTGGTCATCGAAGTCCTTTACAACTTTCTTGAGTAAGATGATGTTTTTCTTCTCTTGTTCCGTGAATTCTGATTGGTCCACATTATTCTTACCAAATGTAAACATGAGGAGGTAGGGGCTACTGTCTTCTTCAATTGTACAATTCAATACCAAAGTCGATCCTTTGGTTATATAAACATTTACTGGGCTGACTTCTGATGAAAGTAAAAAAAGAAAAGTTATGGATATACATGTACAAAAATTATTGCTTATGGTGAACAAGGTGAATACACAATAATAATACAAACTAGATATCATTGAGATGGTGGCCATCTCAAAGGGCCCCGCTTTCAGCGACGAACATGAAAAAGTAAAGTAGCTGAAAAGGGTTTATTTTGAAGAGGAACACTTGTGTACTATTAAGGCATGTGTTGTTTGAGTCTAAAGGGCTTCTATGTCAACCTTGTTATAATAAAAAATGGCATGAAAATCAGGAGTGCTCCATACCCTCTATCAAAAAGTGGCACAAAAATCACAAATGTTGCATATCCTCTATGAAAACTGTTGCATATATATCAAAATATGGAAGGAAAATCACAAATGTTCTGTACCCTTAGTCAATTGGTAAAGTTTGAGGCTGACTGGACTTAAGAGAAAGAAACCATGCACCGAACAAAGATTTTAAACAGAGAGGCTATTTTTGACCTTGACCCTTGACCTAGAAACTTCGTTCAATGTCACTGCACATCCATTGACCAGTGGCACTCTGAGAGTGAAGTATGAGCCACATTGGATCAAAAGGAGAGAAGATATGCTCCGGATGAGGATTTTTCATATAATTCTGCTATGACCTTGACCTTAGACCTAGAAACATGGTTCAAGGTCACTGCACACTCTTTACCCAAAGGCACTCTGTGGGTGAACTATGAGCCAGACTGGACCAAGGAGAGAGAAAATATGCTCCGGACAAGAGTTTAAACAGAGAGGCTATTTTTGACCTAGACCCTTGACCTAGAAACTTCGTTCAAGGTCACTGCACATCCATTGACCAGTGGCACTTTGTGAGTGAAGTATGAGTCACATTGGACCAAGAGGAGAGAAGATATGCTCCGGATGAGGATTTTTCATATAATTCTGCTATGACCTTGACCTTAGACCTAGAAACATGGTTCAAGGTCACTGCACACTCTTTACCCAAAGGCACTCTGTGGGTGAAGTATGAGCCAGATTGGACCAAGGAGAGAGAAAATATGCTCCGGACAAGAGTTTAAACAGAGAGGCTATTTTTGACCTTGACCCTTGACCTAGAAACTTTGTTCAAGGTCACTGCACATTCATTGACCAGTGGCACTCTGTGAGTGAAGTATGAGTCACATTGGACCAAGAGGAGAGAAGATATGCTCCGGACAAGGATTTTTCATATAATTCTGTTATGACCTTGACCTTAGACCTAGAAACATGGTTCAAGGTCACTGTGGGTGAAGTATGAGCCAGATTGGGCCAAGGAGAGAGAAGATATGCTCCGGACAAGAGATCTCGGACAGACAGACGGACGGACGGACGGACAGACTTATCACTATAGGGCACCTGCAGAGCGGGGCCCTAATAAACTTAAAGCATTTTCATTTGATTCATGGTACATATAGAGATACAGTGAAACTTGTCTAATCTGGATGTTGTATATTCCGAAACCTTGCCTATTACAATGTAAACCTCATGTTGTTTAATCCCGAATGTTTGCTCAATCCCGCCAAATTCTTTGGAACCAGTGGTGGCCGGATTGGACAAGTTTTACTGTAATGTACGTTCTTTTCAGATTGGGGTCCTAATACTATTGATAAAAATTACTTAAAAACTCCATTAGGCCTAAAAAAAAAAATTTGTGTGTTTCGGGTAACACGACCTTACCTATAAAAATGTGCCGATCCTAAATTTTTTTTGATGTCCGTATTTATCCGATTAAAATTCCTATCATTTCTATGTAAAATCCGTTTTTATCAGAATATTTTTGTTTCTCATCCCTAAGAAACGTCTTTAAAACGCTTAGGTTTATAATGAACATTAACAATATTTAAATCAACATGCAAGCGTTTTTACGAGGGGTCCGACAGCATGGAATGGGAAATCTTTTGGATAATATGATTTTGACACTGATATTTCTGTAATTTAAAAGTTTTCTGATAAAGCTGAAAGGGTGGTTACGTTCTGATTACGTGTCCGACCCTCATGGACAGTCATGGTTTCGTAATCGGACTGCGTATGTCTAAGCCAACGTGTATACAAACACAAAGGTGAAAGTGAACTAACGTGTTTACGCACAGGTGTGTGGTAAACAATGGTACATGTAGCTGTCAATAGAGAGCAAAAGGCTTAATAGATATTTGTGTCAATTAGATTTCTGTCATACAAATAGGACGAATAATGAATAAGTACATTAGTAAAAATCATTATCTATCTTTCTAAAAGTTTTCTTAAAATCACAGATTTTGATAACTGTGTATTAGAATATTTTAGATCATTTTTTTTTCTTAAAAGAAAAAACTGATTGTTTTGGAAAGAACCCACAAACGCAGGGACAAGCTGCAGTGTAAACAATAACTAGTCACCTACTTCTGTGGGGAGATGAGTCACAAAATGTTGAAATCAATAAATATATTTTTTAATCTACAAAAATTTATAAGAGATTCTGGTAGATTCGATTAATTATTACAACCTACCACTAAAACTCTAGTTAGTTAGATATCATGTAAAGAATGTATGTTTAAAATAAATATTTTTGTATATCAAAGTTTTTTTTTCTATAGATATTGACAGTTGTAGCCATTTATAATGAGAACGTCGTAAGTTGCAAGAAGTTGTGTTCAAACCATTTGTATATTATTTATGCAATAAAATATGTTCAAACAAAAAAAAATTAGATAATTAACATTCACACAATTGCAGCCTTCTTTGAAGATCAAAAAAGCATCTTCACTGGTAAGAATATAATTGCTTCAAAATTATAATTATGAATTGTATAAATACAGATGATATTGTTCTGAATTCAAACTGCATCCGAAATGTAAATAATTAAAACCGTCTTAATCAGTTAATGATTAAGAATATGTGATTTGTGTTAAAATGAAAGTTTTCCCTTGTAGAAGAGATATTTAATAAAAGAATTTTGAATTATCCATTAACTGTTATCTTTTTGATTCAGAACGAAACCACTCAGGTCATAAACACAAGGGTCGAACACATGTTTGAAACTTAACCACTCGTATTTGCTGAAATGAAGAGAAAATGAAAAATTAAAATGGTATGAAACTGTAAAATTTAGTTGTCTGATCCCGTACGAAAAAATCCAGGAGGAGAAAAGGTGGAGAGTATAGACAGAATCCGTCTGCATAAAGCTACGTAAAGCATTATGATGCTTAGGTGGATTACTGTTTTTCAAACATGTTGGAGTGAAATAAAATGTAGAATAATATTCTCATGATTTTCTATCTATATTTCAGTGGTCATACATAAAAAAAAAAAAATTCAAAAAAAAATAATTTCCGTACCTACCTACCCTAATTTTTTCATCAGTGTGTAACCTGAAACGCACAAATTTTTTTTTAGGCCTTAAAATTAACAATATTATATTTATTCATTGAATTTATCAATATATATCTTACCTCCACAATCACAGCAGTTGTAAATACATGAATAAGGCCTAGGATTGTGTATTACCAGGAGGTTCAGTAAAGTAAACAAAAACAGAGGGTATTTATATACACGTAATTCCATTTTTTGACATCCACAAATCCTGTTTTTTCCCTGAAAATAAGCAGTCCTAATCATTTCCAGATGAAATAAATTAACATTAAGAAGCAGAAAAATACTCCTTTTTTATGGGAGATTCTACTACAGTCATTGCAAAGATCAAAGATGCCACAGCCATTGTTCTCCAATAAATCACAAATGTCAGGGTTCAAAATTCACTATATACAACTCGCAAAATGCGAGTTAGAATTCCCAAATTGCTATTAAAAATTAGATAACTCGCAAAAACTTGCGAGTTGATTTTTTTTGCATTGAAACTGTAGCAAAATTATATAATATGACAGAACACAATGATTTTGATTTAAATCAGTAATTTAAATAAAAATCACACTGTAGTTGTATTTTTGTATTGTATAGTAGTTACTTTTTCCTTAAGTTACATGTATTTAATTTATATTAATTTAACTTAATATGAAAATTGTGAGTAGTGTTATAAAATTGCGAGTTCACTTTCTTGGTACTCGCAATTATTTGCGAGTTGTAATTTTACTAGGGAATTTGTAACCCTGAAATGTCATCACCAAATTATCGATAAATTTAAATTGGTGTCCTCTAATTTCGACTTTGTTCACTAGGAAGATGATAGAGGTATCTTCTGATTGTGACATAAACTGGTGGGAAAAATTTACTTTGGGTTCAGATTACATCGCACTTTTTCTAATGCTTGAGATACAAATGAACGAGGAGTAGCGTTCAATTGTGATGTCAAAAGGCACTTCCGATGATGTCCAAATCTAGCTTCCGCATTTCTCTATACAGAAATTTAAATATTAACCATAGCAGAATAGAAATAATTCCCTCGTCAACAGAATTGTTGGAGAATATACCCCTTAGTGCTGAGATTTTGCTGGCAATTAAAAACCTCTCCCTTCGGGCTCTGTTTTTATTTACCAACAAAATCTCTTCACTATTGGGGTACATTCTCCAACAATTCCTCTGACGCTGGAATTATTTAAATATTTACATCCACTGAATATTAATAACTCATTTATTTCTTATGAAAAAACCCTGGTCTTTTTTCAGTATTTTAACACCGCTAAGCAGGCAACCTGTATAGAGTGGCTCTTCCATCAATGAAACATACAGTGATGTACATATCAAATAATACAATATTTAGCACACTTAACCCTCCTTTATATGATTATTTAAACAGAATTGAAAATAAACAACATGTCTTTTTTGTTTGTTAGTATGGGAATAAACATTGCCGCTATTGCAGAAAAAATTTACGTAAGGCCTGTTCAACAGAGCGAACTTTCGCTAGCGCTCGCCAAAATTCCTTATCTTTCCAACAGAAATGTTTGCGAGCACTCGCGAACGTTCGCTTTGTTGAACAGGCCTCAGGTTTACCTAGCTTAGTCTGAGGCTCAGCCAAATTCTATCAGAATCAAGTATACATGCTAATACTCAGCCTAATAGTTTGGACTAAACTCTTTTGTGTCTGAAAAACAACAGAATGACCCAATTAAGTCATGATCACTTATTGATCTAAGCAGACACTCTATACGCTATGTACACATTGACGGGAACTTCAATATTGAGTTACATATTGAGGTTGTATATACTAAACAACATTTTTTTAACTCACTTAGCAATGCTAACGTTATAACATGTATAAATATTTACATCTTACTGAATAATATAAATACACAACTGTACATCAAATGTATTTTCATTAATACTTTTGTTCACAAAAAATGTATGCAGGTTAGTTATCTATATATAGAAGTAAAGAAATTTTATTAAAATAAATATTGCGCTATGTGTATTCCCTTAACCCATTATGTTCTACTTCTACTTTCACTTTGTCTGAATGACAATCTCATTTTTTCAACCAAAATATATTGAGATGACAATTATATAGGCATTTTTTGGTTATCAAAGAAAAGTCCTACCTGTATCACCTTTTTTTAAGTAGACGACAATCAACATTCATATTAAGATCACTACTTTGGGATCCATCATCGGCGGATGAACGGCGAGAGAATGCCAGATACAGGGTTTTTCCTCGATTTTCATCATGAAATCGGAATGTCCGATGTCACGATTTTCGACCTCCATTCATTTCTTGTCCAACGTAGTCTCTAGTTTCTCCTAGGTACACGTAAAACTTCTCAGCAAAATCAAAATCCGTTCAATTATCTATATTTTAAGCGGTGTCTTCTCGTTTCGTTCCATTTTCCCAATAGCCCCTACTTCTTATAGCAAATCAAAGTACTGAAAGTACTGAAAAGCATATATCATGCTTCCGTGTGGGATTTACAACAAAATTTGTACGAAATGATGATATTAAAGTGCTGTAAAGTTTATGTTCAATGAGATCAGACAAGATTACTGAACTCTGCAGTATTTTACTAAATGACAGAGCCAATAACAACACGAAGACATAAGCTTCTTTTTTTGTTTAAATACATGTAATGTTACATTGATGTCATAGCTGCATGTTAAAAAAAAAATTCTCAAATTGTAATTTCCTTTGAAAGAAAAAATGCTATTTTTGGAATCCACAACCGGTGGTGACCTGAAGTAGGGCCTACCGACAACGTAAAAATGTTGATATTGCATATCTATCTGTCATGCTCTATGATCTCTGATAAAAAAAAAAAAAAAAAACTATCAATGTCTCACAATCTTAAGTATTATGAATTTGAAGAAGGGGTTAACTAAAGGGATCAAAAGTAAAACTTTTTACATCAAGTTTTCTTCTAAAACCAAACTACTATAGATTATATAAGTTAAAACATTTAAAAATTCAAGTTGAAATTGGAGATTCTGTATTTTCGAGGTATTGAGTACTTCCATGATTTAAAATTATATGCTGCCATCCTTACTGGAAGACGAACAAGTGAACAAATAATCAATCTTCAAGAAATGTTCATAATCACTTTAATTTTATAAATGATACTAGTAAATGGAGGAATATGATAATCATAAACTCAGAGTCTTACACATTATGATACATGTATAAGGACATGTAGGTATACTCTTGATATTAGAGAAAGCATGTGTTTATTGCCATTCTTTGTATCTTCAGAAAGTGGATAAATACTTGTATATCTCTACAATCTGAGTGAAATCAAATCTTAGATCTGCACCGTATTCACTCTGCGCGAATCTAGGGATACTGATATTGATTAGACTGAAAACTTCTGAAATACACTGGTTTTAAAGCAAGAATCATATGAAGTTGGTCAAGACGGGGAACACCCCCCTTTCCAGCTCCCATGCACACACACACACACACATATGAAAACAACTTGTATATATATCCAATCTTCCAGCATTGAAGACTTCAAATAGTGGAATGACTTGACAACAGTTGGAAGACTAGCCTAAGGGTATAAAAGGCAAAGTCAGGCATTCAGAAGGTAGCTGTAGAAGTTAGATGATGAATCAGGAATAAAAAGTTGAGGTGTTCCATCCTAACAGCAAAAGATTCAATGAAATTGAATACATATCAGATGTGTAGGTGTTGAATACTCAGTATAATTAGACATAATTCCCATTTATCACTATTAGCATGTAAGGGTGGGATGTGTCCTAATTTATGACCTTGAATTTTGGTAAGAATTATCTCCCCCTGTTTTTAATAACGCTAATAAACACAAATCAATTTTAAGAAACTTATCTGGTAAAAAAAAATCGTTATTTCTAAAAAATTGCTCCAAAGACTTCATCGCAATCTTTGTTAAGTACTCACTGCTTAATTAATTACATTTTGAAACTTTCTCTAGGTACATGTACATTGTAAATCCTTTTCTACTGTAAAATGCTTTAAATTAATATCAGAGTATTATGTATGTGATGGGCATTTAAGGATAGAGAAAACTTACAGGTAAGAGCAGAATAAAAGTGTAAAAGTTATAAACACCAGTGGCAAGTATCCGAGGAAATTGATGTTAAGCTCTGGGTGTAGTAAATCTGAAGAAGATTGAGACAACTGGTCCTTATCTATCAATGGGAACCTAGGGGAGAAACAATTGATGCAAGTAGTACCTTACCCATGCAGTCCCCATCTCTAGATAAGAGAAAATTTAAGTAGTGTGTGATATACCCATATATACACCCTCAGACAGAGCTGTCTTTAAGTTAATAATATGCATGTATCATTCCAATCATTAACTCAGACAGAGTAAAAGGAAAACATATATCCCTTTTAAGATCCTGATCATACAATTACATAGGAAATATCTTTGAAATCTTCTTCTCAAGAACAACTAAGCCATAATTAGTCATATTTATACAGAAACAACCTTAGGTATTGTAGAATCAAGTTTGTTCAAATAATGACCCCTCAGGGGTTGGGGCACAACAGAGGGTCAAAGTTTTACGTAAGAATATATAGGAATCATCTTGAAAAGAAAATCTTTTGCACAAGAACAGCAAAGCCATGATTAGTCATATTATTATAGAAGCATCCTCAGGTAGTGTAGATTCCAATTTGTTCAAATTTACGGTGCATTTAAATCGTTTTATCGAAACAGTTGCGAATTGACCGAACACCGCTTTTATATCAATGGAACTGAAAACACAAAAGAATGAAAAGGAGGAAGTAATTTATCAGTAAAGGATAGACAGACGACATAAAAAGGTATTGTGCTCGAGATAAAGGTAATTAACCGCTACAGTTTTTTGGTGAGTCTACTTCAGTTTTGTCTAAAATATGTATCGTAATATTTCATTTTTTTTAAAGCGAAAGTAGACATGTATTTTCATAGTAGTTTTGGGAAAATGTGTTTGTTTAGGTCCGATGGATAAATTAAGGAAAGACACCAGAAAGAAATATGTCGAACCTTAGACGCAGGAGTTCTTCTTTAATACCATAAGAAAACCGTGTTACATAATCATCATGTTCGTAACTTAAATATTATAGCTGATTCTCATTTTATTTTGTGAATTGTCTATAAAACAAAACAAGGTCATGACAAAAATGTCAAATAATCGATCATTCCCATGATGTGTTAGTTCTACTTGCATGTGTTCAAACCATAACCCCTTGGGTAAGGATTACACCAATAATTCTGGAACAGTTTTGATCAGAAATATTTTGACATTCACAAGAACAAAGTGGATAAAAGTTTATTTTGAACTTTGATACATGTTTTTTCAGACAATAAATATATTTGCATTATAGTTCTCTTGAGTTGTTGCATTTTATGAAATTTTATGTATCAAAATGAAATATATGGAGATAATGAACAGTATTCAAGCTCAAAAGTCCATTAAACAATACAAAATAGGAGCAGAGCAAACACAGACCTCCAAAACATCAGAGGTGAGATCGGGTGCCATGGGGGAGTGAGCACCCTCTGCCGACCAGTCACACCCGCCATGTGCTCCTTGTCATGATCGGGTAATAACAGAAAAATCCGTCGACAATTTAGTTTGTAAATAATAGCCTAACAATTAGTATGAAATTTGACAGCATTTGACTCAATGATAAATTGTATTTGCTGACAAGTTCATTCATTGTATGGACCATAGAACTTACGAAATGATGACTTTAAACGAGACTGCTGATATTCTTGTTTCATCAACTTGTTTGTCAATAATTTAGCTCGTTTTAGAAATTGTACATATGTAGAGCATGCTCTTGCATATCGAATTAACTGAGAGATATAAACCCCATATGCAGGTGATGGAGGTATATTGCTGCATAAGTAAGGAAAGTTGACGATTGAAAAGTTAAAGTCATCACGTTCATCATAAAGCTTAGTTGTTAGATTACCATTAACATCTTTTTCAAGTAAAATATCCAAATATGAAACAGATGTGTCAGACTCTGTGGTATATTTTATCTCAAGCTCACCGGGATTTATTGTATCATCATAAGAATGGAAATAACCATTGTTAATTAACAATACGTCGTCGATATATCTAAATGTCAAGTTGAAGGCCACAGCAAGTGTTTTCTTCTTTTCACGTATAAGATTTTGGACAAATTCTGCTTTATATGAATGCAAAAAAAGGTCTGCTAATAACGGGGCACAATTGGTACCCATGGAAATTCCAATAGATTGTTGGAAGACCTGGTCTCCAAAAACCATATAGATATTGTCAATCAGAAACTCAAGCATCTTTTTAATGTCAACTTCAGAGTACTTGTGTGTACAATCAGAATGTTTTTTAAGAAAATAATTTTGCAAATGACCAATGACAAGGTAAGTAAATTTACGAGTTCCATTTTTATTGAAAAAGCAGCTGTCAATGATATCAAAAAGCCTGGACTTTAATTTATCATGGGGAATGGTTGTGTATAAAGTTGAAAAGTTGTAAGTTTTTAAGCTGTTGATTTTGGTAAAATCTTGTGATTTCAAATTTTCCAAAAGTTCCTTGGAATTTTTAAGTATGTACATCTGATTTACACCACTTCTCGAATATATTGTTGCACAGTACTCTAGAAGTTTCTCCTTCACTACTGTTAATATCTTAGCGAGGAGTAAAGAAAGAGGCTTGGTTGAACATTTACTGGAACCCGCTATGTATCTTTATTTGTGAGGATTTTTATGAAGTTTCGGAATCCAATATAGATATGGTAATTCAAATTCATTTTGGTTGTTTGGAATATTAAAAATATTCAAAACTGATGTATGATTTTGAAGAATTTCTTCCTTAGAAAGGTAACTATGAGTATAAGTTGGATTACCACTTGAAGAATTAAATCCAAGTTCCTCTGAAATACCGGTACATTTAATATAATGAGCCTTACAAACAAGGACATTGTTGTTACCTGCTTTGTCAGCAGGGACCAGTACGTACTGATCATGTAATCTAATTCTTTTTTCACTTCTGGATTATTGAAAACAGAAGGATAGATGGTTCTCATATTGCCCCTCAATCGTTTAATGTGAGATTTTACATACATCTGATAAATTTAATCCATTCTGACAAAGTGTAAAGGTCTTCTTTTTCATGTCTGCCCATTGCGTGGCGTAATCCTCTACAGAATCCATAATATTTATGAAATTCCGATGCCAGTTGAAGGATCAGGATTCCCTATATTCAGGAGACCTTTTAAAATTAATGATCTAAGGTCCTCATTATTAACTATATTTACATCACCAGTAATAACGTGTCCAGCAGGACGATAGTTATTGGGTGAAGAAGAACATGAACAAGATGGAGGATTATGTTTCAGATATTCTATATCCAGGCCCTGTAAAGTTTTCCTGTAATTAAAAAGTTTGGAAGCAATAGTCGATGTATATTTGTAGGAAATACAAGGTGTAGTCTTTAACTTGAAATACGGTGGAATACAAGACTGGACCCTTTTGCATGTGATTAAGAATATTACTTGATATATTAACCAGGTCAATTCCTTTATTGGCACATTGAAGTTTAAAGGAAAAAACTGATTGTTTTAGCTGCATTTTCTTCAGTAAAACATGGGGGTTTCAAAACTCATTACTCCCTATTATATAAAGAAGATCCCTCTTGATTTTTAGCTATAGGTGGAATGGTTTGTTTCAGAAATTCATATGTAGTTGCTTAAAATGGTCTTCAGATGATAATTATAATTAGCTTTTTGCTTTGCATTTTTTACAATGAAAATTTATATAAACTTCCTATCAAAATGATCAAACATGATCAAATGTAAAAAAAAAATTAATATATTGCATAAACTGGTTTCCAGACTGAAAGTCTTAAATTATCTATAATGATCATGATTATTATTAACTTTTTTAGTTCTTTTTCTAAGATTTTGCAATAAATGTAAGGTTATAAACTATGATCATATTGCCCTGTTCTCATGGAGAGATTAATTTGAATTATATACAAGTTACTGCAATTTAAATTGGAATTGCATTCACATTAAAAATTTAATGCAAGTTAGTTTAATTAATTTAATGTGTATTCAGTTGCTCTACATTTACCATGTTAACTCCGTGTGAACACTAAGGATCTAAAAAAATTCCTAGTTTCTCATCCAATTTTTTTTTAAAGATTGAGGCGGGCGGGCAGATTTTATTTTCTATTTTTAGCTCACTTGAGCTGAAAGATCAAGTGAGCTTTTCTGATCACATTTTGTCTGTAGTCCATCTGTACGTCCGTCCATCTGTCTGTAAATTTTTCACATTTTCGACTTCTTCTCCAGAATCACTGACCCAATTTCAATTAAACTTGCCACAAAGCATCCTTGGGTGAAGAGGGTTCAAGTTTGTTCAAATGAAGGGCCACGCCTTTTCCAAGGGGAGATATTTAAGAATAAGTGACAAATTAAAAGCATCTTTTAAAATTCTTCTTCTCAAGAACCACAGGGCCAGGAAAGATGAAACTCATGTGGAAACATCCTCAGGTAGTGTAGATTTAAGTTTGTTCAAATCATGACCCCCGGGGGTAGGGCAGGGCCACAATGGATAATTACAATTTTACATAGAAATGTACAGGAAAAATCCTTAAAAATCTTCTTCTTAAGAACAGCAAAGTCATGATGAGTCATATTTATATGGAAGCATCCTCAGGTAGTGTAGATTCAAGTTTGTTCAAATCATGACCCCCGGGTGTAGGGGCCACAATGGACAATTAAAGTTTTACATAGAAATATATAGGAAAAATCATTAAAAATCTTCTAAAGAACAGCAAAGCCATGATGAGTCATATTTATATGGAAGTATCCTCAGGTAGTGTAGATGCAAGTTTGTTCAAATCATGACCCCCGGGTGTAGGGTGGGGCCACAATGGAGGATCAAAGTTTTACATGTATAGAAATATAGAGGAAAATCTTTAAAAATCTTCTTTTTAAGAACAGCAAAGCCATGATAAGTCATATTTATATGGAAGCATCCTCAGGTAGTGTGGATTCAAGTTTATTCAAATCATGACCCCCTGGGGTAGGGTGGGGCAACAATGGAGGATCAAAGTTTTACTTTGAAATATATAGGAAAAATCATTAAAAATCTTCTTCTAAAGAATAGCAAAGCCCTGATAGGTCATATTTATATGGAAGCATCCTCAGGCAGTGAAGATTCAAGTTTGTTCAAATCATGACCCCCGGGGGTAGGGTGGGGCCACGATGGAGGATCAAATTTTTACATAGATTCTGAAATATATAGGAAAAATCTTAAAAACTCTTCTTCTAAAGAACAGCAAAGCCCTGATAGGTCATATTTATATGGAAGCATCCTCAGGTAGTGTAGATTCAATATAGTTAAAATCATGACCCACAGGGGGATCCAAAGTTTTACATAAGATCATATAGGAAAATAATTTCTTCTCAAGAAAGAAAAGCTATGTTTAGTCATTTTGATATGGAAGCATCCTCAGGTAGTGTAGATTCAAGTTTGTTCAAATGATGACCCCTTGGATAGGGAGGAGCCACAATGGGGGATCAAATTTTTACAAAGGAATATATAGGAATTTTTTTTTAAAAATCTTCTCAAATACAACAAAGCCATTTGTTATATTGACATGGAAGCATCATCAAGTAGCTTAAAATTCAAGCGCCCCCCCCCCCCCCAATCTTTTCAATACTGAACTGATTTACTGATCTGTTCTTTTGCATAGCCAATGTGCTCAGGTGAGCGATGTGGTTCATGGGCCTCTTGTTTATTATGTTTTCATTGTGCAGATTTTTTGTTGACCTAGCTGATCAATCAGTGCAGATTTATCTATAATGCCTGAATAAAAGTCATGGTAGAGGTCCATGTAAATATGCATATCATTCCCTAACTACACATAATCACCTATCTATCACAACCAATGATCCTTGTTTTATGCATATTAACGTCTTGTCAGCTGTCAAAATCATGCTGACATTTGCGGGTTTTAAAATGAAAGTTGAATATAATGCTAGTTGAATACCAATCCCAATCAGAAAGAAGACAAAGAAAAACAGAAAAAAACAAAGGGGGGGGGGGGTAAAAAAATTGGGGCGGGTGGGGATGAGCTTGAGAATCTAGGAATTTTTTTATTATGGCCTTATTTATAATAAGCAAAGCTTATTTGAATTAAATTTTGACACGTGTATTAGCAAAATTAAACCACGTACATGCTATTATTGATTGAAAAACAAAGGAAAATTAAGTGTGTACAGACTCTACGAGACAAACTCTATGACATAATGTCAATTTTTTTTATCTGCTTTGCTTCAGGTGACTGATTTGTAATTCATAATAGCTTTATTTTAATTAGTAATAGAATTTTAATGGGCATTAGTTTAACAGGTAGTGGACACAATTTAAATTCACATTTATTTAATTTGCATTATTTTACTTCACATTGAATTACTGTGAATTAAAAATTTAATGTGCATTAATGTGAACAGTGCACAACTGAAGAAAGACCTCTATCGATTTTAAAGCCAAATAGTGAAATGTCAGGATCAACCCATCTCCTGTCTCTGTAATTATGAATTTAATAGGTCTTCCACCCACTGAATTTATCCTTGACAGGGGGACATAAATTCTCTAAATAAAAGCTTTTTTATAGACATGTACATGTTCATATTTTTTGTCGGCAAGATATATAGTAAGTCAGGTGAGCATTGTGAGCCATGGGCCTTTTGTTTTTAAACATTAATTGTTTTTGGATCAGTGCATCCAAACGTAAGGGTTCAAACACAAGAAAAAACTGTTCAAATCACGGGCTAGGGTTAGGGTGGCGCCACTTTAATGGATGAAATTTTTTACATTGAAACATATAGGAAAAAATCTTTAAAAATCTTTTCAAGAATCACTGGACCAGAAAAGATGAATATTATGTGAAGGCTTTCCCAGTGGATAAAGTGGGGCATCACAAAGGGTATAAAAGTTTCACTTGGAACTACATGTATGTATCTAAGATTTTTTTAAAAGTCTTCTTAAGAAACACAAAAGAATGATTAATTTGCAAGCATTCCCATATTGTGTGAATTTATTTATTTTTTTTTCATTATTATTTTTTTTAATTATGGACCCAGGTTAGAGTCAGTTTAAGGATACACGAAAGGTTTCCAAATGCCTGAATTTCATTAGCATGTAATACTGTAAACCAACTATTATTCGCATCATCTTTTATTCGCGATTCGTCAGTTTGCAATCAATCCACCATGATTAATTTTCGCGACCAAGATACATTCTACGAAAATACACAGTAAAATATATTGTTTGTGGTGATAAAAATTCGTGATTAAAGAAGGTCGCGAGACTTGCGGATATTTCTCGCACGCAAATAAAAGTTTGTTTACAGTATTTTTTTCATTATCATAGGTAATATAATAAAAGTAAATATCATTTGAAAGCTTATTAAATTCACTATTTAATTATCCTAACTTAAACTTTCATTGATAACTTTATATTTGAAAAATTTTTAAATTTTGATGTAAATTTTAGTGCATAAATATTTTATAAATCAACTTTGTTGTATTTAAATACCCCTCAAAGTAATCATTTGGTCCTTTAAGGTAAATTAAAGATTGAACTTTTTCTCTGATTTTTTATAATTCTTCTTATTCGAAGGTTACGGCCATTTGCACTTCAGGGTTACCAAAGCAAGATATCAAAAATCTGAGATGTGGTTTTGGGAACCCACATTTGAGAAGCAACTTAGCCAATTTTCAGAGAAATAGGTCCATAAATAAGGGAGCTGAATCCTTTGAAATAATACAAAATTATTATACCTCTACTAATTTTTGACCATATAAGAGTAAATTGATTTATTACATTTTCAACAGTGAAATACTGTAATTTATTTACTGAATAAAGTGATATTCTGACACAGTGTGAAAGCATGGTAATCTCACAGTGTGAAAATATCAGAAGTGCGGCAAAACTTACGATTTTCGTTCCCTTCACGAAGAGTGTTTTTAAATAAATCCCTGGCCTGTTATAAGATAGAGTTATTGAGCCATCCTAACAGAGACTTACAGTTATTCTGCCAAAGTTTTTCCAAATATGTCATTGAAAATCCATGTTTACAACATTTTTCAATCTCGCAATTGCTTAGCTATGACGTCTCAACAGCTCAACTATGACATCACAGCATATGACACTGATATATTTTGCTGATTCCCTGAAAATCACCGTTAAAAGACTTGATTCCCTGCAAAAAGGTGCTTCAGTTTGATGAACTGTCATACACACCTATTTGGAACACTTTACAATTTCTTTAAATCATATGAAAAGTACCGATATGTTCCAAATAAAATCATGAATATTATAATGCAGCTCAGTTAAAGTTATATATAAGGAGGCGGGGCCTAATATTTATACGGGAAAAAGTAACTTGTTATTGTGACGTCAACATGGTAAACTAATGTGCACTGAGAGCTAGATGGATCATGTTACTTTGTCACAGTGTAAATTGTTAATAAAATAAACAAAGTTGCTTGCAGATCTATACAAGTGTTTTATAGACCATTAATTGATTCAAATGCAAAGACCTTTTATTGAATTTATTTATTTATTTTATCTACATTCTGAGTAATCAAAGTTTCCCAGTGCACACCTTTAATATACAGGTAATTGCACTGCATATAAAATAGAGTTGCAGTTACGGATTTTGAAAATAGTCTAATTTTGGTATTGGTATAATAAAACAGTTAAAGTATATCATTGAGGGAGTCAGCAAGATTCCCTCCGCTGCACCTGGGGAAATAGACTTGCTTTTGGGAACTGAAATCTTGCTGACTCCCTCAATGATCCATATACTTTAACTGTATACTGTCTAATCTTCCTTTACAGTAGAGGGCAAAAACCCATTACACAACAAAATCTGCCAAAGGTAGAAATATATGATACCTTGGAGATTCAGCTTTGGAAACCTGTCACTTAGTCATATTTCCTATGCATATTCACAAGTATGGGAGGTTCTTTTCTATATTTTGATGTTACGAATAAAAGCCTTAAAACTTTGCTTTAAACTTAGTCTAAATAGTTGTTATTTTACCCCCCTCCCCCCGCAAACGACGTTTGGGGGTATATTGGAATCAGCATTTCCGTCTTTCTGTCCTTCTGTCTGTAGACGTGATTTTGTCCAGACCTTTTCTCGGAGACTATTGCATGGATTTGTCTGAAATTTTGTACACTTATTATTCACCATATGAAGGTGTGCACCTGGTATTTTCATCATGATTGGATAATTTTTCTGCATTTTACAGGTGTTTTTTTTTCATTTTTATTGACTTGGTCATTTTGAGTTCGTGTAGGTTTGAGACAGAATCTAGAATTGCTAGTTAGTACATCTGTATAAAAATGTGAATTGCAGCTTAAAACTACTCATTGAAACTTAAAAAAAAATCACCAAGTATGAAAAAAAGATTTTTGGTAGATAATCTGTACAAATCTAAGAGTCATATACAGTAACCTTATTAAAAAGAAGTTGCATCAGGATTACTCATTTCTTTTTTTTCATTACATAAAACTTTGTAACAAATTAAAAAAAATCTTTGTTTTCAACAGAATGACATATACGTGCATTTTCTATTGTGTGACAGATCAGATGGTGTAAATCCATTTGTCCCTTGGGAGTAATGATTGGACATGCATCCAGTTGAAGAGTTCCGAGTGGGAAGCTTTTAGAACATCTCTGATCTTTTATCTATGTCTCCTGGGAATTTGGCAGAAGAATTAAGGTACCTAAAGATCTCTGTTCTCTAAATCTCTTAATTGTAATTTATAATAGTCTAGCTGCCAAATTAAAATACAGTTACTGCATGACCAGCCTTTTATTTGAAAAATGAATTTTGGATTAAATTATCAAGATTAATTTGATATTGTATAATATGATATTTTTATTCTTTTTCAACAAACAAACTGCAGAGTGTACAATGTAATTTCTCACAAAAATGACAAATGCAAAAGTGTTCCACACGCAATTGCCACAAAAAAAAAAAAAAAAAAAAAAATGAGTAAAACAAACACGATGCATATGAGAATTAATTCAGTACAAAATCTAAAAAGAACAATGGGTTTTAAAATGAATCATGTACAGTTTTAAGTAATAACTAAATAACTAAATATAAGACATCCTACAATTTGTTACAAACAAACACAAAAATTATGTGTACCGTAATTTTTTAAAAAGGTAATGCAAAAACAATCTCATCCCCTCCTTCAAACTTTGTATATTAAAGGTAAACATACATATTGAACTGTTAGGCATGCATTAATTTGCATTTGAAGCATATATAATTATATATACCTTCAAGAATTGACAATTATATACATGCAGGTACATGTATGAAAGATATATCAAAGAAAATACATTTTACTGGATGTTTATTGAATGCCAACAATCAGATAAGAATTGGAGCTTAATTGTGTAATATAAAAAATAAATCATTTAATTAAGATGCAGTGTATTGTGTCATTGATACATATGTAATAATATTTTCTATTCTACAATTCTCTTTCATTCAGAGACCACCATGAAGGAAACGAGGAGAAAAAACAATTTGGTCAAAAGATGCTATTTATAAGTGATTTAAATGATTAGCCAAGTAATGATGGGGGGGGGGGGGGTATTTTGAAGCATTATACTTTCATGTAAATATTTTTTTTTTAAAAGTGGGTCAAACTCTTAGGTCAAGGTGAAAAGGTCAAAAATATTTACACCCATGGAAAGGTCTTGTCAAAATGAATACACTTGTGAATATTAAAGCCCTAGCACCAACTATTCAAAAGTGATGACCAAGGTTAAAGTTGGGTAATTTTTTGCAAAAGTAGGTCAATCTCCAAGGTCAAGAGGTCAAATATGTTGGTATCCAAAGGAAGGTCTTCTCGCAAGGAATACACATGTATTAACAGTAGTGAAGGAGAAACTTCAAGAGTACTGTGCAACAATATATTCGAGAAGTGGTGTAAATCAGATGTGGATACTTAAAAATTCCAAGGAACTTTTGGAAAATTTGAAATCACAAGATTTTACCAAAATCAACAGCTTAAAAACTTACGACTTTTCAGCTTTATACACAACTATTCCCCATGATAAATTAAAGTCCAGGCTTTTTGATATCATTGACAGCTGCTTTTTCAATAAAAATGGAACTCGTAAATTTACTTACCTTGTCATTGGTCATTTGCAAAATTATTTTCTTAAAAAACATTCTGATTGTACACACACATGACACAAGTACTCTGAAGTTGACATTAAAAAGATGCTTGAGTTTCTGATTGACAACATCTATATGGTTTTTGGAGACCAGGTCTTCCAACAATCTATTGGAATTTCCATGGGTACCAATTGTGCCCCGTCATTAGCAGACCTTTTTTGTATTCATATGAAGCAGAATTTGTCCAAAATCTTATACGTGAAAAGAAGAAAACACTTGCTGTGGCCTTCAACTCGACATTTAGATACATCGACGACATATTGTCAATTAAAAATGGCTATTTCCATTCTTATGTCGATACGATATATCCTGGTGAGCTTGAGATAAAAGATACCACAGAGTCTGACACATCTGTTTCATATTTGGATATTTTACTTGAAAAAGACGTTACTGGTAATCTAACAACCAAGCTTTATGATAAACTTGATGACTTTAACTTTTCAATCGTCAACTTCCCTTACTTACGCAGCAATATACCTTCATCACCTACATACCGGGTTTATATCTCTTAGTTAAGTCGATATGCAAGGGCATGCTCTACGTATATACAATTTCTAAAACGAGGTAAATTATTGACAAACAAGTTGATGAAACAAGAATATCAGCTGTCTCGTTTAAAGTCATCATTTCGTAAGTTCTATGGTCTATACAATGACCTTGTCAGCAAATACAATTTATCATTGAGTCAAATGCTGACTGACGTTTTTCATACTAATTGTTAGGCCATCATTTACTCGCTGAATTTTCAACGGATTTTTCCGTTATTTCCCGATCATGACAAGGAGCACATGGCGGGTGTGACCGGTCGGCAGGGGATGCTCACTCCTCCATGGCACCTGATCCCTCCTCTGATGTTTTTGGAGGTCCGTGGTTGCTCTGCTCCTATTTTGTATTGTTTAATGGACTTTTGAGCTTGAATACTGTTCGTTATATCCATATATTTCATGTGAAATGTGAAAGCTATAGCTCCAATCATGCAATCAAAAGTTGTGAGCAAGGTTCAAGTATTTGCAGACAGACAGACCAGGGCAAAACTATATATCCCCAATCTTTGATACGGGGGCATAAAAAAATAAAACCTCATACTTGATATAAAAGAATACATTATTACCAGAGTGTTGAATATCTTGATTTTGCATGGTTGAGGTCATTTGAATATTAGTTCTGAAATCTGCTGAGTTAGTAAGTGAAAATACTGTCCCTTAAATTAACATGATTGTTCTTTGCACAGTTCAGTTGCTCTTGATATCTTGAACCAAGAACATTTGATTAAGATTAGTATTCAAAAAGGTAAACTTTCATCAAGGTTACACATGTATTCATGTTTTATAGGTCCCCCGAGTCACTCAGCTGACCTATTATGATCTGTTCTTGTCTGTCGTCATGCGGATGCATGTGAACTTTTTCCCATTTTCAGCTTCTTCACAAGAACACTGAACCAATCAGGGTTCGACACTAACTTTTTAAGGCTTTAGTCCGGCCGGACTAGTGCTTCTTTACTTTTACTAGTCCGCACGCGATTTTATGAGTCCGTCAAAAAAAAAGTTTTTAGACATTAATTTAACGTGACAATTAATATACGTTTTATACTTTTTTTGAAATAAACAAAGCATTTACGAGAAATATATTATTCCACAGATTCATTCAAATCTCGCAATCAGCAAGTGCGATCATATTACCGATCTCGTTCTTTTTTTTTTTTGTCTTTACATTACATTCAAAACGTCCAACACCTTTCTTTAAAGTGTCATATACTAAATCATGATCGCTAAAACCTTTTACTTCATATCGATCAATCGAAAAATAAAGCGCTGAATTGACTCGGAATTGCGTAGCTAGAAATCTAAAAATAAATGCGGGGTTTTCTAGTAAAAGTTGTCGAGAATCATACATCAGTAATTTATTCAAACTGTTTTCCAGAAATTTTTATTGGTCCACTCGGACTAATTAGTCACAGATTTTATTAGTCCGAATGAAAATGTATTAGTCTGAGACTAACGGACTAACGTTAGTGTCGAACCCTGCCAATTTCAATCAAACTTGCCACTAAGACTAAATATCCTCCATTGAAAGAGATTCAAGTTTATTTAAATGAAGGGCAGAGCCCTCTTTGAAGGGGATATATTTAAGGATGGATTCTTCTCATATTTATTGTATTTAAAATTTAATGAAAATTTCACAGGTTTAACATGACAATATCACTAAGAGATGGTATCAGTGAGATTAAATTTGAACGTTTTATTTTAAGTGTAAGGTCAGGTCAAGGTCATCATCTTTTTCTTTGACATCAAGAAAAAAAAATGTTACCAATCATTTGATGCCTACATTTATTTTAAAAGATTAAATGTTTTTCTTTTTGCCTAAAATGATCTCACCATATAAGGTCTATCAGATGGTACTACCAAATTAAGATAAAAAAATATATAGCTAAAATAGATATTGGCTAATCCGAATTTCCTCTATTTCAATTGAAGTTTTAGGGAATATTCGTTATTTTGATATTCTTTATATATTTAAATTTTTCTTATTTTCACATATGGTAAAGTAGTCATGTTAAGATACAAAGTGATACAAAAACAAAAGGTTTTGACCATTTAGTAAAAGAGAAAAAACAATTTTAACTGATTTTTTTGCTCAAATCTGTTCTTAGATCGGAAGCTTTCAAAAGCTAATAAGACTAGTTTCTTTAGAAAATTGAATTTATTTTATATATTTTAAAACTGAAGTCCATAGTGATTAATTTTAGTCACTTCAGAAAATTTCATTCAGTCCTTAATTGTTTTTAAAAATTAACCAATTTCAATGTTTTATAGTAATTTTAAGATGCAGAAAAGGAGACATTTTTCATACACCGCTATTACACAAAAAAATATAGTCCCTGCTAGATATCAAACTCAACCAACCATTAATGTATTCAAAGTTATAAAGTTATGAGAAGGAAAGAAAAATATTATCTTTTAAATCCTTTACATCTAAATATATGCGACATATGGGCAAATGCACTTTGAATATTTCATTTAATAAGAAACCAGACAAGAATCCCAGTCCTTAATAAAATTAAGCAAAATAAGGCTGAAATTTAAAAGATTTTCTTCTCAAAAACACTTAGCCAGAATATTTGAAACTCATAAGAAAGTTTCTTTACAAAGTGAAAATTTAATTAAGTTTGTTCAAAGCATGCCCCTAGGGGTAGGGTGATTTAGCCACAGAAGGGGATCAAAGTTTACATGAAAATATATAGAAAGAAATCTTATAAAAGAAATCTTTTAAAGTTTTCTTTTGAAGAACAGCAAAGCACTGATTAGTCAATTTTTTTAAATATGCAGGCAATTTCATTTAGAGCAGATTCAAGTTTGTTCAAGTCATGGTCCACAGGGATGAGGTGGTGCCACAATAAGGGATTAAACTTTTGTATGAATATATATACATGTAGAAAAATGTTTAAAAATCTTCTCAAGAACATTTTACAGTCACATTAATATGCAACATTCATAAATTCATGAAATATTTTCTCAAACTGTGATAACAGACTTTTTAGGATAATTACATTTTGCATCAAGATTAACGCAGAATGAAATAATATATTTTTTGATTATTACATTATTATATTTTTTGCATTGATGGCAACACAAAATGTAATATAAATAAAAATGTTACAACACAAAACATAATAACTTTTTTTGTATTGTGTTCAATGCAAAACATCATAAAATTGATTTGTCAATGAACATATCTTTAATATAACAAAATATTGATAGGTATTAAAGTGCCGAAGTGGAGTCAGTTAGGAGTCTGAAATGCTTTTAAGGTCCTTTATATAATTTTCCTTTGTTTATGCATAAATAAAGCTTTGTTTCATAGAATTTTGAGTTTTGGTTTCCAAGTAATTTTTTTGCATTGAACGTTCCTATCATAAAAATTGTATATCCACTGAATACTAGTGGTACTGAATGCAAAGATGATTTTAAATTGGTGGAATTTAATCAGTGATTCAATTGGCGAATCAAATACTAGTTATTCAAATATACGTAAACACAAGAAATGGCATGTCCTTTTGCATTTAAAAACTAATAATTGTCATGTCTGAAAGCATGAAATCTGCAGCACATTATATTGGATCCCTTGAAATGGAACTTGCATTATTTCGTTGATAAGGAAACAGCTAATAATAAAGCAATATATAATCATTGGTATGAAAATTATTCTCAACCTAACTGACCAAAAAATATGTTTTTGCAATGTTGTGTTTTGCTTAATATTGACGCAAAAATATAACATTTTACAAAAATATAACATTTTGCGTTTTTAGATTTTGCATTGACATCAACGCAAAACGTAATAACGCAAACTGTAATATTCCTGAAAGTTTCTTATTACATATTGCATTATTACATTATGCGTTTATTTAGATGCAAAATGTTATAGCGCAAAATGTAATCCCTGTTTACTACAATTTGCATTATTATTACATTTCGCATTGTAACAAAGTATCCTAAGATACTGAAGATTCATGTTTGTTCAAATCATGGTCCCCAGGGGTTAGACTGGGCCACAATAGAGGATCAGAGTTATATGTGGGAATTAGTTATAGAAAACGAAAAAATCAACCATTCATGAACAGCTAGACTATGCTAAATAGCATGAAATCCATGGTTCTGCCACCAGAGTCAGACTAAGTTTGTGATAATGATATATTGAAAACTCATAACTTTGTCCTTTGTAGGCACAACGGTGGGGGATAAGTAGGTCATATATTTAGAATTCTTAACAACTTTAAAAATGTTCTTTTCCAAAGGACATCTTATGGACAAACTGATTTTTTATTACAGTGTGCAGAATCCTTTACCAGAATTGGAAAATTCATAATGAATTATTAAAAATGCTTAAAAACTGGGAAAATCTTTAACTCATGGATATCAAGCAGACAAACTGTTTACATGATTAAAATGAACACTTAGCCTTTACCAAAATTGTGTATTTTTTGTCCCCTGGTCCTTGGTTCAGGGCCTAGGAATGGGGTGAAGTTTAGTCATATATTGAAAATCCATTACATATTTGAAAATCGTCACTTGTTCTAAAAGGTGAATAAGTGGGCATTCTGATTTATGAATACAATGAATGCAGAACCCTTTCCAAAATTTTTAAAATTCAAGTTTTCTGGCTCCAACTTCGGGGGTTGGGGGGTTGGGGGTTAGACTAAATTGGTCATATACTGAAATTTTATTACTTTGAAATCACTTCTTTCATTGAGGTTTAATTCTCAATTTGGGGGGAGGGGATATAAAGAGATCCACAATTTCATATCCTCCACAAAGTTTTGAAATTTCAAAGTACAGCATCTGCATGTCTATCTACGTGTACCAAGCACAAAAATAAATCCTCTTGAATTGGCAAATTTTTACACAATCCTCGAAAATATGACCCCACAAAAATAAGTGATTTTACAGTATATAGATTCATTTAGAGTTGGGAATTAAACCATATGATAGCTAGAATACAATTTTATAATAACACGAAATTTAATATCCTCTCATTCTGAAAACATTTCAGGTTTTTGTGACTAAACCCGATAAGTCATTTTTTTTGTCTTCAGTGTTTGACCCATTATGATTTTAGAGTTTTTCAGTCCATTGTTTTGTACAGCTATACATATATAGTAATTCCATGATTATTTCTTTATTGTCAGTATTCAGAAGTTTTATTCCCTTTCCAGCTAACAGACCAGATGTAGATCATATCTGCATGTGCAGACTTGGAGGAAGTAAACATCTTGCTGTACTGGAATAATGATGATGGAACATTTTGTTCGTATGATGGGATTTTCTCTGATTCTCAGTCCATACATGTATTTTACTGCTTTTGGCTTTTTCTTTGATAGTTCTGTTGGGGGTAAGTTAATTAATGGTTGAAAAGAGTATTTTTTATCTTTTTTTTTTGCATGGACAATTCTAAGTCACTAAAATGACCCTATGCTATGATCCGTTTTTGTCCATTATTGTGAAATCTACTTTAATGTATCAATGTGAAATAGATATTTTGAATTTTAGTTTATATCTAATTAACTTTAATTTTGGAAATGTTAGCTTTTTGAAATAGAAGACGTACAGTAAAAACTTGTCTAATCCAGACACCACGTACTGGATCCAAAGAAATTGGCTGGATTAGACAACGTTAACATTCTGTATTAGACAACATTTTAAAACAGTTGAATTTACTGAAAGAGACTTTAAGTTTACATCATAATAGGCAAGATTTCAGAATATACACCATTTGGATTAGCCAAGTTTTACTGTATCTACTGAGTATAGGAAGAAAAAACATAAATTTTCTTTGGATTATATTTTAGCATGCATAAATAGAGTGTATTCAATGTTTTGTAGTTGAATATAGAACTTATTATCCAAGTGTGACAGGATGTTTTGATATTTTCAATTGTGTAAAGCACCTGCTTGTTTCATATGTACATAAACAACTATAAAACATTAAATTTTCTGTTTACCGGTATTACATTTTCTTAATTTTCCTTTTGCCCTTTTCTTCGCAGCCTCAGAAAATAGTTTCCTTTCTTGGGGAACAATAAATTTGCTATTTCCCCCATACCCTTTCCATAACTTACAGTGTATTATAGACCTGGATAATGGTTGAGAACCCTAGGATGGGGCTAAAACAGAGTTTGTGACATCCAAATAAAATCATTATATAACCATTTTCAGGTCACCTGAGTCACTCAGGTGACCTATTGCTATCCGTTTTCGTTCGTCGGCGTGCATCGCGTGTTAATATTTGAACATTTTTAGCTTCTTCTCTGAAACCGCTTAACCAATTTCAACCCAATGTAGCATATAGCATCTAAGGGTGAAGGGGAACAAGAATTTTGAATTTCATGGTCCCTGCCCCCCTGGGGCTTGAGGGGTGGGGCTAAAATCACCAAAAATAATGCAATCTTTAAAAATCTTCTTTACTCCTGGACATCAAGCAGTCAAACTGTTGGCATGATTGTAATGATCATTGAGCCCTCCACTAAAATTGTGAAATTCATGGCCCCAGAGTCAGGGATTCTGGTGCTAGGATGGGGCTATATAGATCATATATTGAAAGTGCATTATTTCTTTGAAAATCTTCTTCTCTTCTCCTGGGTATTAAGTAACTAACTACATAGTTATGAAGCGTAAGAGTGCTTCTTCCAAAATTATGAAATTCATGGCCCCAGGGTCAGGGGTACTGGTGTTGGGGTGGGGCTCTATTGATTATATAGTGAAAATGCATTAATTCTTTGAAAATTTTCTCTTCTGCTCCTGGGCATTAAGGTGATAAACAAAGTACATAGTTATGAGGAGGAGGAGGGCCTCTTCCAGAATTGTGAAAGTCATGGCCCCTGAATGAGGGGTTCTGGTGTTAGGGCAGGGCTCTATTGATTACATAGTGAAAATGCATTAATTCTTTGAAAATCTTCTTCTCTGCTCCTGGGCATCAAACAAACTAAGTAAGTACATAATTATGATGAGCAAGGATGCCGTTTCCAGAATTCTGAATTTCATGGCCCCTGGGTCAGGGGTTCTGGTGTTAGGGTGGGGCTCTATTGATTATATAGTGAAAATGCATTGATTCTTTGAAAATATCTTCTTCTCTGCTACTGGAGATTATTTAAACAAACTAAATTCATGATTATGATAGGCAAGGATGCCTCTTCCAATATTTTGAAATATGTGGCATCAGGTTTGTGGGTTCTTGTGGAGGGGGGGGGGGGCTCTATTGATTATATAGTGAAAAAGCATTAATTCTATTAATTAATAATTAATTAATCCTGTCTACTCCTTAGTGTTGAGCTGATAAATAAATTGCTTAACTATGATGAAAAAGGGAGCTTCGAACAGAATTTTTAAATCTTGTGGCCCTAGGGTCAGGGGTTTTGGCATAAAGGGGGGGGGGGGGGTGGCTTTTGATAATATAGTGGAAAAGTGTTAATTCTTTGAGGTCCATACTTATGATGATGAGGGTAACTCTTCCAAATTTGTAAATTTCTTGACCCTGGGTCTTGGGTTCTGGTGTTAGGGTAAAGCTTTGTTGAATCTGTAGTGAAAATGCATTGTACCTGTGAAATTCTTCTCTGCTTCTGGGCATATCAGAAGCAAACTGAGTGAAAGTTTTAATGATATAAGTAAGGGTATTTTTACCAGATTTTTGAACATCTGGACCGTTTGGTTAAGCATTCTGGTCCTAGGCAGGGCTCTATTAATTTGTATTCTACTGAGAGAAGTTGTTCCCCTTTTCCATTCACCTTTGATAACTAATCACTGTAAATAATGTATTTGAAAGATTAATAGAATAAGATAATTATGCAAGAATTTTTATTGTTTAATTCAAAAAGTACTTTCTTTCTTCTAATAATCAGGTAGAGCTGTAAGTAATAGACAAATAAAAATGGGACAAAAATAAATTATCTTGTTAAAAGTTCTTCAAAGACCATAAGGGAGGTCAATGTTAGAGGTCTTAATATGGGTTTAAAAATAGTACAGAAGCACTAATGGTTTGTTAATAGTCTGCATGGTGGTAGTGTTAAGTGGGGGACAGATTAGAACTTGATTTATGAGCTGATACTGAATACTAGACTAATTATTTTGTTGATCCTGATCTTCCTACTTCTCTTGCTTTAGGGCAAGAAAGCTTCATCTATCAGTGTATTTAACTTCTAAATTGTTGTATTATACTCAGGTGACCGTTAAGGTCCTTGGGCCTCTTGTTTCACCTCCCCATCCATGTTATGGTGTTTTGAATGCCAAACTGGTTTCAATACATTTTATAAGGAGAATACAGTTTGAATGTAAATATTATTGCCTTAACAGACCTTAGAAGGAGACTCATGCATGTGATGAATTCCTAAATAAACTGAAGCATGCATATATCTATATTCATCAACTCGCTAAAAGTTTTTTTTTCTGTACTCCAGTGTATCTTAGGGTATTAGTGAATCAGACTTTGGAGATGAACTGTACTGTGTTTGAAGATTCAGGTCTTAATGCTTCCCTTCTGGACTGGGTTATTTATAATGCTTCTAGCGCATCTCCAGATACAGTATTTATTAATGAAGAAAGAACATTGACATTCCGGAAAAAAATCACCAGTGTTGAGGAAGAAGGGAGTTACTTATGCAAGAGAACTGACAAAGGGGAACCTGCAGCCAGTTTTGTGAAAACAGTTTCTTTGATTATTGAGTGTAAGTCAATTATGTTAATGAGAAATTGATTACATGTATTACAGAATTGTGGAAAATTTCGTGAAAGAACAAGGTACGGATAGGTCAAAAAATGCAGCGCTTCAAAATCTGTATAGTTGGAAACATTTCCAAAAGCTAAGCATTTACCAAATTCAATAATATATAATTTATATGTATTACCCCAAAGGTGACTTAGTAAAATTATGATGAATACTACACCCTTTTATAGCAGAGTATGTCAAAATTTCACGGAACAGTCAAATGCGAGATCATAAAGATTAGGCTACATGTCTTCTGCCGATAATCACATCTAATCGTTACGTGCCTTTTTTCCGATGTTTACATACATATTGCAGGTAAATGATTCAGTTATGGAATGCTGCTTAATTTTTTTAGGTAAATTTATTAAGAAGTTTATCTTCTACCTATTCAATGAATAGCAAAAACAATATGCAGGTAGGTTAAGGCTTCCCGTAGAATATCACAGTGCACTCTGTGCCTTCACATCTCTGAACTACCAAAATATGACGTCATAATGAAAAATGACGTCAAGTCACTGCAAACTCAAAAGGTCAAATATGAAGGTATCCAAAGAAGGGTCTTGTCTCAAGGAATACACATGTGAAATATGAAAGCCTTAATTCCAACCATTCAAAAGTTATGGGCAAGGTTAAAGTTTTTGTGGACAAACAGACAGTTAGACAGATTGACAGCTAGACAGACGGACAGATAGTGCAAAAAACTATATGCCCTCGAATCATCAATTATGGGGGTATAAAAATAAGAAATTTTAAGTGGACAGACTATTGAGCTTGAAGATAAGATTCCTTAACTATGGCCCCCTATTTTTTGGTTGAAAAAGCAGTGCAAAATATAACTATTAACTAGGTTAGCAATATAAGATTGCAGATTTGCATTTCTTTTTTACCTTTTTAATAACTTTGTCTTTAAACGACCCACCCCAAATCCAATCTTGCCTTCACAAACTAACTGCACATGTATTTTGAAGTACGTTTGCAAAATAACTTTTTGATTAATTGATTGTATGTTGTCAAGATTAGGACTACCTTTGTATTTAAGACAATTGTATATATTAAGGACATGAAACATTTTTTTTATCAGTCAGATGATTTACAAATCATCTTCAGGTATAAGAGAAGAAAAGAGAAGTGCTGAAACAGTGGTTGTCATTCTTGGCAGATAAACCACAGGCACTTGTCGACAGAACCCCCCCCCTTTTTTTTCCCCCGCATATTCAACCCCAAAGTTTCTTGGACTTTAATTTTTACCCAAAAATTGTATTATTTACACTTATTTATCATATACACCATAAGAAAAATCAGGAAAAAACCTCAAAAGAATCGTTCACACAAAAATACTCCACTATACATAATAAGATGTATAGTGGGGTATTTTTTTTCGGGTATATAGTTTTTACCCTGTCCATCCATCTGTCTAGCTGTCAGTCTAGCTGTTTGTCCGCAAAATCTTTAACATTGCCCATAACTTTTGATTAGTTGGAGCTATGGTTTTCGTATTTCACGTGTATTCCTTGTGACAAGACCTTTCTTTCGATACCATCATATTTGACCTTTTGACCTTGACCTTGGAGTTTGACCCACTTTTACAAAATTTTACCCAACATTAACCATAGCCATAACTTTTGAACAGTTGGTGCCAGGGCTTTCATACTTCACATATGTAATCCTTGTAACAAGAACTTACTTTGGATACCAACAACTTTGACCTTTTGACCTTGGCCTTGGAATTTGACCTTCTTTTGTAAAACTTTAACTTTGGCCATAACATTTGAACAGTTGGTGGTAGGGCTTTCATATTTCATATGTGTATTTTTTGTGAGAAGGCCTTTCCTTGAGCTTCAATAATTTTGACCATGACCTTGATGTTTGACTCACTTTTGAAAAACTTTAACCTTTTCCATATCTTTTCAATGGTTGCTCTAGCGCTTTCAAATTTCACATTTATATTGTTCAAGGCAAGACCTTACTCTGGTTACCAACATAGAGAAAGTTTAATCTTCTCTATAAGTTGCCATAGGGGGCATCAGTGTTTCACAAACACATATTGTTTACAAAGAATGTATATTTTGTTATGAGAATTTCAATTATACCCAGATTTTCTTATCTTTACCTTTCTTACTAACTTACACTTTTTAGCTCACCTGAGCCGAAGGCTCAAGTGAGCTTTTCTGATCAAAATTTGTCCGTTGTCTGTCGTCGTCGTTAACTTTTCACAATTTCATCTTCTTCTCCAGAACCACTGGGTTAATTTCAACCAAACTTGGCACAGAGTAACCTTGAGTGAAGAGGATTCAAGTTTGTTCAATTGAAGGGTCACGCCCTCTTCCAAGGGGAGATAATTACAAAATCGTGAAAATTAATGGCATCTTTTAAAAAATCTTCTCAAAACCAATGGAAAGATGAAACTCATGTGGAATCATTGTCAGGTAGTGTAGATTCAGTTTTTTAAAAATCATGACCCCAAGGGGTAGGGTGGGGCCACAATGGACGATCAAAGTTTTACATAGAAATATATAGGAAAAATCTTTAAAAACCCTCTCAAGAACAGTAAAGCCATGATTGCTCATATTTATGTGGAAGCAACCTCATATGGTTAGATTCAAGTTTATTCAAATCATGACCCCGGGGGTATGGTGGGGCCAAATTGGACTATCAAAGTTTAACATAAGAGGTATATATAGGAAAAAGCTTCTTCTCATGAACAGCAAAGGTATGATTGATCATATTTATAAGCATCCTCAGGTATTGTATATTCAAGTTTGTTCAATTCGTGACTCCAGGGAGGAGAGTGGGGCCACAATGGACAATCAAAGTTTAACATAGGAGTATATAGAAAAAACCTTCTCAAGAACAGCAAAGCCATGATTGCTCATATTTATATGGAAGCATCCTCAGGAAGTGTAGATTCAAGTTTGTTCAAATCATGACCACACCAGGGGGTAGGGTGGGGCCACAATGGATGATCAAAGTTTTACATAGGAATATATAGGAAAAAATCTTTAAAAATCTTCTCAAGAACAGCAAAGCCGTGATTGCTCATATTTATATGGAAGCAACTTCAGGTGGTGTAGATTCAAGTTTGTTCAAATCATGACCCCCGGTGGTAGGGTGGGGCCACAATGGACGATCAAAGTTTTACATAGGAGTATATAGGAAAAATCTTTAAAAATCTTCTTTTCACGAACAGCAAAGCCATGATTGCTCATATTTATGAGGAAGCATCCTTAGGTAGTGTAGATTCAAGTTTGTTCAAATCATTACACCCAGGGGTACGGTGGGGCTGCAATGAAAGTTCAAACTTGTAGGAAAAAGCAACAGTTACCGGTAGTCAAAGAAATATGTAAGCATCTTTAGTTAATGTAGATTCAATTTTGTTTAAATCATGCCCCCCCCCCCCCCCATTTTAGGGGTAGGTCGAAACCACTTATGCATTTAAGCTTTTCAATACGGATCTGATTTTTGCTTTTTTCCTAGCCACTGTGCTCAGGTGAGTGATGTGGCCCATGAGCCTCTTGTCTTTATTTTGCAAATGAACTGTAGTACACAGTGTAAATGTCCTGCTGTGATGTTTCTTGTTTTTTTTAGATGAAGCTGTGAGGAATGTAACAAACTTTACTTGTATATTGAATGAAGAGAAAAATGAGTTTCACTGTAGATGGGAACTTGGACTATACAACCACCCTGATCATCTCCATATCTCAATTATAATGTAAGTCATTCAAATTCTGTCAAATAGCAAAGTGAAGTATTGCTTCTTAATGTTGTTTGTTTGTATTATCTTATTATAATTTCAGCTGTTAAAAGTTTATAGTAATAATAATGTAGTTGAACTTCGGTATCTTGAACACCGATATCTCGAATGCAATGAATATGTCGAAGGGATTTATAAGTCCCAACCACTTATTCTTTAAGTATTTTACCCTATATAGCTCAAATCGTTGGATATCTCAAAGTTTTTTCTTGGTCCCATTGAGTTTGAGATAACGAGGTTTGACTGTATATAAAAGATACTGTAGTGGTTATTATCAGAAAATGGCCTTTAAGCCGTTTTAGTATAATAGACTAGACTGTGACATCATAGGTAAGAGGTTGTTAGATTGAAAATTTGTAAACATGGTCATGAATTTTATCAAGAATTCAGAGAAACTCTAGCTGTTTTTATCTGAGTGTCAGAATTGTTTATTCATTCTCACTGTACATGTACATGTATATTTGGTGTATCTTCTTTAACAATTAAGGAAAATAATTCTTGCTGTGAACTTAATTATAAACACTTGAAAAATACACTTTTTATGCCCCACCATGAATATAGCTGGGGCATTTAGTGTTTGTAATCTCATCTTTTGTCCTTCCACCCTTTTGTCTTTCTATCACACTTTGTGTTTAGCTGAATTTCAAAGAAACTGTTCAAGATATTTAAACCCCTGGAACCTTAGTTTCAGGGTACTTGGGAATCACCGTGTACATCTTTCTGTCTGCCTAGCTGCCCCTCATTTCTGGGCCGTAATTTTGTAATGGAGAAACATCGGAAGTTCCCATACTTTACACAAGAATTGCTTACATGTATGACCTGAGGTTTGTCATGATCTTGATTCAAGGTCATCCAAACAAGTTCAAGGTCACTGGTTGGAAAAGTGTAAAATTTGTGTCAGGTCTATAACTTTGTAATGGAGAAACATTGGAAGTTCATACCTAATACAAAGATTGCTAATGACCTGAATGTGTGTTATGACCTTGATCCAAGGTTATTTACTCATGTTCAAGGTCACTTTTAGAAAAATGTATGATTCCTGTCCTGAACATATTTTGCAATGGTGTAACATTGAAAGGTAAAACACCAAAATTTTATGGCTTTTGGTGTGTCATGACCTTTTCATGACCTTGACCTTGACCCAAGTTCATGGTCATTGACAGAAAAGTGTATTATACATTTCAGGTCCACAACTCTCTAATATAGAGCATTGGAGTTTAATACTTAACACGAGGTTGCTTATAATCCAAGAGTTTGTCTAAATCTTGACTTTTTTGGCAATTTCAAGGTCACTGGCAGAAAACGTGTAAAATTTATTTCCACTTCAAACCTGTTTTATGGAACAACATTAGAGGCTCATATTTCACATGAATATTACATGTACCTATTTTAATTATAGTAGTTTAGGCTATATGGACTGTGAATATAGGCTTATGGTTAGCTCAGTGGTCAAAGCACCTGACTTGTGATACAGGCCCCCAGGCTTGATTCCTGATCCAGTCATATGTTTTCTTCATTCCCCCTCTCCTACTACACTTATGTCACAAATATGTGTCATGACCTTGACCCAAGTCATTGATGAGTTCAAAGGAGACTTGCAGAGAAAGTATAGAATTTGTATCCAGTTCATGATTTTGTAATGGATAAATATTGCAAATTGTTACTTCAGCAAAGATTATGGACAAGTTGAGGGTATTCATAACCATGACCAAAGTTATTTGGCAAGTTCAATGTCAGTGGCAGAAAATGTATAAAATCGATGTCAGTCCACAGATTTCTAGTGGAGAAACATTGGAAGTTCATAATATACACAAATGTTACTAGTCTGACCAGAGGATGTGTCATTTTAATTTGTTGATTTCATTTAGGTCTCCTGACAATGGGTCAACTGTTCTACCTTGTCCAGAGAAATTTACCGGTAAATACCAGCAGAACTGTTCTTGGGCAGAAAAAGATGGTTTTACTAATGCTGCCATCTTCTCGATGTCCAAGATTGTCATCCTTAATGTAACAAACCTGGAATTTAATGTAGTGAAGTCTTTCCGGATGGAATATATAACAGAGAACATAAGTAAGTTTCAACCTGGCTTAAGTAGGTTTTGAACATTGACTCTTAGCATACTTGATTCTGACAAATCGGATGTGTCCAGCTAAACTGATGATGACCAGTGGCACACTTGATTATGAGCAAGTATTGCATATGTATCATCAGGGTTCTCCACAAGAGGTTTTATCTAGGCAGCCAGCAATGATTAAATTAATGTGTGCCATTGTTAAACAAGTTGCACCATGGTCAAAAGCGGTCGGACTGTGCTAAACAAACAAGACGGTCGTTGATCAGTGATTTTGCCATGAAGCATGATGATTGAGAGTCAATCAGATGGTGATAAATTTCATGAGAGTTAATTTTTCTGTACACATGTAATTGGGTAGGGATTCCAACATGTTCACTATATAATAAATGATTTACAAAAAAAAAAGAATAGCACAGTAACATAACGATGTCAAAAAATTGACAAGCACCCAAGTCAAGTTTCTGCAGCCAGAGAGAATTCACCCTTTCAAAATTTTCTATTCCGACCTTGTATTTAATCAATTCCTGTAGGTCTGTTTTTAATTTAATATATATATATATATATATATATATATATATATATATATATATATATATATATATATATATATATATATATATTTTTTTTCATATATATATTTGTTTCATATATTTCTGGTAGAATGTACTTGAACGTCAATTGCCAAGTCTAAGTTTTAGGGTTACATGTACCTCCCATTCTTATGAAACATCGCGTGGCGCTATTTTTAGACTGGGTCATGTGGAGAAGTAACAATGGAGGGAAATCGGCAAAAAAATGCAGTGTAGAGGGGAAAAAAAAGAATGGAGAAAGGAAAATTAAAGTTGTGTTAAATTTATGCCCCTGCTTATATGAAGATTTGATACTTATACTATGTATATAATCAGTAAGTTTTCTAAGACCATATGCAGTTTTAAAAGCCTAGGTCGGTGTTTGTTTGTCTGTGTGTCTGTAAACTTTTTTTTTCAAAATACTGCTCCTTCATCAGTTTTGGTCTTATTGGAATAAAAATTAACATACAATAGACAACATCAATTCTGTAATTATATCGATTTTTGAATAAAATTTGATGTTCATTGTTGCTATGGTTACTTATATTTGAAATTTAAAAAAATCTATGAAATTCTTTTATAATGCCCCTACAGTTTTGGTCCAACTTTAATAAAACTTTGTATATTTATAAAGTAAGTTATTTTTGTTTGTTGTTGTTGTTTATTTTTCTGACCTTTTTCTTTTTTTTTCTAATACAACTTTTTATTTGCAATGGTCAAGTTTTGTGAAATCAAACAATAATTAATGAAGCTTAGAAAGTCTAACACACCCTAGTGCTTTCGATCACATTTCAGCAGATTCCTCCATGGTTAAATTTTCAAATTGGAGAATCCTAATCATGTTAGGTGAGCTGATTGAGCTGCAAAAATTTAATAGGCTCAGGCAGCTTCAACATGAAGGTAGTGGTATCGAAAGTTGATTGTTGAAAGACATGAAGCTTTTGATCTTGGTACGCTGGTTAAGAGAGCATGATTGTAAAAGTGTTGTCTTTTTCTATGCTAGGTATTGCTTTATGATAAAAATACAATTACTATACATTAGTCATTGTAAAAATAAAAATGTAGCAAAAAAGATTTGTATCAGAATGAAGTATGCTATCTGATTCCATTCAAATCTGGTTCGAATTCAAAACTTTTTGCTTAAATTTTACTTAAAAATGATAAAAATAGCAGAGAATGACAATGATAAGCTCCTTTCCTTTTAAAAAATGTTTGAATAGAAAGTCAGGAAAAAATGGTCTTAATATGAGGAGACAATACTCATATCCGCTGTTCTAGTTAGAGAGGATGTTCTCTTTTGAGATTTTAAGGGTTCTGGGGGGAAATTGGGACAGGTTAAGTGGAGGAAGGGTTGGGAGGAAGTAGCAGTTGTTTTGAATGTTTAAGGAAATTATTTTCACGTAGAACAAGTGTTAAATTTAAAATTAATTTGTTAAGAATGCAGAAGTGTTTTGTATCTATAAATTAATATTGTGTTAGGGTTCGGCAGAATTAAACAGATTAAGATTATTTATTTATAATTGTAGGAGAAAATAAACCTGCACCAAAGAAAAACCTTTTTCAAATAAATCTTGTACCTTAAATGCACTATTCATATGTTGCATTTAACAATCTTACCACAGACCATGAGAGATTCTTTTTATCATATGTTTTACACGTATAACTATTTCACGTTTTACACTGATTAGTATATGTAAATTTTTTTAGCGATCTTATGGTGCATAAAAAGATTGCGGTGACCTCTTATGCAGAATAAATTGTTAGCAATATTTTAATTTTAGTGCTCTCAACATCCTTGGTAAAATGCCAAAATTGAGTCCTTGCTAAAATTTCTTCTTATACATTATTAGCATGTAAATAAATTAGGGGACAAGAAACAGCACAAAATGCACTAAAATATGATTGCCATTAAAATAATTTATTAACAGTACATGCAAACACATTTTTTCAATTTTATTTTGTAGAGAAACCTTTGCCTACAGAATACATTAATGCCTTGTCCTTGGGTTCTTGTGGATGTGCCAATGTGTCATGGGAGACAATTCCAGGAGAGGTCAAGACATCCTCTCAAGTCAGCCTGATGTCACAATGGAACAGTACCCCTCTGGTATAAATAACTAAAGATAAATAAAGACTGAGTTTTCTTGGATGTTTCTGGATAGCTCCAGAGGATGAGAATTGTTGATTTGAAATGTAAAAGCCTAGGTATTAGCCCCCCTTCCCATCTCAGTATTTCTTTTCTGGAAAGGAATACAGTAAAAGTCGTTTAGTACGAACACAGATATTGGAAATTCACGGATATAGGGAAGTTTCCTTGGACCCTTCAAGTGGTAAATAAATTTTACGAATTCCTTATACGGATACACATGTATAACGGATATAGCGAAGTCATTTCATAGGTTCCAGTGACTTCGTTATAACCAGGTTTTACTGTAGTCCTTATGTAATTTTTATGCCCCGCCATGAATATTGCCGGGGCATATAGTGTTTGTCATGTCCATCTTCCATCCTTCCGTCTGTCTTTTCGTCGTGCTATGCGTTTAGCTCTGTTCAAAGCTCAGTTTCAAAGAAACTATCCAAGATATTTTTACCAAACTTCATATGCTGATAGATAGTAACGAAAACTATGCAACATCATCAACATTTTTTAGCCTTGACCTTTCCTTTGACCTTGACCTCACTTTTCTTAAATTAGTGTTAAGCTCTGTTTTAAAGATACCATTTAAGATGGTGTAATCAAACTTCATATTTTCTATTCAACTGCATCAAAATTTTTTTTACCTTAACCTTTCCTTTAACCTTGACCTCACTTTTCTTAAATTAGTGTTTAGCTCAGTTTTAAAGAAACAATTCAATACAGTGTTATCAAACTTCATATGCTGATACATACATGTACTGATGAGAGCTATTCAACTGCATCAACATTTTTTTACCTCTCCTTTGACCTTGACCTCTTTTTTCTTAAATTAGTGTTAAACTTCATATGCTGATACATACTGGTGTAAGCTATTCAACTGCATCAATATTTTTTTTACCTTGGCCTTTCCTTTGACCTTGACCTCACTTTTCTCAATTTGTGTTTAACTCAGTTTTAAAGAAACCATTCATAATATTTTTTTTATCAAACTTCATGTGCTAATACATACTGATGTAACCTTTTCAACTGCATCAACATATTTTGACCTAGAACTTTCCTTTGAACTTAACTTCATTTATTTTAAATAAACCATTCAAAATATTTTTATCAAACTTAATATGCTGATATGTATTTGTGAGAACTATTCAACTGCATCAAAAATGTTTGACCTTGAACTTTCCTGTGACCTTGACCTCACTTTTCTTAAATTTGCATTTTGCTTATTTTTAAATAAACCATTTAAGATATATTTATGAATGCTTATGCACTTATACATAATTTGGTGAGAACTTATCATCTATATCCAACTTTCAATTTTAAAGAAACTATTCAAGATATTCTCATCAAATTTTATACACTAATATTTATTTTCACGTTGCATTACTAATATACCCTCGGCAGGGCATTCATGTCCTATGGACATATTTCTAGTTTTTTAATAAAAAGAAATCATCCATAACAACAAGAACTTCATTTCTTTTCTACTTAGAGTGCTCTCAAATACAGCTGATCTTTTCTCTGTGTAGAAAAATGAATTAGGTCACCATGTTGTTGTAGCTCCTATGACTGCTTCCCTTAACACCAGAGGTTCAACTTGTTTATTTACATTATATTAATTACAATCGAATACCATATTTTTTATCTTTAATTGTAACCAGGTATCCTGCATGCAGGAAGAAAGCCTCGTTTGGATTGGATAAGTTTTATTTCAAGTAGTTTACTTTAAAACCCTGTTGAATAAAATCAAATTAGTGACAAAATAAAACTGAATCAGAAATCGGTAAACTTTAGTAAAAAAAATATCCATTGAAATATGCTTGCTGTTTATAATTGTCACCAATACATTATAAAGGTAATTAATTCTTAATCATGAAATTAATTATCAAAGATAATCTAAGATAAAGGGAATAATGAATTCAATATGATTTTTAACTTCCTTTTCAACATGAACACAATACAAAAAAAGAAAAGAAAAAAAACGAATAATTTATAAATAGTAGGGATGGCAATTTGTAACCGGTTAATCGATAACTCGGTCGGAACGATGGTATTTGGTAAGATAATCTGTAAAGGTACGTTAGTCGGAAAAAATAAAATATATGTAAATTTGAATGCAATTTTCTAAAAATTCATTTCTAAGAAAGAAATCTCTGCATAAAATTGATAATTTAGCTTTTTTCTCATATCTATTTAAGCTTCATTGGGGGTAATTTATGATTCTCCAGATTGAGATCAAGGGGTAATTGGTCAGTTTAAGAAGTTTTACATGTAATTACTTTTTTTAAGAACCCATGCCGTTACCCTGACTTTCCTGTAATTCTTTAATTATGTTAGATAAAGCATTGTTGAGCACTGTGAAAATTGGTATGTCTAACTTTTGCCTCTATCTTTTAAATTATATTAGACAAACTTATAAATTAAGTGAAAGATCAGACGTATAATTTTAATGGTGTGTACCCATTTTGCACTCATTTGCTAAGTAGGTATTATGGAACAATAAATCTGAAATATGTTTTGATAGCAGTTATAGTCTGTTTGTTTGTTTGTTTGTATGTTATTTAACGTCCCTCTCGAGAATGTTTCACTCATATGGAGACACCACCACTTGCCCGTTGAGAGCTGCAAATTTTGTCCTATACTCGGCACTTACGGCCATTGAGCAGTGAGGGATCTTTTTCGTACCAGCACCTACTGCGACACGGGACCTCAGTTTATACGGTCTCATCCGAAGGACAGGTCTCCACGTCCCACAGTGGGATTCGAACCCGCGACGTAAGGATCAACTCCTTACTTCGCGACTCTAGAGCAGACGCTCTAACCACTGCGCCACGGCGACCAGTTATAGTCTGATCTCCGTCTGGGATTTACCTGGAATTACCTGCATTTTACCAATGCATTATACATGTAATATATAATTAAAAGAATAACAAATACATAACATAATATTATGTATTATGTAACAAAATACAATAACAAATTTCAATACCTGAAATTTAAATGTGTGCAAAACGGGAACAAACCGTTTTCATTATAGTGACAATGCAGAATGAACTTGTGTGACATTTGCTCTGGAAAATTATCAATGTCCGATTTTACAGGTATGCATGTTTCATGTTTTTCTTAATTTTTTCTTGTCTATTGAAACTGAAATAAAATATATGTAAATGTAGTTTCCTGACCAAGTTAAGCAGAATGTTTCCAGCTTCTAACGTTTTTAAGGCTTCCTGTATACAAATACAGAGGTACTTGAAAAAAATGTCCAATAATGTGTATTAGTCGGAACGTCTTGCGGTTAAACGATTAGCAATTCTATATTCGATTGCCATCCCTAATAAATGGTGCATGTTTTGAAGATGACAGTTGAAATTGACACCCCAAGGAAAACCATTGTCAACCGACGCATCAACAATGGTTTTCCTTGGGTTGTCAATTTCAACTGATAGCTCCCAGCACTTTTCAAGTCAACATTTTTCTCCAAAAGCATGCATATGCCCTTGCACTAGCATCATTTTCTACATTCAGCTTAACGATTCTATTTTTATACCAGCCAAGTGACACACAGCTGATACATGCAATGTAACTGTTACTGAGTACGACACAAACCTATCCATTATGGATATCTATATTGCCTTTCCTTCATGTATACAGTTACTTTGTTACACATATTTTCAAAAATAATACATATTAAGAAGGTACTTATATATGGCATTTTCCACTTCCTTCCTTAACATAGCTGAGCATTTCAGAATGTGTAAGTTTACTCTCGATTGACAAGTCAATCTTTTAATTGCTCTGTTGAAGCGAATTGACCTGGAGAAAAGGTCTGTTGATATTAAAAATGAAAAGGTCAAAGATCAGGGTCATTTGCTTTGTTTAGTCATGACAATTCGATCATCCCGTCTTATATACTTCAAATAGAGATGCTGGACCTAGCTGAATTATCTGTTCAGTGTGAATTATTTTGGCATTTAGGATGGGATACTCCATCTTGTCTCCATTCAATTTCTGAGATGATCCAGTATTCTTCATAGAAATTGGTCCTTCCACACATTTGATAAATATATACACTTCAAAAGTCAGAAATAGGTCTTTATTATTTACTTCTTATATTTAGATTCACAATGTTGATGTCAACAAGAGCCTTATTGTATGTAATCTGATTCCTGCAACAACATACACAGTTGAAGTGAAGATTAAACCTTTAAGAGGATTGTACTATAGTGATCCCAAGCAGAACAACTTTGATACATGTGAAACAGGTATTAATTAAGAACCAGATAGATCATATAAAGATACATTAAAGCTTTGAATAGCATTTTCTTTAAAAAAAACTATTCAATGAAGTAAATACCTACTAAAAAAAATTGTGTACTTTGAAATTTATTAATTAAATGTATGTCTTCCAAAACTATTCGTAATCATAAATTCTAGGGGTGGGACGATACACAGGACTTACGATACGATACATATCTCGATACATAAAATACTATACATGTATCTTGATATTATGATAAATTAGAAAACTATAAGAAATTGATTATTTTATTTGTCTTCCAGCGTTTCATTTTGGTATGTGTCCTGCGTAAATTACGCATGAATTTTGCTCTGGACGCATTATTTCCATAGATACTCCCCAGCTTAATTTGTTAAAAAATATATATCTACTATACAATAAACATGCTTATAGTATAGACTATACAATAAACATGTTTATTGTATAGTAGATATATATTTTTTAACAAATTAAGCTGAGGAGTGCCTATGATTATTTCATTAAATGTGTATCCCAATTGATGCATTTAATTTATAAAATGAAAGGTATTATTTTAAATTATTTCATATAATCTGCTTCAAAACTTGGCCGATTGCATCATATCCACGTGATAAGCGATTTTAACTGGTATAATGTTACCAACAACAGATCAGAGTTATATTGCAGTTAACAATGAAACAATTATCAGAAAAAGATAATTCAATTTTGTCTGCTGTGGAACATTTCTGAAGCGTATAATAGCATATTTTAGCTGTAACCTGAATCATTTTAATTTTTTCCTAAGAAGCAAATAAGTATGATCATTCTCCTTCAGGCTATTTTTTTTTTTTAAAAGAAAACTTTCTTTACTTCATTCAGTAGAGCAACTGGTCTGCTTCTGTGATTTTATGATAGATACAAATTATGTGTGAAATCGTATATGTACGATCTAAAAATAGAAGCAAGGTGCACAGTTGACAATATATTATTTACATTCAACAAAATCGTTTATTCTTACTTCCAATTGATAGTAATTATAGTATAAACCACTCACAGCTTCAATAAAACAACTGCACTTTCAGACAAAACCCTTTTCTATTTCACCAGAATTTCCTCTTAATATCTAATATATGGTACCATTGAGTACCCTTGGATTTTTACACATTGGTTTTTGGCATGGGACTCAATATTGTCAGTAAAAAGGGTCCTTTGGACCCATGATAGCCATTTTCAAAATGAATCACTGGTCTTCTTGACAATCAATCAACAATTTATTTAATATCAAATCACATGTGCTTTGAAATTAATACTTGGAAGTTCAGTTCATCAATCTCATTGACTATAAATTTACAAAATCAATATCTCATGTACATAATTATTACTTGGTAAAAGTCTATAACCGGAGTTTACAAAAAATGTTTCAAAATTTCAAATTCTTTTTAATGAAAATAAGAGAGTCCATACTATGTCCGAGCTGTTTATGCCAGATGGACACTAAAAAATAAAGATATCCCCCATTGAGGAAACGATACTTTCTGTATATAATACATTTTAAAGACTGAACTTTTCTTGTTCCGTCTTCCGAGGATGCTTAAAAGTGAAAATCCCCCCTTATCTACGACTTATTAGTGCTAAAGCTTGTTTTTCAATATCAAAATCATCTCCTCGCTTCATAAAGTTCGTATACACATCACCATTTTCCATGATGACTACTTCATTTTCAAATTTTTCATAGGTCGCTCTTGTATCATTTCGTACCGATATTTCAATGAATGTATAGTAAACCGTATCTTAGCAGACAATATTGGTATGTATCGGTGTATCGGTATATTGTCCCACCTCTAATAAATTCGTTAAATTAGATACGTTATACAAATCTGCTTTAAAAATCACAAATTAAACACTGAGAATTACCACAACGAAGTTGATGTGAGATTATGATCCCCTCTCTCCAAACACTGGCCTGTCTAAGAATTTAAAATTTATACAGCCAAACCTCATTATCTTGAACTCAAAAGGACTGAGGAAAAACAACTTCGTGATATCTGAGGGTTCGAGATATTGAGGACAAAATACTTAAAGAATAAGTGATTGGGACTTACAAATCAGTTTGACATATCCATGGTATTAGAGATATTAGTATTCAAGATACTTAACTTCAACCGTATTTTATTTTTGAAAGTTCTTGAAGGTTTATGACTTCAGTTATATTTTTCACCCAAGAATATTCTAGGGCATGTTTATATAGTATACTGGTATACATGCAGTTAAAGTGTATCATTGAGGGACTAACAAGATTCCAGTTCCCCGAGACCAACACTATTTCCAGAGGTGAACCTGATGGAAATAGTTCTACCACTGGTCAAGGTGAACTGGAATCTTGCTAACTCCCTCAATGAAATATTGTCAAACCTCATTATCTTGAACTCTTGAACTGGATAGGAAGGGTAAAATACTTAAAGAATAAGTGGTTGGGACTTCCAAAGTAGTTTGACATATTAAGTGGAATTCTCGATAACAGAGTTCGAGATATCGAAGTTCAATTGTACTTTTTAACTGTTTTATTATATGGATACAAAAGCAAAATCTAGAGGATCAAAGAAAACCAGGAATTAGTTTTCAAAGCAAGGATTAGCTTACTTGACTAATGCACGGCAAAATGGATATTAGTCCATTCACAGCAATTTCTAGGGAATTATTAACATTTAACAAACTAAAGGACAAGTGCGCTTAAGCAATGCTTAATGGGCCCTTTTCAGTGCCGTATTACTTTAGAATATATCACAAAATTGTTCTCCTCTGGTAACAGTTAAACACAAGTGGATATTTCTAATTAAAATCACGTTAAAACATCACCTAAATCAGCATGGGTTTGAAACAAATGAAGATTTTGAAATGCCTATAGACACCCCAAATCCGGAAAAGTCGTACCAAACCAACTTTGAGTTTCGTTTATTTGAATCAAGGGGAGGAGACATTTAAATCGGACACTTGAACAATCTGATGGTGGATCATTGACAGGCGCGTTTGCTGAATGATACTTCTTGAGCTATTTTACCTGAGGAAAAAAAATCGAATCAAGTTGTATATAGATGCCTGTAGCCATAGTGATCAAACTAAGAAATTTGCACGCTTGCATTTGAAATAATACAATAAGTATTAACATTAGTTCCTTTAAATTTTAAAATGAAAAAAGTGTATTTAGGTGGCTTTCAATACCGGTACCATTGTCTTACATGAATGTTAAAAATGTTTGACGCTTTTATGTATGATGACATTTTAACGATACTAAACTCTCCTAACCCTCCCGTGTTCCTACAACCAAATACATACAAACTTCTTTAAGCAGCACGACTTTGATTTAATGATACAAAACGTGGCTATCTTTTACAGTGAGCACCTTTGAGGAATGTTTACCTGGGTAGAACTCACGTGACTACCGGAATTTTGAACAATTTATTCCACGGGTGGGTTCAACATAGATCATACAGACAAATACTCTCGTTTGCAATAGGAAAAACACTGAACTTTTCATACATTTTTAATATTTTAAGTACAAGCCTAATCTTGTACAAATTTCATACTTTAAAGGGTTTTTATCACGTATCTAAATTTCTTAAAAATGAAACACTATTATATTCTTGAAACATATAATTATCATTTAATTATGAAATAATGTTGAAAACGGCCATAATTAGACGATGAAAGGCCCGTAATATAGGGTCCTCGAAGTAAAAATCTCCACTAATTAGATAGGGGTCACGTGGTACTGAAACGTCATACGGTAGGTGTCAATGGTCAATAGAACTCGTAAAGCTTATCGTAAGAAAAAATATATTGAATAGATTTTTACACTAAATAAATAGAATACACAATAAAGCCGGTTGAAATTTTGACATCGACTATATTCCTTATTATGGACGGTCAAATTTTAATGTATGAAAGTCTAGCAGAGAGAAATAACCCAAAAATATGCCGACAATTGGAGAGAGGTCACCGAAGACGAAGCCATTGACAACTCGGGACTTAATCAACTAAATAGAACGAATTACTAAAGTTTAACTTTTAAACATTTATAAATATTTGAATTTTAAATTCTCCTTCATTATTATTTTAATTAAAATAAATCCTGTATATCTTCTAAGAGTATCTAGCAGTGAAAATGACACTTCTTTAATGGCGCCGTACGCCATTACGAAGTTCACAACTTTCCTACTAGATTCTGTGCGACTTTCAAAACATGCATGTTTATCATTTATTTTTTTTTTTTTTAAAAAGTATCTTTCCTTAAAATATTTTATAGGACAGATAAAAATTCGTGATCGATCAATCGGGCATAAACGATTGTTCTGAATGGAGATAAACGCCATATTGTATTTGCAAAAAAAGGCCCCCCTTTCATCTCTCGACCAAATCAAGGAAATGTGGGGGAAAATCTTCCTAAAACCTTTCTTGTGCACATTTGTGCATCATAAAGCCATAAATTATACCTTAAAAGCTGTCAATTATTCAATTATCACTTAATTATTTTCTAACAAGTTTAATAGACACAACAAATGAGCCCTTTTGCATACACAGTAAGTGCTTCGCTTGACCAGGATTGACACCTATGATGTCAGGGCAATGGTGCGTAACATCGGCGATCAAAATATGCATATTGAGATAATTTGAGAAATTCAAACTTTGAATCGCTGAAACATCAAAAATATTAATTTTCTAGCAAAGATTTTTAAATATATGATTTTAATAGCATGTTAACTTTGTCATGTCAAAAAATTTTGAGATGTGATAAAAACCCTTTAACACAAGTCTTATAGATGCATAATGCGTTTTTTGTCATTCGCACAAGTTTGTACAACGTTAGGCTGACAGTAAACAAAAGCTTTGAAATGAATGACCGTCCACGATTTACTATAGAAAATCACGAATGTCGGCTGACCCCTACCACATTGTATGGCTTTGCTCTTTGTATATTCATGAATTTCAGCACTAAAATTTGTTGAATCTTATGGTTTAGATATCAATTAATGATCTGAGATGAAAAATTATGCTTAATTTGATTCATCATTTTTTCACATTTTACCGGGGTCCAAAAGTGCACTCTTTCTTTTTATAGCGAAACATCAGTAGAGATATAATTACATTTGAAAAGTATCAGGTCTTAATTATCTAGTCCTGATGAATTTTTTAAAAATCTTTAAACTGGAATATATTACTGTATTTACATTCAAGAAACTTGCAAACTGTCTAGGGATTATTATGTCATTTAAGCTTAGAGTAAGCAAATTACTGATCGATCCTTAATCATCAGTTGCTGTTCAAGGAATCTTAAAAGAGTAACGACATCATTGTTCTGTGCTCAAAAAGTGTTGGGAGAATGTACAGCAAAGTGATTAAAAGCCCTTACTGGACTAAAGTTGAAGGTTGTCTAGTATCAAACACAATTCATTGCATTTGACCTACTTACTATGGCCAAGTTTTTGAAGCAGGTCCATTATTAAATATTGACAAACATGTATACAGTCGACTCCCAGTATAACCAGTTGCTAGGGACATCGGTATAGATCTTACATCCTCATATTGAACAACAATTGATGATGAGTAATATTGCAGATGCTAACACTAACATGCCTCGGACTGTCCAACGCTACCATGCCTTGCAATTGGACCGTCTAATATCTGATAATGGACAGTTTTCAGCTTATAACCATTACAGATATTTCCCTGACCTCTGACCTCCCCTTTCCTTCTTGTATGCATGTATTGTATATATTTGAAAATTTTATTTGTTGTAGTCCCCTCTCTTGCTCCATCCATGCAGCCCAGTGGTTATTCCTCAGAGATTTATAACTCGGGAAATCGATCCATCACTGTTTACTGGGAGGTAATGCTTTGAAAATTTTATTCATCATTTTACAAGTAATCAAGATATCAGAATAAGATTATGACCATTTTTGATAAGTTTTAATTTTTTTCAAAATTTCAAGAACCATCTAATATCTAATTTCAAGTAACTTTAATATAGTTGAAACGTATTAAAATAGGATGTTCCTTTAAAAATGTGAATGGAGGGTCCTTTTTATAACCAAAAATTTGTAAATGGTTCAACTGCTGCACTTTAAGGACCATTTTTTTTTATTATTATTATCAAGGCTTTGAAATTTTGCCATGAATCCATTCCTTCAGAATATTTGTAAATATATTGGAAATACAATGAAAAAAAAATTGGTGGCCATTTAATGCACTTTTTAACGTCTGAAATTTTAACCTCCCAATATACATATTTCAAGAGAGAACCACATGCCATAGTTTGTGACATGTGCTCGACTCCTTAGAAACAGTAAAACTTATAGCGCTCATAGCGAACATGCTTAAAACGATTTGATGCTTACAGCAAAGTGATTTTCATTCCCTTGATTTTTAGATATATTGTGAATTTAACAAAATTAACAAATTTCATTCATGACAATACAAAATTGTCCATTCGTAGCACTTTATTATAATTAATGTGTTTAACTGTCACTAGGAAGAACAAGCAATATGGGGTTTTATGAATTTTTTCACACTTCGGCAAGCTCAGATGTCATAATGTTTTGCAATGATAATTAAATAATTAAAAATATAAAGTAATTATAAATTGTAAGTTATGAAAAATAATTTTACCCTGATTTTAAAGTAATTGTGATGTTTACATTTATGTCACAACACCAGTCTGTCATGATGCATAAAATATTAATTGATTGATTCTAAGTTACATTTGTTCCACACGGAGAAAACATATTATCTGGATTTGTTATAAATGAAAAGAAAAAAATTAAATTCCTGCTATAAGTATTGTATACAGTTTTAATTTGTATTAACTAGCTTAACATCGCTGTTAAATACATACATGTATGATCGTAATGGGATGCATTTGCCATCTTGTATATAGAACTACATTGTGTAACTATTTAATTGAAAACATTAAACGTCAGACAATACTACCTGCCAATTGTTGTAAAACACTGAATTTTTCATTGTTATTGACATTTAAGAAGGGTAAAATAGTTGAATTTGCACACAATTGTATAAAGCAGTCATATTTTGTTAAAATACGTTCATTTCGAAATCTCAATAGTCGCTACCCTTTGCCATCCATTGAAATCTTTGTTACCTTTTTACGATTTGATGTTGGTGTTTATAAATGATAAGCAGAGGTTCATTTATTTATCTGTATGGCTTTATTTATATAATACATAAATTTTTAGCCACAATATCAAAATCCCGCTGTTGCCTCGTATTTTTGCGACTATTTTTGGTATGTTTACATAGAGAAGCTTGGAAGGCGTCATGCATATGACATCAATCAATCAATAATTTTATTTGAATCTCATCACCATTTTACAATAGTATATAGAGACTTACAGTATATGGATAATTTAATACATAGCAATAGCATGCGTTAATAATAAAGAACAAAAATTAGTATGTTGCTATAAATGTGAAGCATGGGAATTCTAGGCCGGGAGCATATTTTATTTATTTTCTTTACATGTATAAACGAACTCATTTTTCTAAGAAAACAGTGTTTATTACTATTCATGATTTTTTTAAAAACTAATTATATTCTTAAATCTTATGTGTTTTTCTGTTATGCATAGCATTCTTTCATTTTGTAGTGAAGTGCACATTAGTATATAATGAAATTCATCTCCGATTTCTTTAAGATTACAATGGGGACAAATTCTGTCTTGTTTTGGTATATTAAGCCAGCGTCCACTTTTAATTGGTAAATGATGGTTACAAGTTCGGAATCTACAAAATGTAGTTGAATTCTTTTTTGATAAAATATTAAAATAGTTTTCAAATTTTAATTCGTCTTTGTATATTCTATATAATTTAATGCTTTAGGTGAGGTTTGAAGAGTTGATTGCCAACTTTGCTTGAATTGATCAATTAATGTGAGTTTAACTTTCGCCTTTAACCATTTTGCATTATTTGAGCTTTGTTCAAGCCAAATATTAGATAGTCCACAATTATTCAGAATATTTCCAATATTTTCAAACCAGCTGATTTTTCCTCCTATTTCTTGATTTATAATAAAGCCTAATTTATAGCATAAATTTGCAATTTTTGTCTCCTTTCCAGTAATTAATTTTGACCAAAAAGATATCATGGATTGTTTGTTTTATTTGAATTTCCATGGGGTATCGACCAAGCCGACCATATATCATAAAATCTGGGGTTGAATCTTTTAAATGGAGTAAAAGTTTACAGAATTTTAGGTGAAACCTTTCTATAATTGTATTAATTGAAAATCCCCACACCACATAACAATATAGGTTGAACGATTTTATCAAACAAATCGAGTTGACACTGTATCGATAGATTATATAATCCTCCTTTCTTTAATACTCCATATAATGCTTTTGTTGCTTTTTCAGCTATCATCAAGTACATATACCACATAACTATCAAACTAATTAACTCAATTAAGAATTAATCGATTGCTAGTCAAAAATTAGACACAATTACATGTAACTGTCCATAACTCTTAAATTATACAAAATCAATGCAAATAGTGAATGTTTCCATTAAAGTCAGTATAGTATAATGTAAGAAAATTTGACCTAAAATTGGTGAATAGACATTGTACATGAAAGAAATAATACTAAGTTCATGTAGTAAATTATTGAATCCTACATTACATAACCATAAACAATAATTAATCTCGATGGCATGATTCTTGAGTAGCTGATGGAATTAAAGAAGATTAAGATTTGAAATTCGGTCATATGCTTAGAAATCCTAGCTAAATTAAATCTTAATGATTTACATAAATTGATTTATACATAAATATAGCCAAAATTTATGGTGAAAGTTTTATATTTGTGTCCTTATGATATCTCCATTCCTCAAAACACTAAAATCATGACAAAATGTTTGTAGAAGATTCCCAGGAAATTTCAGAATGGACCTTTGAAGGAATATAGGGTGTCATTAGGTGATGAGAATTGGAAGAAAGTGGCCCCAAATGCAACATCAGGTACTATTGATATCCCTTGTGGTGGTCATAACATATCTGTCCAAGGATGTAACCGGCGGGGATGTTCACCAGATTCTTCAATATACATACCAGCCTACAGAGGTAAATAAAAATAATAGTAGAAAAAAAGAACGAAACGTTAACTAGTTATGACAACAACAGAAATAACAATTCCTAATGATACCAGAAAAGGAAAAAAATTAAACTGTTTAAAAGTATTAAACTACATTCAAAACCTACCACTGCATCCATTAAATCCCGTACAGCAAGATAACAAGTCACTGATCGTAATACTTTTGTCCACATATATAGTGTCATCATGGTAAAATTGGATGCATATTATGTGCATTGAGAGGCAGATCAAGGAATTTTTTAACAGTGAAAATGAATTTTATTTTTATACAGAATGTTATACACAAATGTTTGATGTTTAATAGACCATTAATACTAATGCATAACCTTTGTTTGATGCCATTATTTAATTATTATCAAGGAAAGGTATTGAATTAATTCTATATGTTTTTATGTACAGGAATGGCATGTTTTAGATTGAGGTGCCTTGTTAAATCACCATTTTGCAAGGGCATACACTTAATTAATAGATCTTGACCATTTTAAGCTCACCTCGACGAAGTCGTCATCGGCATTATATTGTCGGTGTCCTGAAAGTTTTAGGAGCAAGTCCAAGTAACTATAAGCCCTACCTGGACCAGACTTGCATGGATGATGCATCTAGGGATGGACACTACCACATTTGCTTCGGATGCTGGATCTGACCTAGATTTTCCAGATGAGTGACCAGGTTAAAGTTTTTAGAGCAGGTCCATTCCCAAGTAACTATAAGCCCTTCCTAGACCAAACTTGCATGTATGATGCATCTAGGGATGAACACTACCACACTTCCTTCGAATGCTGGATCTGACCTAGATTTTCCACATGAGTGATACCGTTCAGGGTAGATTAGTCAGTACAGTGCTCGCTCCGTGATCGGGAGGTTGTGAGTTCGAATCTCGGCCGCGACTGACCTAAGTCGATAAAAAATGGGTAGCAACTGTTCCTTCGCCATGCGCTCGGCACTTTGAAGTGAAAGTTGCGGTTCCTTCAGATGAGATCTTAATAACCGAGGCCCGTGTCACGGCAGACGTTGGCACGATAAAGATCCCTCACTGCTCAAGGCCCTGAGTGCCGAGTAAAGGTCAAAATTTGAAGCCCTTCACCGGTATATGGTGACATCTCTATACGAGTGAAAAATTATCAAATGGGACGTTGAAAAATTATCGAATGGGACGTAAAACAACATACAATTAATCAATCAATCCACATGAGTGACCACGTTAAGATTTTGGAGCAGGTCCATTTCCAAGTAACTATAAGCCCTCCCTGGACCAAACTTTCTTGGATGATGCATCTAGGGATGAACAATAATCAACCTGCTTCGGATGCTGGATCCAACCTAGATTTTCCACATGAGTGAATTTTGGACATATTTTAACTAAATTACCATGGATGATGTATCTAGGGATGAATACTTCCAGACTTGCTTTGAATTCTGAATCTGACCTACATTTTCCAGATGAGTGACCAGGTTAATTTTTTTGGAGTAGCTATATAATAGTATGGCCTGTTATGATTAAACTTGCATTATGGTGCATCTAAGGATGAAAACTTCCAGACTAGCTTTGGATATTGGAACTGACCAAAATTTTCTTGATTAGTAAACAGGTTAAAGGTTTTTTGAGCAGGTATTTTTCCAATTAACTATAAGTCCTACTTAAACCAAACTTGCAGTGATCTTGGGATGTACACTATTACATTGTAGATAAAGGAAATATTCCATAACCTGAAAAGTACTGCTGCTTTCATGAAATGGAGAGCATTAATAACTTAATAAATACATAAAATACACATTAAGGATGGAATTTAAACTACATGTATTTAAAGGTGAACTCTATTTAATGCAGTGCGTAGCACTTTCCAGAAACTACAAGGTATGTAGAAATATTTAGCTTTTGAATTTTTAATTTGAATTAGGGTATGCCCTTGCAGTATTGAAATTTGTTTATGACCTGCACGCAGGACACATTATATAAGCATTATCACGTACATAACTGTTCACCGGTTAACCAAACTAAATTTAATGCAGGTTGAGATAATTACTTTGTTACATGTACTGTGGAATCATTAAATTTAGTGGGGGCCAATTTTCAGGGATTGCTAAAATTTTACAGGTTTCGTTGGGACATAATTTCATGTATTCACTCATATCTACAAAAAGAAAGATTAATCTGAAACCCTTGACTATTAATTAATTAATTAATTTGTGGATGAAAGGTACCCACGAATTCCATGAATATTGAGCCATCACGAAATCTAACGATTCTGCAGTATTTCAATTTATATTAAAATCATATGATAATATAATAACTTAACAAATAAACTGCAAAAGATGCACATTCCTTACATTTACGGTAGATATCTTCTTTAGTTGCCTTAAGCCTACCAAATTAAACTATTTTTGTGTCACTTGCAGAGCAGAGTGACACATAGGAATCATGTCTATCTAGCTGCCTTTCCTTCCATTGGTCTATCTGTCACCCCTAATATCTCAAGAAATGTTAGAGGAAGGGGTTTGATATTTTGGTCACGCATTGCTTGGAACAATAGCTTTGAAAATAATCAGGCTTATACTAATTCATGGAACAATAGCTTTGAAAATAATCAGGCTTATACTAATTCATGAGCTTTGAAGTTGACCTTTGATCTACTTTTCAAAACACCCCTTATTGCCATTATACACTATATTCTTTGACTTTTGAGATAAAATACTGCGAGTCCACTGACCTTGACCTTTGACCTACTTTTAAACAATGCAAGCTTGCATGGATGAAGCATCAGGGTATGCACACTACCAAACTTGCTTCAAAAGCTTTTTCCAGATGATTGAACAGAAAAAGTTTTTGAAACAAGTCCATTCCCTGTTAACAAAATCCTGCCAAAGCCAAACTTTGATAAAAGTTGCATCTATAGGGATGAAGATTACCAGAATATTTGTTTAGTCATGTAAGTCTTTTCCTTACTGAAAGATAACATTCATTGAAGTAAGCTTTGTAATCTTTGATTATCTATGTTTTTTATTAGATGTCGCTTCCCCCCAAAAAGTTATAGTAGAACAGATGGGGCTATCAAAGGTCCAGATATCCTGGTTTGGGTTGGAGAGAGAGGCCATTCTGGCTAATGATGTAGCATGGTGCAAAGTGAAGCCTGCAATACTGCAGTGTCAGGTAATATAATAAAAATGAAAAGCTCATTCCTACAAAAGGTATCTATAGCTTTATAGAATGAAAGAAAAAAACTGGACTGTCATATAAAATATGTACTGTTTAAAAAAAAAACCCATTTCTTGAAAGGCATTTTACCTAACAGACTGAAAATACTGCAATGTTAGGAAAGATATATATAAAGTAGGGAAGAAGGGTTGGACACCAGTACTCGGTATCCGTACCATACTGAGTACCGGTAGTTGTTTTAAAATTACTGGTAAAATACCATTAATGAGTCATTTAATAACGGTACCTATATTGATAATACTGTTTTTGTCATGTATTTTAATGCATTCAAGGCAACTGAACAAAACTCTGTACTTTTGAAAATATATAACCACAAGATTGAATTTTAAAACATGTATAGTATTGTTATGCTACGCACCAATATAAATTATACTGGGCCTTGCTTTAAATTTGTAAGTTGCCTAAAATTTTTCAATTAATCAATGATTGATTAGTATAAATGTCTATTAAGTGCAAAATGACATTACCAGCTCTACTATGTGGCCTTGTCATTGTCCACACTTATGCAAAATTGCTACTGGAAAAGAAAATCAAATGTTAAACTATAAAAAAAACAAGGGCAGAAATTTTCCAGTATATGTCTTTGCTTTATCAACTTTTTATTGTATAGAAAATATGAAAAAAAATGTAATAGGGCTACCTCAAAATAGACCGTTTCGGACCTGAGAACCAATTTTATTTAGCCTAATAACGTGTCGAGATGCTTTGCTTCGACTTCCTTTATTTAATTATAATATTCATCATTTAGCTTGACGTCTAATAATTCTTTATTCAGGGTGAAATACATATACTGAGAAGAACGGGGAATATGAACCAAACTGTTCTCCATGCAGACACTATTGATCAAGCTCTGGATGATGTTATATTTGGTGTGGCAGCCATCAGTGATAAGAATGTCAGCAGTGGAATCAAATGGCAGGAGGAATGCAGATATGTGAAAGATGCAGGTATAAGAAAATGTGAAAGATGCAGGTACAGTACTAGAATATGAAAGATGCAGGTATAAGAAAATGTGAAAGATACAGGTATAAGAAATGTGAAAGATGGGGTACAGAACAAGAAATGTAGAAGATGCAGGTATACAGTACTAGAATGTGAAAGATGCAGGTATAAGAAAATGTGAAAGATGCAGGTACAGTAGTATAAATGTGAAAGATGAGGTTATAAGAAAATGTGAAAGATGAGATTATAAGAAAATGTGAAAGATGCAGGTATAAGAAATGTGAAAGATGCAGGAATGTGAAAGATGAGGTTATAAGAAAATGTGAAAAATGCAGGTATAAGAAAATGTGAAAGATGCAGGTACAGTACTAGAAATGTGAAAGATGCCAGTGCAGTACTAGAATGTCAAAGATGCAGGTACAGGACTAGAAATGTGAAAGATGCAGGTGCAGTACCAGAAATGTGAAAGAGATGGGTACAGTACATATAGGAGAAATGTGAAATAGGCAACATATACTGGAAATGTAAATTAAGCTATAAAATCATAATACATCAAAGGTCATTGTAAGTTGTTTTGATGGATGTATTACTTTCCCTTTTAATGAATTTATTTAATGTTAACAAGGGTAAGTAATTGATTGATTGATTGATTGTATGTTGTTTTACGTCCCATTTGAGAATTTTTCACTCATATAGAGACGTCACCATATACCGGTGAAGGGCTTCAAATTTTGACCTTTACTCGGCACTCAGGGCCATTGAGCAGTGAGGGATCTTTATCGTGCCAACGCTAGGGTTGGATACCGGTACTCAGTACCAATACCGAACCGAATAGTTACTTCAAAAGTACCGGTAAAATACCGTTTCATTTAATACCCGTATTAATAACGGTATTTCTCAATCTTTGAAACATTTTAATACATTCAAAATAATTTTCAAAAAAGAGATTCCAGACTCGCTAAAATGAAATTCTCCGCGCATTGAAAGGGTAGGCTAATTAACAAAATGGATGCTTAGTACGATACTTGCTTTTGACTGCCGATATTCGAGGTAAATCAATACGTATATTTAAAAATAAAAAAAAGCATTCACATTAATCATGTTTTAATTTTATTTATAAAAACTGATAATAATTGTAAATAAAAATGCAAAATGTCGCAAAAATGTTATGTGCATCTCTATCCATTTTTAATGTTTCGTCGTTTAGTGCGACCAAACAAAATGGGTCCTGGCAAGTGGTAGCCGGGTGAAGCGGTCAGCTGTATCTAGTTAATTTGTTTGAGATTCAATTTATTTGTTTTGTTGATGATTTATTAAAAGGTTGAAATATAACATAGTATATATACTCATTTTAGATTATAACATCGAATGGCTGAAGATTGGTGAAAGCACATTTGTTAAGAAATAAGTACCGTATCGTTAAAAATACCGTATCGTTCTAAAAATACCGGTATGGTATCGTACCATTTCATCCATAACGGTATCCAACCCTAGCCAACGCCTACCGTGACCTGGGGCCTCGGTTTTAAAGGTCTCATCCGAAGGACCCGCAGCTTTCACTTCAAAGTGCCGAGCGCATGGCGAAGGAACAGTTGCTACCCATTTTTTATCGACTTAGGTCTGTCGCGGCCGAGATTCGAACTCACGACCTCCCGATCACGAAGCGAGCGCTCTACCGACTGAGCTACCGTGAACGGTGGTAAGTAATTGAAGAACAGAATCAAATGCCAGAGTTAAATATAATATTTGCTACGAAAACATGCATGTATCTGAGATTGTCAAATTTATGTACCCCAATGACCAGGGATCAGACCTTGGGGTGGGGCTTTAAGTTGGTCATATGCTGGAATTTATAACACAGTGTTTTGTATCCTCTTTAATAGTCCTAAACTTGTTGGAGTCCAGCTGTAGAATGATAATGATTATATCATTAATAGTGTCTTCAAATAATGGTAAAGGTTTTGTCACACAAGATCAGACTGGTTTCAGGTGGGCCCAATGTGGTCATAGCCTGAGAAACTTATGATAATCAGGTGAACATCACATACCTCTTGTTAAAGGCACTTGCTAACCCCCCCCCCCCCCCCCCAAAAAAAAAATCTTGAAATAAAGTATAAGATCTATGTCAATATAAGAGAATTAATAAGTTTAACCAGAGAATGTTTTATTCTTATTCAAGATTTTGCAGTAGTAACCTGTAAAGTGTTAAAAAATGTATAGATTTATAAGGGGATGGCAAAAAAGAGATTTTTAAACTTGGTGGTACATCTTGTACATCAAAATATATAAAAGTAAAATATTAATTTTTGATTCCAATTTAAGACAATTCTCCCGGACTTCAACGCATAAGTTCAAATCAGTAGAGCTACAGTCTCATATCAGTGAATTCTGGTTGTGCTTTCAATCCATTCAATTCTTCATTAAATATACATTTTTTAAAAATTTCAGTGCCTCGCCCTGTGCAGACTAAGCCCCTCCTCCCAGATCCTCCTAAAAACAGTCTAGTAGTATCCTGGATCCCTCTGAAATGTGATTCAGGGGCTTCAAATAATGCCTACATCAAAATGTACCAGATAATCTACTGCCAGTTAAATACCCATGGATCTTGCAAAGGTTTGAGAGTATTTCACGGTGATGTCTAAACTTAAATGTATCATTGTAAAGTAAAATGCTCTTCAATTTTTATGCTGTGACATATTCAGGAGTATTGATAATCTGTTTATGATTTAAAGCTAAATTTTTTAGTTGTAAATAGTGGAAACACAATAATTTTGAAATGATTTTAATCCCTACAATCTTTAAGGAGCTAGTTAATTGAACCTTTTGATTTTAACTAATTGATGTTGATTTCTAGGTGGGGAATTTTCTGTGAATGTTCCTGCAGACAGTACTACACAGTACACACTAAGAAACCTTGAGGCAGACACTGAATATGGTGTGTGGGTACAAGCCATGTCACTTACAAAGGAGGGACATAAAAGTAAAATGGTGTCTGGACGACCTACTAATGATGGTAAGAATTATTCTTCCATAAATATCAGTTTACTTCAGTTTTAACTGAACTTTCATCAAAAATCATATTTTGACATGTACATGTCATATGCATCTTTTAAAGGGAAATTGAAAAATATAGTCAGGCCAACTTTAAAATAATGTTTGCTTGCCCTCTCCCGACTCAGGATGAAAAAAATGAGTCTGTAGGTAGATGAAAATTTTTTTTCAAAGAAAATTTCAGAATCAATGCTGAATTTTCAAAATCTATTTTCCGGAATGCATAAAAAATTGCTTTCTGGAGGTTAGTAAAGTTTTGAGTCTGGCCATTTTTATCCAGTCGGTCGGGAGAGGGCAATCAAATAATTTTTAATTCACCTCAACGAAGTTGGGGGAGCTGATGTAATACCCTCGGCGTCGGCGTCCCAGGTTAAAGTTTTTGGAGCAGATTTCTTTTCAAGTACTTTTATGCCTTATATCAATCAGAGGTGCATGGAGGATACCTCTAGTGTGTTTCATTGAACCAGTCAAGGTTTCAGATGCTGCAATATCAGCTAAAGAATGACCAGGTTAATGTTTTTTGGGCAGGTTTGATTTTTTGCAGCAGGTTAAAGGTTTTGGAGCAGATCTTGTTTCCAAGTAACTGTATGCCCTTTGTTGACAATACTTGCATTGATGATACATCTAAGGATGCACAGTAATGGATTTGCTTCAGATGCTGGATCTGACCGACATTTTCCGGATGAGTGACCAGGTTAAAGTTTTTGGAGCAGATCTCATTTCCAAGTAACTATAAACCCTATGTTGACCATACTTGTATGGATGATACATCTAAGGATGCACACTACTGGACTTGCTTCGGATGCTGGATGTGACCTACATTTTCCGGATGAGTGACCAGATTAAAGTTTTTAGAGCAGATTGCATTCCCAAGTAACTATAAACTCTGTGTTAACCATACTTGCATGAATGTTACGTCTAAGGATGCACACTACTGGACTTGCTTCGCATGCTGGATCTGACCTACATTTTCTGGATGAGTGACCAGGTTAAAGTTTTTAGAGCAGATCTCATTTCCACGTAAAAGTAAGTCCTATGTTGACCATACTTGCATTGATGATACATCTAAGGATGCACAGTACTCAATTTGCTTAGGATGCTGGATCTGACCGACATTTTCCGGATAAGTGACCAGATTAAAGTTTTTAGATCAGATCTCATTTCCAAGTAACTGTATGCACTATGTAGATCATAGTTGCATGAATGATACATCTAAGGATGCACACTACTGGACTTGCTTCGGATGCTGGATGTGACCTACATTTGCCGGATGAATGACCAGGTTAAAGTTTTTAGAGCAGGTCCATTGCCAAGAAGCTATAAGGCCTTTCTGAACCAAACTTGCATGGATGATGCATCAAGGGAGGAAAACTTTCAAACTTGCTTCGGGTGCTGGATTTGACCTACATTTTCTGAATGAGTGACTTGTAAAGTTTTTAGATAAGTCCATTCCCAAGTATCTGCAAGCCTTATCAGACCAAAATTGCATAAATGTTGCATCAGGGATGCACACTACTAGATTATTAGTTTAGTGTGGGACTTTGCCTTACTTAAAGAAAACATTGGTTGGGATGAGCGCTGTAATTTCTGATTTACTTATGTTTTAAAGATGGCCGCAGCTAAAATGTATTATTCTTGCATATAAACAGGAATTTTTTTTGCAATTGTAACTAAAAACTTATTGTTTTCTCTTTCAGAAAAGAAAATTGTTTTGATATAGATTGATCTTATATATATATATATATATATATATATATATATATATATATCCAATAAATTTCCTTTTATTTGACAATGTGTTTTTAAATTAATTGTGAAAATTATAATTTATTACCCAAAGATATTATACAAAAATATAGGGACATATTCACTGGTGATTATCACAATAATGAATTTTCCTTACTTGAAGAATTCTTTCTTAAATGGCTTGCCATTGAGTAAAGAGTGCAGTATGAGTACGCAGGTCAGGTACTTTTTGAGACTGTTAAATCAGTTTTAGATACTTGAGTGTCTGGACCTCTGGTGACATATAATTACTGTGTTTTTATTTGCAAGTTGTTGAAGCATGGTAAAACTTTTGAAGAGGCAGAGGAAATTTGGTCATATATTTGAACTGCCTTGAATGTATTCTGTTGCTTCTTATCAAGTTATGTTCCAAGTGTGGCAAAGCAATGATCCAGGGTCATTTAGAGGTCAAGGTCATTAAACATAAAAATATGATTTTTTTCTTGATATATTAAGTACATGTAATAACTTAGTTACACAGAAATATTAGAAGCTTATTTTGTCAAAAACAAGTGTATTTTAACCTCGATGTCCGTAATCATCTGATACTTTGAAGATTTTTTGGTCCCATCAAGTTTGAGATAATGAGATTTTACTGTATAATCAATTTCATTGTACGAGGAGTATTATTTTTTTTTTTTTGGCATTCCATGGTGCCATATCTCACCCTTTTGTGCATAGAAATTAGTGCACAATAGAGCATTAATTATGAAAATCTGTATGCTCATCAATGTACGTAACATAATTGCATGCACATGAATTGCAGGAAAGGAATTTTATACCTTTGTTTTTTTCCAAACAGTTAGTACATTTGTATTTATTTCTGTGACATATAAATTTGTACCCCTGTAATATTATAGCAATGCAATTCAATTGTAAGAGTAATTTGTAATGAGAATAATTGTGAAAAAGAAACATAATTCAATGTTTGCTTAAATCTAAATCAAATTTAAGTTTACTAAATTGAAACTTATAATCCATCTTACAATACTCTGAAACTATAGTTTGTGATACTGTTAAGGGAGTGTAACCATCGTTATAGAGCAGGTAGTGTACTTGAATGATACGAACAACCAGTCACCAGACAATCTGATTAAAATCAGATCTTTGTTACGCTCCGAAATTCTGATGGTTACAGCGACCATCAGAATTTCAGAGCGTAACAAAGATCTGATTTTCATCAGTTTGATCACCAGACTGAGAGTGCAGAATTTCTTGTAAACAGGATTTTATGTTCATGTTTAGGAGTTCTGTTATGCTTTTAAATAGAAAATAAGTAAAATAAATTTCCCATTTTCCAAAATCTTTGTGAAATTTGAAAGAACATTTTCAAAAGAACATCTCTTAATTGTGGAAAATAAATCCAATGGAATGTTTACACTACATGTATATTTATATACAGTCAAACCCCATATCTCAAACTAGATGGGACTGAGAAAAAAATTTAAGATATCCAAGGGTTAGAGATATTGACGGTAAAATATATGGAGAAAAATGGTTGGGACTTTCACTTTGAAATATCCATGGTATTTGAGATATTGATGTTAGAGATACTGAAGTTAACTGTATTTTCTATATTTAAATTAGTTTAAATCCAAGGTAAAGATGACACAATAATTTGATTTATATTTGTTCATTAGAAATTCTTGCTAAAATTACATGATTGTTAACCTAGAAGAGTTGTCTTTCTTTGTGCTCTTCACAACTTGTTACATGTGCATGTGTGTTGAGTAAAATTACTGAAGAGGTTAAAGTGAGAGGCTGGCTGTTTGTTTATGTGATATAGGTATTAATATGGAATACGATGCTAGACAGAAATCTCTAATGAATAGCAATCTCACCAAATAGTTTAATACCAAGATTTTGACACTAAAAACCTGGTCATAACTTGATTTGCAAAACCAAGTTGCCTATGTTCAATGTGGTATCATAAATAAATCTTTTCAGTTGATAATACGATAATTAACACATGGAAAAGAGACTTCTCTATTTCGTTCAACAAACCTTGACTATTTCCAGTTTCTATTACCTTATTAATATAATACTGTGAAATGACTATTTGCGTGGTGTCAAATTTTCTTCGTTTTAAGAAAAAAAATTGTTTCTTGGGGATTTGATTTTGTGGTTAGGGAAGTGTTGATTAGTTATATATATGAAATTTTATATTTAATTTGTGGGTCTCTTTGTATCTCGAAAATCATGAAAATCCCCCCCCCCCCCCCCCCCCCCCCCCCCGAAAATTAATGATTTCACCCTAAGCATTTAACTAATTATTAAATGATCAATATTGTCATTGTAGATTTACCTGATGCATCAATTGCAGGCATTGCTATTGGGGGAATATTCGTTCTTGTACTTGTCATTGCAGGATTCGTATGTGTTTGCAGGTATGTGTTTCTGCTGGCAAAGGTATTTAGGTTCAGAATTTTATGATAAATAATATTTTTCTTGGATATACTGAAAATACATGCTTATCATTATTTTTTATTTGTCAATGAGTATTTATCACTGGATTTATATAAGAAAGACAATTTTATTTTTATATGTAATACTTTGGACATTGTATTTTGTTTCGTTTAAAATATTTTTTTGTAGAAAGTTTGCAGTGAAAAAGTAATTAAAGAAATGTGCTCATGTAGGTGAACTAAACTTTGTGTATGGTACTCATTTTCCTTGAACATATGATGTTTGTAACCTTTTTATTCCTTTACAGACAAGTAAAACGTAAATTAGGTCTGGATGAAACATTTGATATAGAAAATATACAAGTTAGACGCTTTGAAAATCTGGTATGTATACGTTGAGTAGAAAATTTAATAATTACAGACAATTCTGATGATCACTTTGGTGTTAGACATTAAAACTATTTAAAGCAATGGTACTGTTCTAAACGGTTATTATAAATCAATCTTTCATGAGATATAATCTGGACAAAGAACTCTTCTTAATTGTAGGTTATAACAAGATTCTTCCAAGAAAACACCTATAGTACAACATTTTTAAGGATAAAATTGTTTCAAACTGGATTTTCTTTCTTATCAAAGTTTTTTGGAAGCTTTTTTTAATTCTTGAGTGGAAAGTTAAATGCAAAGGCCAAGGTCACAAAGTGGTTATTAATATTTGTAGGACTTGAATTATCAAGAAACTGACACAATGAATATTGTCTCCATCTAATACTGATAAATATATAGACATCATGCACCCCCCCCCCCCCCAAAAAAAAAAAAATTAAAAAACCAAACTTTTTTAAGATTCACACGGTCAGGAAGCCCATATACAATAAAACATCTGTCAAATTTTTGGGCAGAAATACATGCATAAGAAATTTCCGTCTCTTGTTCTCTTGTTAACAAAGCAGAGGGAATGGCAAGAAGACGGAGAACTGAATGCTTAAAAAACAGAGGTCTGAGGTTTTATCTTTGAAAAGTTGGGTTGAACTCATCCTCATCATTTCTTAAACTGAACACAAACTCTTGCATTCATACATTACAAACTTGTAATATGTATACAAAAGGTAGATACACCATATTATCTATGTTAAGATGAAGATTTTTAGGAAATGTGTGTTTTTCAGCCTACTGGAAGCAATTTGTATAACCTTATTACGACACCAGCTGACAGGTCCAGCTCCCCCCTCTTCACCCCTGTAAGTATACTGTAACAACTGATAATATGCACTAAAATTTAAATAACATCACCACATAAGTAGATTCTAGATAACTCCACACCATCTAACACACATACACTGTATCTGTAAAAAAAGAAATGCCACTGACAATATCATCCAATAAAGACCTTATAAATATAATATAACCACATCATCTGACATAAACCTTAAGTATAGCATAAGCATGCCATATGACATACACACCTGTATGTAATGCACCATGTCTTGTGATACACCTGTATGTGACATCACCATGCCATTTGATACATACATGTACCTGTACATGTATGTAACACATCATATTATGTGACACACCTGTATGTTACATATGTGACACTATTACATTTATTGACTGGGTTCTAGGGCAACATGTGTTTTGCTGGACCCAAGAACCAAACTGTTTTGCCCGAGAACACAGTCAATGCATGGTTTGTTATACCTTTAATTTATTTATTTATTTTTTTGTTATATGTGTATTTTGTGTTGGCTTCTATACCAACGAATGCAAATAAGATTTAGCTGATCCCACCCACCGTGTGACGTAAGCTGACCAATATTTCACTCTGCAGTCAAACATTGATTTTTTTATGACCACTCAGAAAAACATTAGAAATGTTTGATTTTTTGTAGTATACATTTATACTACAACTAATTTTTAAAGGTATTACAATTATATTTATGTAACACGTCATCTTGTCATGTGATACACACATGTTTGTTACATCATCACCATGTATAGTGACATACACTTGTTTTTATGTCATCACCATGGTATGTGAAACACACCTGTAAATACCCTATCATATAGTACACACATGTAAGTATAAAGCTGCCTGTTTAATATTTACCACACTGTCTAATATATCAGAAAGTATAATAACATCACACAACATAACACTATATACATGTGTTATGAGACACGCTAGATATTGACAAAATTATAGATTCCCATTTAACTTTCAAGTTATCTTTGATTGTATTCATTATTAATTTTACTCTATTTCTCATATCATTTTTATGACACTCTGTAAGATAAGGTACCTGGGGCCCATTTTACAAAAGAACTTATGGCTAACACCAAATACTTTAGATGATTTAAAAAAATTTCAAATTTAATTGTTCTATTTGAAATTGATGGCATAAACTTATCTTTTTGTAAAATTCTTTTTAAAACTATTAAAACCATATTCAAGTTGATGTTCAATAGAAAGTAATAAGTGGAAATATTATATGTTGGTTTTAGTTGTAAGGTTTTTTTAATTGTAAAACGGGCCCCTGGAAATTATATATATAAGCTAGAATACATTTTCTTCTTGCATGGTTTGTTTTTCTATGCAGTAATGCCTTCAAGAACCCAATGTATCTTTTTCCCTTCCATCAATATTTATGTTCCCCAAACGAAGTTGGGGAACATATTGTTTTTACTCTGTTTCTTCTTCTTATTAAGGTCTTCCGTCTTCACGGAAGACCTTATAGTGATTCTACTGTTTCTTATTATTATTAGGGTCTTCCGAGCTTCCTTCGGAAGACCCTACTGTTATTCTACTGTTTCTTATTATTATTTTATTTTTTTTTTCCCGCCGATTTTCAGCAGGCGATTTCTCAGAGACCTTTTGTCCGATTGCTATGAAACTTTCAGGGTAGATACAATGTATTATTGCCTAAAAACGGTTTTTTCAAATTTTTGATATATACCCCCGTTCATGAGTTATTGCCCTTTAATCGATATTTGGAGGGTCTCTTGTCCAGTAGAATTCTCAATAACGACACATGATATTTGCATGAAAACTGGAGAACTTGTAACTAATACATTGCAAATGCGCAGAACATTAAAATTGTAGGCTAATTTTTTTAAGTTCGGAAGCTATGTGACGGCAAGTTTTAAGAATTATTTTTCCATGAAATTTTGCTGCTTTTTGTTTAATAACTTTTAAACTGATAAAAATTTGGTAAGACATATAGAATAAAAGTTGTGTGTAATTACAAGAGCTTTCAGATAACATCAAGAAAAAGGGGCTGCCCCCTATATTCAGGGGACAGCAGGTCATAAAAGTATTTTTTGGATAGCTAAAAGTATTAAAATATTATGAAAAAGTTTGAATGACATAATTTCTAACATATTAAATCTTGTCATGTGGTATAAAGAGAAACAAGCTCCGTGCTATATTTTATTCTATTTTATATAATAATTATTCGAGAATCGTACAGGAACAAGTTGTCTACAAACCAGCCACGCCTTTTAGGGCATCGTAACACATGCTTGTACGGTTTTAGATAGTTGTTGTGTTTTAAATAAATTGTTTTGATTCGATTTCTCTGTTTTCGGTTATATAAATCGTTTATAAATGCAAGTTATTTACACAAGTAAAGGTAAATCAACATTTACAAATGCATCCGTATAGAAAGAGTCTTAATCGGGGCCTCTTGTTTGTAACCTGGATGTAAACAATCACGAGCGGCATTGTGGGAAGAAGACACTAAAGACCCGATATATGAAAAACGTGATTTGATCTGATGCTTTGTTGGCAAATATTTAAAAAAAAGTGTAGTTTAGTATAGCATAATGCTTCATAATCAATAATTTTTAAAAATAAATCATGTATAACACTCAATCTGATTATTTTATTTTTTGAAAAATCATCAGGTCGAATATCAGGTCTTTAGTATATCAAGTCTTTAGTACGTCCCCGGAAGTAGCCATGCAACCGGCCTGCCTAATTGAAGACCTACAGGTAATTGAAGACCTACGGAAGACCTAGGGAAGACCTACAAAAATATGGGCTATATACAGCAAAACTGATGTGATATTCTGATTAAAAATGTCTTAAATATATAAAATACACAAAAAAGTTTTATAAAAAGAGGTTTTAAAGTGTATTTTTCAAGCTCGGTATGGGGAACTATTTCTTCTCTCAGACGACCTATCGCAAGAACGGTAACTCTGGTTAACTTGTAAACAACAACATGTATATTATGGTGAAGTGAACAGGGAAAATGAGAATACACAAATAAAAAAATTCAAATGATATTTTTTGAGTTTTCCAATCATTTTTATAATAAAGATATAAGCTGGAATGTGAATTTTGATGAGATTGATATGTATAAATTAATATTTCACATTAGATGTATACTGTCAATATTATCTATAGTCAATATTTAATTATAGTTTATTGCAATTCTTCAAACATGTAATATGTTTTATGGGATAAATATTAAATATTTTAATCTAAAATATTGATATGTATACTGTGGATTTGTCTTAAACCATGTAAGGTAAGATATCACTCTGACCTAAAGGCTTCACCACTAATGTGTTATATACACACCCTGAGGATATATCCATGTTTTGATTGCAATTATCAACATACCCCACTTGCTCTGATGAAGTTAATTTACAGTCAGCAAAGCAGATATACATTTTTAAAAATCTTTTAATTATATTATCTTAATTCTTACAGAGACACTCATTGTCTGTGCTTCATGAAAGAATAAGATTTCTTAATATAAAATAACTTTTTAAACCTATTAAGTGAAGCAAATAAAAAAACTCAATGAGTTTTACATGTGACTAAAATGATAGCATTTTGAAAAAAAAATTCCAAAATGGTCACTTTTTTCTCTTAATAAAAAACATATTTATATTACAGTGGCAAAAACAATTTAAAAAAATGTATTTTAGAATAACCCGTCATGTACTCCCAGAAATACTACTTAAAACATTAAGAATAACATTAAATAAGGCCTGCCTAATTGAAGACCTACAGGTAATTGAAGACCTACGGAAGACCTAGGGAAGACCTACAAAAATATGGGCTATATACAGCAAAACTGATGTGATATTCTGATTAAAAATGTCTTAAATATATAAAGTACACAAAAAAGTTTTATAAAAAGAGGTTTTAAAGTGTATTTTTCAAGCTCGGTATGGGGAACTATTTCTTCTCTCAGACGACCTATCGCAAGAACGGTAACTCTGGTTAACTTGTAAACAACAACAATGTGTTTTGGTGAACAGCTGATTTGTTATTAACGCGAGTTATCGTTCTTGCGGTAGGTCGTCTGAGAGAAGAAATAGTTCCCCATATCGAGCTTTAAAAATACACTTTAAAACTTCTTTTTATAAAACTTTTTTGTGTACTTTATATATTTAAGACATGATTAATAAGAATATCACATCAGTTTTGCTGTATATAGCCCATATTTTTGTAGGTCTTCCGTAGGTCTTCAATTACCTGTAGGTCTTCAATTAGGTATTCCCCCATGCAACTCGGAATTACAGACAGAAAATGAGAAGAAAATATGTGAAGTTGACAGTTGTACATTTTCTTAACGTACGAGCCGTATGTAGACATGCACGTTTAATCCACATCTACGAAGCACATAAAATCCTTGGTTGCGTACAGGGAGCATTAGTTTTAAAGGTATTCTTGCGCAAATTGTTTACGAGGAAATTCTGACGATCACATTAACAGCGATGAACAGTCTTGTGTCGGAGTTTTCTGTGATAAATGTAGCGAGTAATGAAAGAGTTCACGGTGACATTTTAATATATGATTGGCGTGGACCATGGAAATGAAGGTTAGAATTTTTCTTATCTAAAATTTAACAGCTGCTTACAGCACTGATGTTACATGTATATGCCAGCAAATGTATAAATGTACGCACAAACACTGATGTATGTTATCTATTTTATGGTTCAGTCTCTGTCTGTTAGCCCTGACATGACATTGTCAAATCCCCATTGCTTTACCTTATATTTAAATGCATGAGAGCATGTAATTTCACCAAGACTTATTTTTTTATTGAAACAAAAAAAATGCAAAAATTCAACAATACACTATCTAACATACTACATGTATAAAAATGATAATTATTGTTATATATTCTTCAACAAGTATGAATAGCTGTTATAACTAGGGCCTTAATTAATATTATAATTTGTTATACCTTTAAAAATTTGTTCTTTTATAAATCTATACCAGTGTACACTCAAA